ACCCTGAAGGACAGCTGTACACCCAGGCAGGGGGAGCCTGCCAGCGCCCAGCTGGGGTGCAGGAGGTGGTGCCACGCTACTCCTGCTCCTGCTCAGCCCGGTGGGGATTTGATTTCAGGGGATTTGCATCCCTCAGGGAGTTGTCCTGGCCACGTGGTGCTGGGGCTATTTTAGGTACAGAGGTGGGGGTGGACAGGAGAACTAGTGGGCGCCTGGCATCCAAGCAGCCAGGAGCTTCGCCTACCCTCCCAGCCCCAGGCCCTGGCCCCTCTGGACACCCCTGGTTCTGTGGCTCCGTCCAAGCCTGGAGCCTGGAGCGCTGATTCCCTAAGTCCATCACCCCTGCAGGGATGTCTCCCTCACCCGGCTGCACACAAGGGAAACTGAGGCTCGGGGATGCCCAGTGACAACCTGTGAGGCCCTGCTCCCCATCCTCACATGGGCAGTGGGAGCCACTTCTTCATCCTTGGCCAGGGTGGACTTGGGGACAGGACACAGAGGTCCAGCTTGGGGGCCACAGCAGCCAGGCTGGGGACTCAGGCTTTAGATAGAGGACAGGTCATTCTCTGACCAAGCATCCTGGATCCCTCACTGGGCAAGGGATGGTGACACCTCAGCTCTGTGTTTCTGGGGTCACTGGGGATGTTGGTGCAGGGCTTTGGGGGGCACCTGGCCTAGAAGAAAGCATGGCGTGGAGCAGAGCCACCCAGATGGGCCATCCCACCCCCTGATGCTTTGGGTCCAGGCAGATGAATTAACCTCCACACCACCCCTGCCCAGTCTCAAACCCCAGAGAGGTACAGTGACCATGACCGCCCAGAGTCACCTCAGGGAGGGGGGTGCTGGCAAGGGCATGGGAAGGTACCGGTTCTGTATGTGAGGTGGGCCTTCAGGGCTGTGTTATTCCTGGGTATCTTGGTGACCCACAGCTTTGTGGGTGGCCCAAGCTGGCACCTGCGGTCATGCTGAGGGATTTCCTGTTCTCACTGGGTTGGACAGGAGGGGCCGAGGCACACAGCAGGTCTGCCACTCACGGATCAAGACATCTCTCAGGCTGGGGACAGATCAGAGATAGAAGGCATCAGCAGGTGTGGGGCCCAGTGCTGAGAGACAGAAGCCGCACACATCTAAAATCCCAGCATTCAGGAGGCCGAGACAGGAGGATCAGCGTGAGTTTAAACCATCCTGAGCTACATAGCGAGACACTGTCTAAAAAAACAGGCAAAGAAACAAAACCAAAGCAACGGAGTTCAGGTTCGGCCCCAGTGACAACAGTGTCCTGCCTTGGGAGGTGGTGAGCTCGCCGTCCCCGGCCTGCTCAAGCAGGGCTTGGAGGCTACTCCCGAACGGACAGGGTGACCTCCAAGATCCCTTCCAAGTTGCAGCAACTGCAGTTCTGCACTGACAGATGCGGGGTGTGGGCCGGGCCAACTCCGGCTGGAAGATAGGTGTGCTCTAGGTGGCCGGGACCGTGTGCCCTCCCCAACCCGCCGCTTGCTCGGGCAGCTGCTCTCCAGCGCTGCGTAAGGCTGGTCCAGGGGACGCTGGTTCATTCATTCCTTCGCCCAGGGCCTCCTGCAGGACACCTCCTGGGTGTGAACGGGCTCAGGGCTGTGTCACACACGGATCCCTGGGATATAGAGGCCCCACTGTGCAGGGGACACAGGTGAGTGTCCAGGGCAGGGCTGCAGTCTGGAGGTGACACTGCCAGAGGAAATATGAGGTGTGTGGGGCAGGAAGGCCACAAGGTAGGGTTGCTCTCCGGTGTCCTCTCTTTCTCCAGCTCTTGCTCGCTTCCTGTTTCCCTCCTGCTGGAGGGCTCAGGGCCCACAGTATGGACTAGACATCAGGACACCAGAACTGCTTGCCCTCCCTGGGGGGTGTCACACTCCCATGTGTGTGTGCCATGCTGTGGGGACCAGAAATGCCACCCGGCCCTGCACCTCAGAGCCAGTGCCTTGTCAGCCTACTTCTGGTCCAGTCTTCTTCCCCAGCTGCAAAGTGGGGGACCACGGGGCTCCCCAGGCCTGATGAATCCAGTGAGGCAGGGTGCTCTCACTATCTGGCCCAGCTCCCCAGCCAGGGAGCCCCGCATACCCCTCCCTGCAGCAAATCCAGGAAGCTGGTAGGCCCGGGCGGCAGGAGGGGTGGGCTGGGACCTTGGGCCACGTCACCAGCGCTGCCCAGGTGGGTGAGGTGGGCTGACTGGCTGCCCACCTGCCATTCCCAGGCACTGAAGGCCTCTGTGTCCTCCCAGCCTGCACCCCTTCATGGCACAGGAAGTTCTGCCCCTAGCAGCTGGGACCTCAAGCCTTGCTCCCTCTGGTGCCAGCTTGGAAGTGCTGGTTTGGGGAACTGCCAGGGCAAGGAGCGGGGTTCAGGATGATGATTCCCTTTGCATCCTACAGAAGCTGGGCCAGAAGCAGGGAGTGGACCAGGTGATGGTCCCAGCAGTGGGCACAGGCATGGGCATCAAGGTCCTCTCACAGCTGCTGGTCCACGGGGGTTCCCGGCAGCAGAGGGTAGAAAGAGGGTACAGAGGTCCCCACCTACCTCCCCATATTGTCTCAGCCTCAGACACCCTGAGCTCAACCTGAGCCAGTCCTTCTCTGTGAGGATCAAAACCAAACTGGGTGTTATGACACATGTCTGTCATCCCAGCACTCTGGAGGCTGAGGCAGGAGGATTCCAAGTTCAAGCCTAGCCTGGGCAACTTAGCCACTTAGTGAGACCCTGTCTCAAAATGATATAGAAATAAAAGACTGAGATGAAAGTATCCCTAGGCATAAAACCAAGGGCTGACCGAAGCCCAGACAGGCTGGGATCAGCATGTGGGTGGGAGCAGCCCAGGAGCCAGCCTAGAGGCTGAGGCAGCCATGGGGAAAGCCCTGGGGTGTAACAGGCTCCTCAAGGCTGCTGAGAATGCTTCGTCCTTGCCAGGCCAGGCCAGCCCCAGAGCTGTGCTCTCTGGAGAGGACTGTGCCTTGCCTGGGGGACACTTGTGCTCCAAAGCCCCTCACTACCACCCCATTAGACAAGTGGGAGACAACCCCAGCACCCCAGAGTTGCCAGGGACCCCATGAGATTCAGGATCCACAGGGCAGAAGTGGGGGACATAGGATGCTGGGCCTATAGGCACCTCAATCTGTCTCCTGTCCCTGAGCTCCACCTGGACAGAGCACAGAGTGGGCCTCGGCTGCCCATCCTGGAGAGGCAGCGCACAGAGGGCCTGGTGCCAGACACAGGGTCACATGGACAGGCAAACACGCGGGCAGGCAGAGTCCTTGTACCCCCCCTTTCTGCTCCGCAGTGCCACTCTCCCTCAGGCCCTGTGTGAGGCCAGGGTGCTCAGGTCCAGCTGTGGGACCTCACGGGCTGGGTTCTGGTCTGGGAGAGGAACCAGTGGTGCCAAATGCGGGAGCCGAGCCTGGCAGCACAGGCCTATTATACTCTGAGGCTGAGGCAGGAGGAACCACAATTTGAGCCCAGCCCAGGCACCCCAGTGACTTAGCAAGACCCTGCCTCAAAAAATAAATAAATAAATAAAAAGGGCCATGAACATAGTTGAGTGTGAAGGCCTAGATTCAAGTCTCAGGGCCCTGTGTGTATGAGAGAGAGAGAGACAGACAGAGAGAGAGAGAGAGAAAGAGAGAGAGAAGGGCACTGGGAAAGGTATTATTCATCTGTAATTCCAGCTACTCAGGAGGCTGAGGCAGGATAATCTTTTGGAGGAGGTACCAGGGGCACTGTGCCACTGAGCTGTATCCCCGGCCTGAAGCAGGAGACAGGACACCAGCCTGGCAGCTTAGCAAGACTGTGTGTAAGGCAGCCTCAGTAAACAGAGTTACAGGAAAAGTTTGGATGGAAGAAGCTTCTAGAGTCCATTCTTGTTCTGGCTTTCCATTTTCTTTGAAACAAGTTCGCTGCCCGGCTCTGGACTCAGTTTCCGCATGTGTTGAGGGAACATAGGCCACATGGTGTGAGCCCAGCCCATGCCAAGGGCCTTTGCCAGGAGCACTGGCTCCCTCTGGGTTGGGAGGACAGGCCCAGGCTGGGGGGCCCAGTGTGCTGGCAGGGATCCAGGCGGCCCAGAGCCCGCTGTGCCCCAGAGCTTTAACCAGCACTTTGGATATCTGTCTTCGCTCTTGGGTTGTGTCCTCAGCCTGCCTATCATAAATTTCACTGAGACCTCAAACTGTCCTGTCCCCTTCCTGGCAGGCTGGTCAGTCTCCGTGGCATGGCCAGCAACGCTTCAGTCCTTTGAGGTCCTAACACATGGGCCACCCCCAAAACCTTCCTGCCTCAGCCTCCTGCCAGAAGGGCCAGGAGGATCCCCAAGACAGGAGGCTGGTCCCCGCTGGGATCCCGCCCCGGCTTCCCCGGGCTGTGGGGTGCGTGGTGCCCCTGGCTGGTAGATGTGGCGCCCGGCCACTGCGCATGTTTTAGTTTCGCGAGATTTGTTCGTGAAGTCTGCAGAGCGTGACGATCAGGCCCGTGGGGAGAGCTGGCACATGGCCCACCTCTGTGCACTCACATCGCCTTCCCCCTCCGTCCCTGCTTTCACCATGCCCGCCCTGTACACATGGCCTCGGAGGTGACTCGGAGGTACTGGCTTAGGGGCCACCCTGCACCGCTGCAGTCTCCACGTGGCCTGTCCCCAGGTCTTGCTGAAGTGCTGGGCACCAGGACATCAACATTGTGTGTGAGAGTCTCGGGGAGCCACTTGCCGGTCTGTGGCTCTGTGTCGGCGGGGCAGGAAACAGGACCACACTGCCCCGGAGTCCGCCTGGCCGGGCCAGGTGTCCCTCTGTGTGCTGCCCCGGCCCGAGTCATGGGTGTTTCCGCTGCGCCGTCTGCATTTGCTCCACTGGAACCCGTGGCACGAGGCTCCCGGTGTCAGCCTCCGGTAGGCGTCTCTGAAACACTGGGCTATCGCCCCTCCTGCCCACCCTGTGCTGCAGACGCTCAGCCCCGCTGTCTCCCTCTGTCCCCTCGCAGGTATGAAGCGGCCCCTGAGCCCAGCTGACAGAGAGCCCCCCACCCGTGGAGCTGCCGAGCGCCCCCTGCAGCCCGCAGAGACCCCGGGTGCCAAGCCCGAGCAGAAGCGGCCCTCGTACACGCTGTGCGGTGTGTGCAACGTCCAGCTCAACTCGGCTGCGCAGGCCCAGGTGCACTGTGGGGGGCGCGCGCATCAGCGGCGGCTGCGGCAGCTGCGCCTGGGCCAGGGGCCCTCGGAGCCAGGTCAGTGCGGCCTGCAGGGTCAGTGCTGCCCCTTCCCTGGGGTCCTTGGGCTTTCGGGAAACCCTGGCCTTCGGGGGCTCCCCAGGGTCTTGGGAATCCGAACCTAGGCACCACTGGCCAGTCCCGAGCCCCCCATGGGTATGAATCTTTCCAGCGAGGTTCCTCTCATGGGGGGCCAGGTCCTGCTCTGGACTCCGATGCCCAGGGAGGGACAGGGAGGCCTCTTGGGCCTCACCACTGACTCCTGGCCAGGATTTCTGCCTATCCCTGGCCGGGGATTCTACAGACAGCTTCCTGGGGGAACAGGTGACTGCGTCCATGAGGGTGATGCCAGCCAGCAGCAGCAGAGGCAGTGTCACCAGTGGCTGGGCACAGAGGGGCGCAGGGGTCCCTGCCCCTCAGTCCTGGGCAGTGGCTCCTGGAAACACCCCTCGCAGCCCAGCTTGGCACTTTGCCAGGGCCACACTGGTCTCGGCCCAGTAGCTGTGTGTCCTCGGATCTGCACTCACTGCACCAGGCATGGCCCCTCCTCAGACACGGCGTGCTGGGGCATCAGATCCGGCCACTGCAAGCCCCAGGATAGAGTCTGACTTTGAGGCCAGGCCGGGCAGTGACAGAGCAGAGGTGTGTCGTGAGGGACAGGACAGCAGGGAGAGAGGAGGAGCCTGAACCTGGACTCCACGCACCCCACATTCAGGTACAGGTGGGTGCTCACGCGCGCATGCACAGACTCATATGGGCTCTAAAGTGACTTACGGATCACAGATGTATGGCCAAGCCACAGGGTGCAGGCTGCATTTGGGGGATTTCAGTCTTTAGGGTCCCCAAGATGTCAACCAAGAGAGTCGTCCATGTGCCGTCATATATCTGTCCTGAGACAGTCCCAGGCCTCCTGCACTCATGAGAAGGGGAGTGGTGAGCAGTTTTGATGTCGGGCATGGTTGCACACACATGTCATCCCAGCACTCGGGAGGCTGAGGTAGGAGGATTGCTGGAGTTGGTGGCCAGCCTGGGCTACATTGTGAATTCCAGGCCAGCTCAAACTGCATAGCAAGACCCTGTCTCAAATAAAGAAGTGCAGCTGTGCAGGGTGCAGGGCACAGGGTTTGGCCTGACAGGGAGGCTGGGGCCCTTCCTGCCCGACAACATCCTGCCTCAGTTCTAGAGGTATCTAGAACTTGCCAAGTCATAGGCTGGGCTCAAATTTTGCAGCTCTTCTGCCTCAGCCTCCGGATGAGCTCGGATTATAGGCATGTGCCAGGTGCCTGCTCCCTGAAGCACCATAGGGAGGAGTAATCAGTGTTTTTTGGTGTTCCCGCCAGGGAGAGGGGTGAGACCTTGGGGTACATGAGAAAGAAAGGGATTCTGGGCCTTGGTGCAGTGGAACAGGCTGGGTTGGGCACGGATGAGGTGTAGGATGGGGCGGGGTCACAGCTGACTGCCGGTTAGGTGCTTTTCTCGGGCTCCCAGCTGGCCATGTTGGCTGCAACCAGGTCCTGGGGACGGGGCCCCAGGACTTCAGGAACTCTGGGCTTCTGGGGTCCACCAGCCTGGTGGACTCCATCCCATTGGGCCTGAACGCCTGGCGTCCCCGGCCCAGGATTCCTCCAGGGCCTGTCCTTGGGGACAAGGCTAATAGCTTCCCCACAGTGGAGTCAGGGATCCTCAGCCCCCTGGACTCTGAGTCTGGCCAGGGAAACGCAGAGAGCCCTGAGCAGCTCCCTGGGGAAACAAAGAGGCCCAGCGCCCACCGCATCTCACCCCCAGCCTTGGGGAGACGGCAGGAAGGACGCTGTTCTCAGGAGCTATCCTCTGACTAAGGGCCAGCAGGGCTGCAGGCGGCCACAGTGACAGGGTTGCAGGCTATGGGGCAGGGGCCTCTATGGCTCTGTCCTGGGGGGCAGTGCATGGGAGAGAGCAGTGGAGGAGGGGCAGAGACAGACAGACAGACAGACAATGAGAGAGACAGAAAGAGAGACTGGCCCCTCAGCCTCCCAGCTCCTGGAGTTCTAGGAACCCTTAGGGACCCTGTACTTCCCATCCTGTCTCCCCCCTAGTAACACTGCTGACTCTCACATGCGCACACACACACACACACACACGTGTGTGTGTGCACGCACATGCTGGGACAAGTTGGCTTGAGTTTGCTCACAGTAACCTCTGCTGCACACCCTGGGCCACACAGGAGCTGTGGTCATCTGGGCCTGCCCCCTGCCCCCTGCCCCCTGCCCACCTGCTCCAGGGCTGATCTGTCCACACAGCAGGGCCGGTGGCCCAGGAGCAGGTGATGCCAGCGAGTCCTCACCTGCACACAGCGAGCCTGGAGAGCCCAGACCCCCCACCCCGTGCCTGGGGAGGGGAGCAGCAGATAGGCCCCACTGCAATCTCAGCAGTCTGGAGGCTGAGGCAGGAGGATTCTTATGAGTTTGAGATTAATTTGAGCTGCGAAATAAGCTCAAGGCCAGCCTGCACTGCATGGTGAGACCCCACCTCAAAAAAAACAACCCATGCACACAAACAGAAAACCTAGATGTGGGGCTGGGGATTTAGCTCAGCAGCATAAGCACCTGCCTTGTAAAGCAGGCAGTCATGAGTTCGATCCCCGGTACTGATAAAAAGGAAAAAGACAAAAAAAAAAAAAAAAAAAAAAAAAAAAAGAAAACCTAGACACAAGGAGAGGGAGGGATGGCTTTAGCCCCTGGATACTCAACTGCTCAGACACGGGGGACACAGGCCAGCAAGTCAGTCGAGGCCGCCCGGCTCCTGCTGGCATCGACTCTCATCTCTTCCTGGAAGCTACTGCCTGACACAGGCCCGGGAAATCAAAGCCCACACTCAGGTCACACCTGAGTCACGGCATCACCACCACTTCCCAAAGACCGATAAGTTTTAGTCCCTTCGGGGGCCCAGGAAGCCCTAGAGCCCATGCCACCCTGTTGCCTCCCAGATCGGCCAGTTCTCCCTGGGGACCACTCGTCCTGAGGCTGCACCATGAGCGTCCAAGCCAGCTGACCACAGTTCTCCCCCATGTCCTCCCCCATGGCTTTCCTGGCCCCCAGGGTGACCCCAGCCTGCAGTGGAGCCCCTACAGGCCATTGTCTGGGGGAGCCCCAGGCTGCAGTGTGGAATGCAAGCTGCATCTGGTGCAGGACTAGGGTGTCCCCCCCCCCCCGCCAGGTGCACAGGTGTGCAGGTGAGCTGGAGCTGCTTCTGGCAGTAGGGAGGATGGCTGTCGGGGTTCCAGCTGAGCAGTCGGAGCCCCCCTTCCAAGCATCATGCTCCAGGCTCCGACCTGGGCTGCTCCTGCCACTCACAGCAAATGCTCTGTGCCAAAATGAACTTCTCTGAGCCTGTTTACCCTTCCACAAAAGCAGGTCAATGTAAAGGGATGGGCGAGGAGACCCAGGGAGGCTGGGCAGGAGCAGAGGCTGAGGCTGGACAGACAGACAGCCGTCTTCCAGCAGGTAGAGAAAGGACCAGATTCGGTGCCTGCAGGGGAGGGGCAGGGACCTCCCCAGCCCCTGCTGCCACCCCAGAGCAGGACATGCCAGCTCGGTGCCCACCTGGGGTGCAGCTCCTTCCTGCCAGTCTCTAAGTCCCCTCCCTGCTTTCGCCGGCTGAGTCTCATTTGTTCTGCTGTGCTCCAGCTCCTACAAGCTGCAAAAGGCTGACATGCGCTTGGGTGAGTGGGTCCCTGGGGCTGGGGCTGGGGACAGGCTGGGGCCCCTCCCCTGCCCTCCCTTGTGACTGTGCCCCACCGAAAGTCCTCTGCTGGAGACACGGCCACCAGTCAGGAGCCTCTGGTACCTCTATCTGGATCCAGGGCTGGGTTGGGTGTACCCCAAGAACAAAGGTGGGGGCGAGAGGGGCTAGGGAGCCCCCAATACCCCCTGCAAGGCTCTGGGGCTGCACAGCTGAGCCCAGGGTTCCAAGAAGCAGAGCAGATTTTCAGCACCCCTCCGGCACCAGGGCCCTGCAGAAGTCCGTGGTGCAGAAGTGGGAGGGATAGCAGACTGGGGCGCAGGAGTGTGGTTGGTGTCTACGTGTCTATGGCACTAGGGCCTGCACCAGTGCCCCCCATCTGAGGTCTCCCCATTCACAGCTGTCAGGTTACAGTTGCTATTCTTCCCAGGAGTTTTGGGGAGCCAGCTCTGAACAGGAGCTCAGAGCCAGTGGCCAGGCACTGGGGTTCCCTCCAGTTTTGGGAGGTCTGGCTATCAACACATCCAGGGTGCAGGCCCCAGCACTGGAGAATGTGGGAGCCCCCGGTTGGGATGAGGATCCTGATCCTACCAGGGAGGAGGCAAAGCCGAGGGTCTTGGGTCAGTCGCTGCTCAGATCCCCCTCATTTTGTTCCTTTTGCCGCACCCCCCTTTTCTCAGCAGAGCTTTGGTTTTCTCTGAGACAGAAGCACAGGGCCATGTTTGATGTGTATGCATGTGTACTCGTGTGTACACATGTGCCCTGGGGGCACTGTCATCCCTCCCGTGGCTGCAGTGGGGCTGGGGTGCCTCGGGGAGACCCTTCTTGGTGGTTTTGTAAAGCAAGCAAGTCTGGTGTGTCCGGCAGCTTGGCAGGCACTGTGGGGTGCCTGTCCTGCTTTGGGGATTGCAGTGTCTCTGCTTGGGTGTGCGCCCCCCGCTGTGGGTGGCTTTGTGCTGTCTGCAGGGTCTGTGTGTCTTATGTCTGTCCATTTGGACATTTGCACGTACACATATGTCTACTGATTGCATCTGTGCACACACAGGCACCCCCATGCCCCTGTGGGTGTGTGTCAGTGCACGTGGTTGTGCACAGTGTGTGCAGATGGCCCGTCCCACGGTGGGGACACAGATGAGGGCCTCCCCCCGCTGTGTCTCCCTGCTTCCTCTGTTGGTCCATGGGTCTCAGCCTCCATGCTGCCCAGGGTGGGGACTGGGTCAGTCGCAGGATGTGCAGGGTGCTGGACAGTTCCTTGGGGCCTCTGGAGAGGCCCAGGCCTCAGACCAACTGCATCCTGGGCCCTGTCATGGACATCGGGGTGGTTGACTGAGGGGGTCAGAAAGGCATCTCTGAGGCCCTGCTGGCTGGAAGAGCCAGGGTCACCAAGTGCATTGACCCACTTTGCCCACAGCATGTGGTCCTGGGCTGGGCTTGAACTTAGACCCTCCCACCTCAGCCTCCCAGTCACTGGGCACCACAGACTTTTCAGATCTCTGGGGAACAGCAGCATCCTGGTGGGTGACAGGTGGCAGCTCCTAGAAGTTCGCTCCCCCACCTTGGGACCCGATCCCTCCCCTCAGCTCACAGGCACTCTGCTGCCACCTTGGCCTGGGCTCCCCATGTAAACCCCACAGAGAGGACACCCGAGGTAGGGGGAGGGGCACAAGGCAACAGCCTAGGACTGTGATCCCTGGGCCTCCAGAGTGCAGGCAGCAGGAGAATAGGGGGGTGAGGGCAAGGACTTTGCCTCTGGGGACCCACCCGGAGGGCCAAGCCCCAGAGGGACAGGTGAAGGGTGCAGGGGTGGCACCCCCCTCCAGCCCGCCTATGTATGGGCAGGTGCCGGTCTCGTTGGGTCCCAAGTGTGGAGTCCCAGCGGTACCACATGGAGCTCCCACTAGTACCCGAGGGTGAGAACACGCCAGGGCCTGGGGCTGTGAGCAGGGCACCCCTTGAGTTGGGGGTGTCACCGTGGCACCTGGCTGGGATGGGCGGGACTTGAGCTCCAGGTGGCCGCCACTGTGCTGGACAGGGCCATTCTGGAATCCCCAGGTCCCCCCTTGCACTCTGGTTCTTTCATCCAAACCTCCCTAGGTCAGACTCAGCCGCCCAGGCCTGCCCTCCTGCATGGTCATGGACTTCCTGTAAGAAGGTTTCCCCTGGCCCGGCTCCCACCCCGCTGAGGTTCCCTGTGCTGGCCTTGCTGAGATCACACGGTCGCTGGCCAGGCCTCTCCCTTGCTGGCTCAGATGGTGGTGGGCTCAGAGCTGACTGAGCGAGCTGCTCTTCCCCATGCAGAAACAAACTGACATTTGTGAACCATGGAGCTGTGGAAAAGACAGGGGCTTCTGGGAAAGGACACAGGAGATGCTTCCTGTGAAGAGGGGCCAGCTGAGGCCAGAAGGGAGATGAGGCAGGCAGGCAAAAGCCAAGCAGGAGAGCAGGGGCATCTTAGAATGGCAGTGTGTGCAAAGGTCCTAGGGTACCTGACACCTAGAGGGGGCTGGTACTGTTGGCTGGATGGGAGACATGGCTGCTGGAAGGGTCAGCAAGGTGGGACACCTGACAGACCCCAAAAGTCACTCTGACAGGGAGGGGTTCGAGCCCTAAGAGACGACAGTGATGAGAACAAGGCCACCAGTGGTGATGTGGGAAGAGGGGCCAGTGGCACAGGTTCTGGAGACGGAATCTGTAGGTTCTGGGGATGACGGGTCTGGGATTGGGGGACGTCCAAAGGGAGGGGCGCATTTCTGACCAGAAAGAAGAAGGATGACTAGGAGAGGGTCCTCTAGTAAGGCCTGAGCAACTGTAATGTGCTGCTGGGTGTGGTGGTGCATGCCTGTAATCCCCGCCCTTTGGGAGGCTGAGGTAGGAGAATCTCAAGTTCTAGTGGGTAGGAAAACCAGAGGCTGCTGGACTGTGTGGTGTGGCAAGCAGTGTCAAGTACCCGGAGGAATACGGGACTCCTCAAAGTCCAGAAGAGAGAGCCAACGCCTGGCCACATAGACACCACCCCTGACCCAGCCGGGCTGCCCCTAGAACTCTGCTCCTGCTCCCCAGGGAGGGCCGGGCACAGGGAGTGTCAGGGTCCTGGGAACAGGAAGTTCTTCCAGAGCCAGATGGAGCTTCTTCGTGCCTTACAGCCACCCACTGTTACTGAGTGACAGGGACCCGGAGTGTGACCAGGGACCCGCCTGACCTCGGCTTCCAGGAGGAAGGGCAGAGATTCGGAGGGAGTCCCTGCTCTGCCGGTGCTGCACACGGCCAGGGGACAGATGCCCACCCAGCTCGGGGGCACAGCAGATGAAGGGAAAGCCGGGCCCCTGGGTCTGGAGTGTGAGCCCTGTGGTGGGTGGCTTAGCTGAGACCCTGTCTGGAAAAGTAAAAGATGGCCGGGACATAGCTCAGTCTGAAGGCCCCGAGGTCCATCCCCAGTACCAGAAAAAAAATCAGAAAGAAATGGACAGGAGGGGCAAGGGCATGGGGAGGGGCCGGGAATAAGGGGCGGGGCCAGGCAGGGAGAAGGTGGGAGCCTGGTAGACATAGTGGTGTGTGTGTGTGTGTGTGTGTGTGTGTGTGTGTGTGTGTGTGTTCCAGAGGTGTCCAGGGGCCATGCTGGCCCCCGTGGCTGCTGGCGACACTCAGACCTGGGGCTGTGGTCCTGTGCACACACGTGTGTGTGTGCTGTCCCTGGATGCTGGGGGTGGGTGGAGAAGGCTCAGCGTGGTCCCTGGAGTCACCAGGATGGGAGTTCCAATCCTACCCTAGCTGCTCAGTCCAGCACATGGTGGACTGGGGGACCTCGTAGTGTGAGGGCTGGAGGGGCAGTCTTTCCCTCAGGTTGGCCTACTGAGTGGCCACCAGGTTCCTGGCAGCCCCTTGAACCCAGCCTGCCCTGCAGCCGGGGAGGACTAGGAGGCCCCCATGGCCCGGACACCTCTCCTCGCCTCTCACCTCCAGCCACCTGTGCCCTGGTCCCAGGTGGTTCCCCTGCTTGCAGAGGGCTGGGGGCCCGGAGCTGCCATGGTGCCCCCCAGGAGGAAGCTGGCCAGAGGTATCCACCTCCAACCAGAAGTACAGAGGCTCCTTCCCCACGCTGGAGGGAGGGGTAGCCCTGGCTGGATTGGGGAGCAGCAGCTGATATTTCCCCCTGGAGGCTCGGTGGGCACAACTGGGCCGAGACGGACTTCACCGTGGGCACTGGCAACTGCGGGCACCGGGCTCTGCCACATCGAGTTTCCTGGGACACCTGGTGGCACTCTCCACCTGTAAACTGGATGGGCCTGCTTTAGAGGGTGCCTGCTGCCCTGGGGCACTGAGCTGGAAAAGAACCAGCCACTGTGCTGACCACCATATGCCGCACAGCCAAAGAGGACCTCAAGCCTGACCATTGTGATGCCGCTGTGCTCCAGTTACAGAGATTCAATTGCCGGGCAGAAAGAGCACAAGGTCACCACTGCCCCAGGAACATGGGAGACATACAGGTGGGTGGCCAGCAGGGCACGGGGCCAGCAGGGGCACAGTGGTGCCCTAACCACAGTTACCAGGGCATGACCTCCCCCCATGCAGTATTCTGTGGCTGCGGTGGTGGCCTGGACTGGCCATGGTTTCCTGGGATCTTCCTCATGTGCCTGCCCACTGCAAGTTCCAAGTCCCCGGTGTGGCCCCAGAGGCCATGTGCATGTGTGCTGGGCTCTGTCCCAGGCTCAGTGCAACCAGCTCTGGGCAGGGTCTTCAGGGCCATCCTGAACTGGGCTGGGGGGGACACTCTACAGGAGGCACAAGGGCACTGCTGCAGGACAACCAGCTCCCTCAGAGGGCTCCAGGGATCTTAAAGCTCCTCCAAGTACCCAAGAACAATGGCAGAGATGAACCTGCGGTTCGGACCTGAGACAGACAGCTCTTCGAGAAGGGCAAGGGCAGCTGTGAGCCAAGCACCAGTGTCAGGAACCTGATGCTGAGAGGCCAAGTCACTGCCCAGGGTGGCAGAGCCAGCCTCGGCCTCCACATCTGTGGTCTGCTGTGCTACCCTGGGGACAAATCTAAGCATCCTCCCTGATTTCTCTCCCTGGCTTCCAGGTGGCCAGTGCATGTCCTGCACCAGAGGCCTGCCTGCACCCAAAGGTGTCCCCATATGTGGGGCTGGTGGTGGATGTGATCAGGGCTTGACCCGAGTCCCACAGGCTAGCCCTGTTGGCCATGTCAGTGTTCCTGTGGGATGGGCAGCTCGCCACCACCTTCTGGGGCAGCATGGAGCTACAGGAAGGCAAGGCTGCCATTAGCCGACTACTGGATGTCTGGCAGGCCTCCAGCATCGCAGTGTCTAAGCTTGCCTGGCTCAGCTCTGGTCACTGCAGGAGCACCTAGACAGCGTGGCCTGTAGCTCCAGGCCACCACCTCCTGCTCACCAAGCTGCTCACCAAGCTGCACTGTGTTCTGGGCTGGCCGGACCCGAGACCCCCCTGCGTGAGGAAATAGGAGAGCGTGCTGACATTCTCTTCCACCTGCACCGTGGCCCCGGTGCCCACACGGTTACTGAGCTCCGGACGGCGCTGGACCTGGTCAAGGCCCCTGCCCTGGATGTCCAGCTGCCCGGGGTGGAGGTGGTGGCTGAGGCCTGGCTGTGCCTGGTGTCTGCCCTGGAGGCCACCGCTCCAGCATCTCCCACTGTGTGCTCCCGGCCCTGGCACTGTGCCAGTTCACTTCCCTGGTCTTCACACTGCTGGACGTGCTGCTCCCAGTGCACAGGCTTGTCCCGGCACTGCAGCCAGAGCAGCTGGTCCTGGCCACCCTGAGGCTGGGGTGGGAGGCTGCACTACACCTTATGGGGCCCTCGCTGGATGTCGTGGCACATGTGCATGCATGCACTTGGGGACTTCATGTCCTTCTGTGTGTGCACCTGGCGTGTGCGCACTCTGAGCTGCCACTCTGCCCAGACTTCACTGCCCTGGTCCTGGCGCCGCCCTGAGAATTGGGTTTATGCACAAGGAGCAGAGCCAACGCCACCTCATGCGGGGTCTCCAAGCCACATGGCCAGGATCCCTGTGGACAGACCCGTTCTGCGTGCCTTCGGCTTGGCACCAGCCCTGAAGCCTCTGCAGTGGGGGTGGGCTGAGGGTCTGCTGGAACTCGGGACCCCCTAGGACCAGGGACACCCTGCCTGCTGTAGGCTCCCCTTCCCCAGTGTCCCAAGGGGGCCTGGAGCAGCGCTGTCCAGTCCAGGCTACCTCATGCCTCTCTGCTGTGCAGTAGTGACAGGCCATGTCCACCTCCTCCTGGACCCTGCCCACATTCTGGCCCTACAAAAACTGGGGCTCAGGTTGTGACTAGGGGGAGCCTAGGTCCAGGAAATGGGGACTCAAGGGCAGAAGAATCTGTGCTTGGCTTACCTGGGCTGTTTGGCCTTGGTCTACGTTCAGCTCCAGGGCACGAGGGTCCAGGAAGGGGTCGGCTGCACTGATTTCTGGTATTTTTTGTTTGCCTCCAAGTCTGGGTGTTCAGATTCCAAACCCTCCCTTGTCCTTGCCTTTGGAGACCAAAGGCTGCAAAACCCCAGTGTTAAGGGAGGTATGGTGGTACAGACCCAGGATTCAGGAGGCGTGCCATGAATTTCTGGCCAGCCTGGGCTACACAGGGCCACCCTGAGCGTCTGCGCAGCCTTTGCTACAAATAACTGGGGATCTGCAGGGAGGGATGGGATGATCCCCATGATGGACCGGGCGGTGAGGGGTGGGCTTCACCTGAGTCCCGGGAATTCAGGATTAATATGGGGAGAGAACAGGCGCCACCTCCAGCAGGCTGCATGGCAGTGTGTGCATCAGGGGCCAGCCCAGCTCCTCTGTGCCCTTCCTGCCCTTCTTCTGCCTCTGTCCACCCAGAAGGGACATCTTTCAGGGATGGGCGACGTGATGGCCACTGCCTTGTGGCAGAACGAAGGGCTCTGTCCCAGCCTGCCCGAAGCCCTCAGCCTCAGGTCCTTCCAACCCCGCCCTTCTCCCCCTTGCCGCAGGCCCAGCCTCCAGCACCCCCAGCCCGCTGCTGGGCCCCCTGCCCCTGCCTGCCTGGCTTCTGCAGCCCTCGCTGGACATCAAGCACTTGCTGGCCTTCCACCTCCATGGTGCCGCCCCATTCAGCCTCTTCCCCAACTTCAGCACGGTATGGGCAGGGCAGGCGGGGCGGTGGGGCAGTGGTGGGGGCAGCAGGAACACCCTCCCCCAACATCTCCTAGGCAACAATACAGCACCACAACTCACCGGGTTTTCTGCAGCTGTGTCTGGATCATGAGTGCAGTGGCCCCGGGCGGCTGTCAGTAGCCTAGGCTGTGATGTGGTGGTGAAGGTGTGGTGATTCTCCTGCCTCAGCCTCCCAGAGCGCTGGGTTGACAGGCAGGCACCACCACACCCAGTTTATCTTTGGGTTTCTGTGTCTCTGTGCCTGGTGTGTGTTTGGTGTGTATCTGCCTTTGGAGTGTGCATCTGTGAGTCTTGGCTTGTTGGGCAAACGTGGGCAAACGGTGCTGTGCCCATCGGCCTGAGCATGTGTGCAGGCACATGGGTGTACACTATGGATGTTAGCCACCTGTGAGTGCAGGGAAGCCGAGCATCACAGGAGACCATGATGAGCTGCAGCTACCCTGAGAGATGACATCCATTCCCTCATGGTCACCTGCAGGTGTCCCCGCCCACCCTCCAGGGTCACCAGGTGCTAAGGGAATGGACCTCTGGACTTCTGTCCTGCTGTTCAAGGTCATGGTCCCTCAAGAGTACACAAATTCGCTGTGTCTCTGGTGGGACTCTGGGCCACATCCTCAGGGGTCTCTTGCTTGAGCTGGATGTGGTGGCGCATGCCTGTCATCCAGTACTTAAGAGGCTGAAGCAGGAGGTTCTCCTTGAATCTGAGACTGGTCTGGACACATAGTGAGACCGAAATACAAAACAAAACAAACCCACCAGCAGAATGAAGAGCAGTAGGGTGGCCTGGCTGACACAGTCCCGGGATGGGACTGGAGCTGTCTGTCCCTGTGGTTAGCTCCCCTCCTTTCCTGAGCCAGCCCCAGGGTGTGTGCCCTGTGCTCCCCACACAGATGGACCCGGTCCAGAAAGCGGTCATCAGCCACACATTCGGAATCCCCGCCCCACTGAAGAAAAGGCTTTGCATCTCTTGTAATATCTGCCACCTGAGGCTCAACTCGGTGGTAAGTGGGATGGGCAGAGAGGGGCTGAGCCTTCCTTCCGCCCTGTCCTAGGGACTCGGGAGGCTAAGACAGGAGGGTCCTTGTGAGTTTGAGGCCAACCTGGGCTACATAGTGAGACCCTGTCTCAAGAAACAAACACAAACCAAAACCAAAATGCAGTCTGTATCTCTGAGTCTGTCCCTGGACTCAGCTTTGGCCCTGGTCGGGATGTGGGGAGCCCACCTGGATGGTGACCCCTGCCCTCCTGTCCACAGAACCAGGCCGAGGCCCACTACAAAGGCCACAAACACGCCAGGAAGCTCAAGGCTGTGGAAGCCGCCAAGAGCAAGCAGAGGCCGAAGAGACGGGCCTGGGACAGGGCAGCTGTGTCCCCAGCCAATGGTAGTGAGGACCCTGGAGCGTCGAAAGCCAGAGGTCAGTCCAAGAGGCATGAGGGCTCATGTGGCCTCCTGGGGTCCAGGAGCTGAGCATACCTGTGGGCCTGAAGGCTGGGGAGTGGCCCAGTCCAGGGGTGTCCGGATGCTCCTGAGACCCAGGCTGCTGTGGCACTGGCCCCTCCTCCAGCCCTATCTCTCCTGGCATCTGCAGTCTCTGATCCCCCTGTCCCCGAGGCTTCTCTGAAGGACAGAAGCACTGGCTGAGTCTCAAACTGTGACCTCGTCTTAGCTAATGTTTAAACTGTGAGACAGGGGCTCTCATTCAGGCCTGTCAGGTGCCCAGGCTGGGCTCGAACTCGCCACTTCCCTGCTTCAGCCTCCCCAAGTGCGAATGCTAGGATCTGGGCATGCGCCACCACACCCAACTCCTCTTAACTAATTATTCCTGTGAAGATTCCCTTTCCAGTGAGTCATGCTCTGGACCCGTAGAGATGTGAATTTTGGGGGAGACTATTCTCCTCGCCTTGGCATGACTCCAATCCTGGCTTTGCACAGGGTAAATGGCTTTGGTGTGTAGGGTTCATAGGATTTTGTGTTGGGTGATTTCTTGCCTCCTGTGATGCTAGCAGTGTTGATTATGTATCCAAGGCTGTTATTTGTAACTCAGTATTTTCCACTGCTTCATCTTACTCCATTCAGACTGCACCCTACATGCCGCCCTGAGGGCCACTGAACACCAAGCCCTCCAGCTTTATCTCCTCACTGGCCCAAGGTGGCTGGCCACCCCCTGACCTGCACCTCCTGTCTCCCCAGCAGAGCCTGCAGCCTCCCCCATTGGCCCTCTACACCAGCCACCACTGACCCCGGAGCCCTCAATCTGCGAGCCAGGCCAAGCAGACCTGGTGGACAGCACCTCCTCTGCGTCCTGCTGCCCACCCCCCGCCCCAGAGCCGGGCAGGGAGGCTCCAGGGTCTGAGTCTGTGGTGACACCAGCAGCGGTGGAGAGCAGCAGGAGTGGGGAAGGTGGCCAAGAGAAGGGGGGCCTCTACTGTCCCACCTGTAAGGTGACCGTGAACTCCACCTCTCAACTTCAGGCACACAACACAGGTCAGCGCCCTGAGCCTCACCACTGGGGGGCTGCAGCTGGAGGGCACAGGGGAGGTGTGTGGGGCTTCTGCGAATCCCCGGGGTCAGGGAGCTGAGGCAGCAAGCATAGAGGTCCCTCACTGGGTCTCTAGAGAAACTTGGGGAGGTGGTCCACAGCTGTAGTCCTGTGCTGAGGAAGCTGAGGCAGGAGGACCGCCAAGAGTTTGAGGCCAGCCTGGGCTATGCATCACAACCCTGTCCCCGCAAAACAGACAAAATCTCTGGAGCCTTGGGAGGCCCCTTCTCTGTCTCCTCCATTGAACCACAAGGCAGAAACTATGATGGGCAGCATCCCCTTGGGGGTTAAAATAAAGGGCGGCAACTCGCTTCTCTTGGGGTCTTGGTGGCTTGGCCTCCTCGGGTATGGACCACTGTGGTCTTCCTCCTTCCAGGGGCCAGGCACCGGTGGATGGTAGAAGGTCAGCGGGGAGCTCCCCGTAGGGCCCGGGGCCGAGCTGTGTCCCGGAGAAGAGCTGGACAAAAGGCCGGGAGAGTGTCGGGGGTCCAGGGCAGCCGGCAGAGCTCCCAGCCACCTTTCCACTGCGGGCTGTGTCAGCTGCAGGTCAACTCAGAGACCCAGCTCAAGCAGGTTCGGCTGGGAAGGGGTGCGGGGCTGTGGCTGAGGAAGGGCGGCAGAGGCGTTGTGGGTGCTTCATGCAGTTCTGTCCGTCTGTCTGTCCATCAGCACATGAGCAGCCGGAGGCATAAAGACCGCCTGGCCGGGAAGCCCCCCAAGCACCCCAAACCCCCCAGCCCGCACAGCATGCTGCAGAAGCAGGCAGCGCTAGCAGTGAGCGTCCTCAAGGTCTCTGCCTGCCAGGATATGGTGGCTGGGGGCAAGGGCAGCCTCAGGAATTTCCGGGGAGGTGGCGTGGGGTGGTGGCCTGGATCTCCTGAGACCAGGTCCTTGCCCTGTCCCCCATCCAAAGTCATCCTCCCCAGGGCAGGAAGACAGGTGGCTGATGGGAAGACAGTGTGTGGGGGGGATTGGGTTTGGAGCCAGAGGGAGGCAGCATGTCCCCGCAGCAGGAAGCCCCTGGTGCCCGGGAGGGTGCGTGCTGGGCTCTGCCCGACACTGTGTGTCCCTGCAGTCCAAGCTGGCCCTGCAGAAGCAGCTCACCAGGACACTGGCCGCCCACCTGCTGCCTGCTGCCGCCACCTCTGCCATCTGCACTATGCCGGGGCCCCTGGCCCTCCGGCCAGCCCCCGCCAGCCTCTTCCCTGCCCCTGTCCTGGGCCCTGCACTGTTCCGAGCTGCTGCGGGAGCCATGCGCCCCACCCCAGGACCCCTGGTCTTCGCACCCTATTAGCCCAGCCTGGCCTCCTCCTGCCCCTCCAGGAGCTGCTGCTGGACTGGTTCGGGCAGCTTTTCTGCACCACGGGCTAGGGGCTTAGCTGTCTCCCTCTCCTAGTCCAGAGCCCCTGCATTCCCAGCCCATCACATCCCACCATCTACGCAAAACCCCAGCCCAGCCCCAAGGTGCTTTCTCCAACCAAAGACCTCATCCACACTCCCAGCCCGGGGGCCACCGTGACTTCTGCCCTGAAGCCTCACCAGGTTTCCTGGAAGTTAGGGACAGGCTCTCCACCTGGGGTGGGCTCTGGCCCCTCAGGACACAGTGGCTGGGGAGCTTGTCAGGGGACCATGGAGCAGGAAAGGGGCTCACAGTCCTGTTCAGGCAGTGGGCACTGGGCAGCTGTGGGGCTGTCTGACTTTACTGGAAGTGACCCCCCTGGAGTCCCCAAAGTTCTGGCTCTTGGAAGGGGCACTGTGTTTACCCCAGACCACAGGCTTAACACACAGGTAGCCCTCATACTTGGGACTCCTACCTGCCTAGACCCTAGTGCCAAGGACAGCTCCTCCCAGCACCCTGTGCAGCTGGGCCGACTCATCCAGGAGCCCATGGGCCCTGCCAGGACCCTGTATTTTTTTCTTTTTTTGGAGATATTTCCAGTGGGAAAGTGACAAAGGGGAGGAGGAGGGAAACTTTTTTATAACAGCAGTTGTGGTTTTATTGTATCCAACAAATTCATCAATAAATGAATGCTGAGCCAGAGCCTGTTGGTCAATGCCCAGTCTCCTGCTTGGCCTGGCTCTGCCCTGCTCCCACTCCTGTCCTGGGGGGCTGGGAGAACCCCAGTGGCACAGAGAGGCGGGGATGAGCTCCCCAAGCTGCTACTGCCATGCCTGCTTCTGTGGCTGAGGTCAGGGAGGCAGGCGAGCACCGTGTCCAGCCTTGGCTGAGGTGGGAGACACAGGTGACAGAAACTCCAGGGACAGGACACAGCCACCTAGCAGGGTCCCAAGGGTGGCGTGCCACTGCCCCCTGCTGGTCAGGAAGAACAGAGCCCAGCCGCCAGGGCTGGGACCAAGCACCTTGAAGAGGAAGACGCCAAGACCAGGCAATGACCTGGGAGACCAGAGATGGCCTGGGCAGCAAGGCCACCCCCAAGCCAGAAGAGGATGTGAGATGTGGGGCTGGGGGGACGCAGGCTCCCTAGAGCTGGCCCTGATGCAGCACAAGCACAAACACCCAGACCCCTGTTCACGTCCAGGCTAGTGGGAGTGTGAGCATGTATGCACATGTGCACACACACGAGTGTGACCATTCAAAGCTCAGAGAACTGGTAGCCCTGTCATTGGAAACAGACCCTAGCCAAGTGTGGGGGCACACACCTATAATCCCACCTGCTCAGGAGGCTGAGGCAGGAGAATCCAAGACTGAAGCCAGCCTGAAGAACTTATCAAGACCCTGTCTCAAAACCAAAAAGGCCCCAGATCCTACACTGGGCACTAGTGGCATGGTAGTTCCTCTTCCTGTCTGGATGACAGATGGGATGCTGCCCTAGGCAACAGTGAAGACCATGTTGGCTGAAGTGGGGGTGGGGGAAGGGCGCTAACGAAGACCATTTGCACTTGGGTGTTGAGAGGGGACAGTCCAGCTGCCTGGCTGTGCAGGGCTCTCTCTTGGGTCCAGCCGTTTTCCAGGGCCCTGGAGCTCAGCAAGGGTAGGTGGGGGGCGGGTGGCAGGGCAGCGGCTGCTCAGCCGTCCAGGGAGCCGCTGCCCTTGTTCTTGCGGCTAAGCGGGAAGGCCGACTTGCTCTGAGGCTGCGTCATCTTGCTGGCCAGGTAGATGAAGGGCTCCAGCAGGGAGCGGCGGTCAGCCACCGACACCTCCCACAACTTCACCTTCTCTGACTTGGCCCAGTGCTGTGCAGTGTCTAGATCTACACGCCGCTGCTCCTGGAGGTCACACTTGTTGCCCAGGACCACGATGGTGACCTGGGAGAGGACAGAGGTTATGGGGTGGGGACTGCTGGTCAGACTGGGTACCTCAAACATCTCAGACAGTGCATGCATGAAGCCACTGTGTAGACTGGGGGGCCCTCACTCGTGAGCCCAGGACCCCTGCTGGCCATGTGGCCACATCTGAGGATGAAGCCTCTCCATTGCCCCCTGGCCTTGCCAGCCCCTATGCCACCTCTTGGCAGATGAGTAAAGTGGAGTCTCTCTAAGTGCCCACAGGCCACCCCGTGCTGCACACCTCTTTCTTGTCCTTGGATTTGTCAATCTCCTTCTTCAGGAGCTCCACACGCTGGAAGGACTCCCGACTGTCGGTGCTGTAGACCAGCACGTAACCATCCGTGCAGGAGAAACAGTGCCGGGGCAGCTCAGTCCCTTCCCGGAGCCCACGGGTGTCATAGAAACGCACTTGCTCCCGAACGCCACGGTCCGTCTCGATGGAGCCCACATAGATGTCCTCCTGGGTTTCCATCATCTCAGAACCTGGGACAAGAAAAGCCCTGCTGAAGTGGGGAGGGAGGCTGGAAATGTGACTGTTGAGGTCAGCCTGATAGGGACCAAGGGTCACAGGACCCAGGCAAGGCTGGACCAGAGCCTAGTGGGAAGTGGAATGAGTTGGGCCAACTAACATGAATGTCACTCATACCATGCACCACATGAAGGCTTCTCCTCTCTGAGAGCCTATTCTGTGTTTTGTTGAGACAGGGTCTCATTACATACTGCAGGTTGGCCTGGAACTCACAGTGATCCTCCTGCCTTAGCCTCCTGAGTGCTGGGGTCATAGGAATGAGCCACCACACCCAGCCAGATCCTGAATTTCTTCCCCCAGATCTGTTTAATGCTGGAAAGCTAAGAAGAGCTACATTAGTTTTACCCTTTTTCTCACTTCGTTCTGAGGATGAAAACAAGGTTTTTGCAACTACCATCAGTCTTTTACTTATTATTTATTTTTGAGACAGTATCTCTCTGTCCAGTTCAGGTTGGCTTTGAGCTCACTGTGTAGCCCAAGCTGATCTTGAATTTGCAAGGATCTTCCTGTCTCAGCCTCCCAGGGTGCCGGATGACAGCTGTGTGCCACACCCTCCTTACGGTGCAAAAACCACGGGAGCAGCTTTGAGCCTTTGCGTAGTGCGCATCAATGTTACTCCGTGTTCGGAAACGCCTTCCACCAGCCCCAGCTCCAAGCACACTCACCCACTACATGGTTCCCATACAGGAGTTGCTCCAGGATGGAAGTTTTCCCCACTGACGCCTGGCCACAAACGACCACCTTGCAGCTCTTCCCCATGCTTAACCTCCAACCTGCAAGGCCAGAGGCGAGGGAAACCGGGATCAGAGCAGAGAGCAGCCCCGCCTCCGCGACGGCGAGCCTGGGCAGGGGCGGAAGCACAACTCCCGGGGTCCGCGGCGCCCGACTCAGGGAGACCCGGTCAGAATCACCTTCCTCTCAAAGCATCCCCGAGCCCCAGATGGCAATCCCTGCAGACGGCCGCGAAGGCTCTCGCAGCAGCTCCCGGGACAGCGCCCGACACCGACCCCTCTCCCCGGAGCGAGCCCTGCGATTCAGGCACCCAGAGGGTCCCGCCCCGAGCCCCGAAGCAGATCCCAGCCAGAGAGGGCCCGCCGCCTGGCTCCGCACCTCCCGGGACCCCACTGCACCCCCGTCGCCCACTGAAGCGCGCAGGGACCCGGGGACTGGCAGCTGAGCCCGGGGCTCCCCATCAGCCTCCGGGCGGAAGTGGACTTCGCGGGGCCTCGCCCCCACCGCCCCTAGGCTTCCGGTCTGGGGCGAGTTCCGGTGGCGGGGAGCGGGCGCCGGCCGCACGACGCCCCTAGAGGCCAGCGCGGGAAATGCTGGCCTGAGCGGGCCTGGTCATGAGCGAGCGAGGGTTCTAGGCTCCTGGACGCCGGACGCCGTTTCCGAGTCTCGGAGGCCCGCGTTCTCTCTCCCTATAGGCTGCTCTCCTACAGGAGCGCTTGGTTGGCGCGGTCGTGAAGTCGTCATTTGCTTCCTTGTCTCTTCTGCGGGGCTGGAGATGGAAACTAGGGACTTAGGCATGGACGCGCCCAGCTCTGAGCCACACTGCTTCTCTATCCTTCATCCTCGGCCTTTGGGGCCACGTGTGGAGCCACGTGCGGGGAAGAGCCCGGAAGTGCCACGTGGCTGTGTTCGAGATGTCACGGTCCCGAGGACCTGGCCTGTCAAGCCAGCAATCGCTGTGCACCACAGTGAGTACGGCTCGGGGGGCCGTAGCCCAGGGCGGCAGGCTCCGAGCCACTCAGAGCCCCTGCGTGTTAGGCCAGGGCTTGAGCCCAGGGTGCTGGACCTTGCATCAGAGGTATCAGCGAGAGGTCTGGGGGCGGACAGCAGTGAGGTACTCTCCGGGAGTGGCGGGGTGCGAAACCCAATCAAGAGATAACCGGGAATTTGGAGAAGAGAATCAAGTGCGGTGTTAGTTCCATCTGTTTTCGAGGGATGGACAGACGCTAAGCTCAGCGCATGCGAAGCCCCGGGCATCTGAGAGACGTTGGGAGAGACCCAGTAGGTAGTTAGCAGCACAGATCTGGAGACAGCAAGAGTTGAGGGGTTGGCTCCAAAAGGAGAATGCAGAGTGCCAAGACGGGCACAGGTAGGCCGGCCCCTGGCAGAGGGCAGGCATCTTCGAGCCCCTTGCCCTCCCACTCAGCACCGAATGTATCCTGGAAAGGGCTGTTGAAGGCCCTCGCCATACCAGCTCACCCGTGCCCCTGTCCTCGGCTCTCTGCTAGGCAGGGGCTACGAAAACGAGTAGGGCTGTGGTGCTATCCTCCTGGTACATGGATGATCTTCAGTGCTGGGATTGAAACCAGGGCCACTCACTAGTGAGGCAGGCAGATGCTCTACCCCTGAGCTGCCTCCCTAGCCCAAGCACCTTTTAAAATTCCGTGTCCTTGGGCCAGGGAGTTAGCTCAGCAGCATAAGCGCCTGCCTGGCAAGTGCAAGGTCATGAGTTTGATCCCCGGTACCAAAAAAATAAAATTCCGTGTCCTTTTCTATTTCAGTCCCTTTAGCTTTACATGAGAACCTCAAACCCCTTGGTTTGACCGCAGAAAGCCCTACTTTATCTCAATCCCTGGCTTGGGCAGGGAGGTCTATAGGGATGACTAAGCTGGAGCTCTGTGCTCTCAGTCCCCCTCCGCACTGCCTTCATCAGCCAAGCGTGCTGCACCGAGTTTATGAGGGGTGGGAGCTCGGAGGACACAGAGGAGCAGGTACCTCACCCCGTGAGCTGCCTTATAAACTCCGGGGCAGGGCCGGGCGCCTGTTGTGTCGCCTCTCTGGGCTTATTGCTGAGACTGCGCTCCCAGCGGCCGACATGAAAGTGGCTCATAAAGGGCAGCGTCATTGGGGTGATGAAGCAGCCGTTGCTTGGAGATCCAGGGATAAAAGGCACGGGTGAGGACGCCCTGCGTCCCCTGGCTTCCTGGGCAGGGCCTGCAAGGTCCGATGAAAGCTGGGGGAACCGGGCGCCCAGTGTCTTCTCGCTTTTCGAGGGAGGACGCTGTGGACACACGCCGTCACCAGGCGGAGAGCCGCGGGGCTCATTACCTCCAGATCCTCCGTCCCCAGCCCCGCCCAGGCTGCCCCCGCCATTCGGCTCCCTGTAGGATTGCAAGTTGCAATGGCAACCAGGATCTCGGGGTAATGAGGAAAGCAAAAGCCCCGAGAGGCAACACAGCCCTCCCCGCGGGTAAAGTGGCGCCCCCCACGCCTCGGAGAGGTCTCTGGGCCCCCGCCTCAGCTAGACCACCGTGGACCTCCAGAGACGCGAGGCCGCTCTGCCCCCAGACGGAGACTCTCGTTGGTAGACGAGCCCCGGGGTGCCTCTCTGGGCGCGCCACTGCGCCACCGCTCGATGCTCCGGGCGGAAGTGTTCTTCCCAGCCGGCCACCCGCCCGGCTCTCTGGTCCCGGCGGTAAGATGGCGGCGGCCGCGGAGTGCGATGTGGTAATGGCGACGACCGAGCCAGAGCTGCTGGACGAAGAAGCTAAGAGGTAAGTGGGCGGCGGGGTCAAGGAAGCGAACGACTTCGGGCCCACGGCTTGCGGAAATCCAGCCCTTCTGCGGCGAGGCGTTCTGTGGCTGAGGCCCCGCCCCGCCCTCTGCGACCCCCAGGTCTGAGATCCGCGCCCGAGACCCCGAGGGCGCTCTGCAGTTCGGCCCCTTCTGTCGGCGCGGCCCGGGGACCCGGCAGAGGCGGCCGTACTCCCGCGAGGCCGGGTCGCGGGTGGGCGCGCGGCGATGACGCCGTCCCACCTCGCCGGCCCCCGCCCCGCTCCGGCGCCGGCATTGTCGCCTGCCCGCCCGCGCCTGCTCCCCCTCCTCGCCCTCTGTCCCCGGCGATCGCAGCCCACCGGGCTGCAGTCGGGCCCCAGCGACTGGTCTCCATCACGGACCTGGTGGTCCTGGGTATCCTAGGATTTAAAGGGGACGGTGGCAGGGAAGCAGTTTTTCCTTGGACTCTGCACCTCTGGTCCAGGTCGCCCCTCCCGGGTTAGCTGAGGCCGCGTTCGGGTGCCGCGGGCACTGCCAGGGCTGCTGCTGAGCGAGTGGTTTTCGAGAACACTCTGGATACTGGGGACAGCTCGGGCAGGTTATCGAAAGAGAGGTTGGAATACATGAGCAGGCGCAATTGTGCACTAGCAAAACCAAATGGATGCAAAGGTTCTGGAGGTTTGGGGCCTTTCCTCCGCGGCGGCAGGTTGATTAGAACCTTTTGTGTAGGCTGCACGACAGTTCCATCTTCAGGGTCCTTCCTGTCGCCCTTCACGCCTTCCTTCGGCTAATTTGAGACCGTGTAGTAGGAGATGGGAGTCACACTGACCATGTTAGAAACAGGAAGGGCTCCTCAGTGCCAGGCAAGGAACATGGCTTGTGGGCTCACTGGTGGGTGCCCCAAACCTACCCTGGTGCTTTGGGTTCCTGACCCTGAAACCAGAGAGCAGGAAGCCCGGGTCCAGGCTCTTCCTGGTTTTGAGTTTTCCTGTTATTCCATTTAGTATTTAAAAGTAAGGAGTGTGGGTTCATGTATATCATTAAGAAACTGCAAAATGGGGTTGGGCCTGGTGGCACAGGTCTATAATCCCAGGACTCAGGAGGCTGAGGCAGGAGGCTTGCCTTGAGTTCCAGGTCAGCCTGGACCCTACCTCAAAAAACAAAACATTTCTGTCAACACAGAACTTTAATTGGCATAAGGATTTACACCTTGTGTTTGAAGTCCGGTGGTTCTTAAAGTGTTATAAATAGGGACTGTGGCTGTGTCATTTAAGAGACTTGGCTTACTCAGCATAAGGCTCTGGTGCAGGCAGTGTCCGAGTTTGGCCTTCGTGTCAAGGTGCCTTGTATAACGCAGTGACTTGAAGGCTGGGGATAGCGCCCAGTGGCAGAAGGGTGCCTGCGACCCTGGGTACTGTCACTGGCTTCACAGCCTTACAGGGCTAAAATTACTGTAAAGCAGCCCACAGGTGCATTAAGAAACAGGAAGCACGTGAGCCCAAGACGTAATCACGTCTTCCGAAGCGCAGTTTTGGCAGCCATCAAAATGAAGGTGTCAACCAATGTTTCTGCCTTAATCCATGGGTTGCTGGGAATTAACAAAACTGTGTTCTCAGCAGACATGTGTGGACGAAGCATACAGAGTTTTTCTGGTCATAGTGAAACTTCCTGCCCGCTCTCTGTACACACAGCACAAGGGAAATAAGTGGAAACAACAAGAAAAACAGTCAGTTTGATTTTCTGCCCTGTAAATTGGCTCTTAGGGGGGAAACTGTGAGCTGTGCTCACCAAGCAGCTGAGCTGGTGTTGGTTGTGGTTTCCCAGCCCTGGGGACAGAGAGGGTCAGAGAAGGTTTGGAGAGAGGTGGCTGAATTTCTCATGCTTCTGTGTAGCCCTGGCAGAGGACAGAGGGGCACAGGGACATTCCTGCAAGTGCCCTTTGTTGGGCGGCTCACTTGGAGTCATTGGCCAAATTCCTGCCTCTTCTTACAGTTCTCACAGGGATGCTGGACCCTTTGGACTGTTTCTGTGACTTCGTCCGGGTGTCTCTCCATCCCCCTGGCTCAAGTACATCTTGCTGCCGCATCTGCCAAATCGTCATGGTCGCACAGGGGCGGGGTTAACAGGCACTTTCAAGACACTTGGTTAACATGCATGGTAGTGCACACCTGTGATCCCAGTGCTGTGGGAGGCTGAGACAGGAGGGTCACAAGTAAGCACCCAGCCTGCACAACTTAGTGACTTAGCAGGACCCTGTCTCAAAATAAAAAAGGCTGGGGTCAGAGCTCAGTGTGAAAGCCCTGGGTTCCACCTTCAGTGGTGAGAAGCTCCCTGAGCTCAGACCCAAGGAGCGGAGGAGGTACAGAGCTGGACTCCTGACTGTAGTTTTGGCACTCACCTTGGGTTCCTCAGCTGTGTCTCCAGAAGGAAGAAAAGGCCCAGGTGTTTTTTACCTGTTGCTGACCGGAGGCGAGTTGGCGCTGGCCGGCCGGGTGAGATCCCCTCACCACCCTCAGGTGCAGGAGGAAGTGCTGCCCTGGGCACGCAGGTGAGAGCAGGTCCTGCCATGCGCTCCTCACAGGTCCTGGGATGGGGTTTGCACATTGCCTGGGCTTCCTCCCTCCCTTCCCGTGTCACCGGCACCAGGATTCACCTTTGAGAGACAGCTGCCCAGCCTGCTGCTTCGAGAGCCCCAGGGAAGCGAGGAAGCTGAAGCTGGAGGAGTGCAGAGAAGCCCCTCTGTACCCGCTTGACCCGGGTGGCCTGTCTCACAGTTAACACTGAAAGGGGGCTCCAGGAGGGGTGTGTTCCGTCCCTAGCACCATCCCAGTCATTGGGGAGCCCAGGAACCCAGCGCCGACACCGCAGAGCAGGGCACACAGGGTCTCCCTTTTTCTCTCTGTCCTGGCCGAGCCCTGCACCCCGGGGGTCCAGGGAGCGGCAGTTACTCTAGTACCTAGTGGGTGCCCAACGACCAGGCTTTTGATTGGCTGGAAGGCCACCCTGTTGTATGCCCCCAGCCAATCAGGGGAGCCCAACACTGAAGCTGGTATTTTGAAAGTTTTTAAACGCAGAGTGCTGAGCTCTCTCCTTGGCTCTGTGGCTCTGGGACTTTAGAAGACTGTGGAGCAATGGGCGGCAGCTCCCTGGGTGCCCGGACCCCCCATGCTGTGCGTCCCTGAGCCTGTCCTCCCCTCCCGCAGTGCTGGGATGTGGAAGTTACTTAGAGGTCGTTGCAGGTATTCTTTTGAACCGTATGAATTGGAGCAGAGGAGTAGGCTTCAGAGTGCAGCCGTCCATTTGTTTCATTGCAGTCACCATTTAAAGCCAGGCGTGATGGCACTTGTCATCCTAGCACTCGGGAAGCTGAGGCAGGAGGATCACCTCACAGATTCAAGGGCCTTGAGCTCAAGGCCAGCCTACATTACAAAATGAGATCTTGTCTCAAAAAACAACAACAACAAAAATCCAATTTGTATTCTTCCACAGTCAGGTAAAATAGCAGATCCCAAATGGCAAGAGAACCAGAGGTTGACATTTGTTTGTTTGGCCTTGAACTCCTGGGATGGTCCTGCCTCAGCCTCCAGAGTGCAAGTGCTAAGATGTCAGGCATATGCCCACCACATCCAGTAAGAGGTTAAGGGGTTTTTTGTTTTGTTTTTGCCTGAGACAAAGAGTCTCGCTTATTGCTTTAGACTGGCCTTGAGCTCACTTTGTAGCCCAGGCTGGGCTCAAATTTGCAATGATCCTTCTGCCTCAGCCTTCCACGTGCTGGGATTACAGGCATGCACCACCACTCCCAACTAGATTGAGGGCTTTGCAGATGATGTGAGGAGTCGTCTTTGGTTCCAGGCTGACTCTGAGACTGTCACAGTGTGGGTGGCACAGAGATCTGCTGCCGCTGCCAGGCTTAATCCTCTTCCCCAAGTGGCCTTTGGGGGCCCCCCAGGCTGTCCCTGAGCTTTGGCCTGAGAATTGGCTTGAACCCACAGGACTTTGCAGGGTAGCAGGGGGCACAGTGCCCATGGGTGACCTAGCTGTCCCATGGTACCCAGAGGGTGTTGGGAAGCACCCTCTTGCTCCGTCCTAGGGCTTCAGAAGTGCCACCAGTGTCCCCATGGTGAGGGATCAGGCAGCAGATCTGGAAGGTACTGCCAAGGGCCTGGAAAGCCCAGAGGCTGTGGCACTGGGTGCCGGTGTCTTCTTGGAGCAAGCCAGAGCCCTGTGCCTCCCTGCTGCCCCACACTGCTCCTCTCCTGGGTTCCACCTGGCGCCCTGAGTGGAAGGTTCAACCTGAGGGGCTTCCCGCATGTCCAGAGCCATGGGGGCACCTGTTCTGAGGGGCTCTCTGTGCCCAGCCGCCTGCTGTCTGTCTGGGTGGTGGAGAGGATGCTTGTGCTCAGGCAGCAGGCACTGTCTGTGCTACAGGGCAGGGCAGGGCGGGGCAGCGTGGTGCCCACCCTGCTGCTTCCTGACAATGCTCTGGGCCAGATTCACCACTCGGCCCCAGGTTACACAGCTCACAGGCAAGGGGAGGGGTTCCAACCTGTGTCCTGTTGTGAAGGTCAGTGGAGACATGAGGCTGGACATGCCAGCCAGGGGTGCTGAGGAAGGAGTCAGAGCTCTGAAGGGCGGAGGGCAGTCCCACGGCAGCAAGCGCCAGGAGGCTTGACTGAATAAAGGAACAATTCTGCCCAGGGAGGTACAGTCCTGGGCCAGGTGATGGTTCCCAGTGGTACATGAGATGGGAAGCAGAATGGCTGAGGAGAAGCAGTGAAGGACAGCACAGGGCTCTGCAGGCCTCTCCATGACAGACCTGGGCACTGCCCTGCCACTGCCAGAGGGGTCATCTCGTCCCTGGTTTGAGTAAAGCAAAAGGACTTTTTCTTGCACTTTACAGATCGTGGGCTACATTGAGGGTACAGAGCTGCCTGTGCTTGCCAGGCTGTGGCGTGTTTGACATAAACCATTAGTGCTGTTCGAAGAGGGTGATTTCATTAAAAAAAATGCTTCAACCAAATACATGGAGTGAAAGTACAGTGGTGTGGTTTGTTTTGTCTTTCAAAACCTGAAGCTAGGTAGAGTGGCACCCAGGTAGGGCTTCCTGGGGGGGCTGAGGCAGGAGGCTCAGGTTTGCGACCAGCTGGAGCCTCAGAAGTAGTCCATGCTGAATAAATAAAGGGATTGGTCAGCCCAAACAACATTCTCTAGGCTGAGGTGTTCCGGAGTGATGGAACCGTGCCTGTCCTTTTGTGCACCAGAGCAAAGTGAACTTTACTATCTCTACCTCCCTTTTTCCCTCTGGAAGAAGGTTTTTGTCTTTTGAGACAGGGTCTCGCTATACATGGCAGACCAGCCTTGAACCCACATTGTAGCCTGGGCTGGGCTCTAATTGCTGTGATCCCTCTCCTGCCTCAGCTTCCCAAGTTGCGATTTTAAGTGCATGCCACCAGGCCTGGCTTGGAATACATTTTTTTTTCCGGTACTGGGGATCGAACTCATAACCTTGTGCTTGCCAGGCAGGTGTTTATGCTGCTGAGCTAAATCCCCAGCCCCCGTGGAATAAATCTTAACATTGTACAACTTGATGGAGAAATTCATCCCTGGATTTTTGATATTTACTCAAGTACTCCCTTTTTTGTCCTGGGGATTGAATCCAGGACCTCCCACATGTTAAGCATTCTGCTGCTGCCACAGAAAGTGTCCAGCTGTTTTGTTATGTTTTGTTTTGAATTTATAGTTTTGAGACAGGATTTTGAAGTTGCCTAGGCTGGCCTTGAACTGGTAATCCTCCTGCCTCAGCCTCCCAGGAGCCAGGGTTGCAGGTGAGCCCCATAGCCCGACTCATCGGTGTTCAAAGCACATTGGGTGTTCGGGGTGCCGTGGCCTTGGTCCTTACTGTGGTGACAGCCTGTGTACCCGGCCTTGACGAGGGCATCCAACACCGTCCCGCTGGAGTCTGCTCTCGGGGGCTAGCTTGGTTTCCCACGGTACTTGTTAGAGAGTTGGCCTGAGGCAGGGACCTTGCGAAGTGTTCAGCTGGAAGCATTTTGAGAGAAAGTTTGCATAGGCTGTTAGGGCGTACTGTGGCACTAGCAGTGGCACTCTGTGTGTTGGTAGCGTAGCCAGACTCTTAACTGCAGTCTGCGACACCAGCCTGGATGCCTAAGGTCCTGGGGCTGGCTCTGGGCGGGGTTACTACACCCCAGTAGGTGCAGTGTGGGAGTGGGAGGGTGGCTTTGCAGAGTGGCCAGCTCCTGACTGAGACTATCAAGTTTTCCGGAGTACAGCAGGGCAGTCTGAGAGTGGACTGGGCCTCAGTGCAGCACTCACTGCCCTGCCTGCCACCCTCAGCACCTGCTCCCCAGGAGCTGGGTGCTGGTGAGCAGGATGGTGTGGAGTAGCCCCAGGCTCCCTGCCCTAGGGTGGACACCAGACTTAGGTGGGGAGCGGGGTAAAAATCCTGACTTCACAGCTGAGGGGGAAGACCTCGAGAAGGATGGGCCGTCTTCGGTAGCCAGTATGCCAGGTTCCCTGCTTTTTCCAGCGCCAGTATGTAGATGTGGGGCCTCCCTGGTGCCCCCCACACCTGTTGGCAGCTTCTTTCTTGCACAGTGCTGGAGAGCAGATTAGCTCTCCCATGCTCCCCAGTGCTCTACCACCAGGCGGCGCTTCAGCACCTGTGCGGGTTACCTGTCAGGGATCTGCCAACCCCTGTGGGCTGTGCCCACCTGTAATCCCAGCAGAGCAGCTGGAGAGGCTGAGGCAGGAGGGTCATGAGTTCAAAGCCAGTCTGGGCAATGTAGCAAGACCCTGTCCCAAAATGAAGGTTTTTGAAAAGGGCTGAGGCCTCAATTCTAGCATGGACCCTGCGGGCGGGCACAGTGTTGAGGGTAGAGCTGGGCTTGGCCACAGAGCGTCCCTGGCCCTGGCTCCTGTGGGGAAGGTCCAGGCAGCTATGGGGAGCACAGGGGGACCTGTCATGTGGCCATTTCGCAACTGGGCAGAGGCCTTTGCCCCCTGAGGGGTGCTGCTGCCTGCCAGGCCTCTGGACCGAGGTCGCAGGGTGCTGGGTGCTGAGCCTAGCTCTGTGGCCACAGGAGGAGAGGCTGGCGCTGACTTCAGCCCTTGGGGCTTCTTCTTTCCCGAAGCTGCCTGAGCAACTTGCTGTGGTCCCGCTGGCCTCCTGCCCCTCAGATCCCTCCCAGAGGGCCACCAGGGCCTGGGCACCCATACTGGGGAAGGGGCTTGCAGCGGGTGTAGGACCTGGAGCCCCAAAAGCAGCCCTGCGTCCGCTCACTCTGGCCATTTTTCAGGCAGCTGCCCTTAGTGGCTGTGAAACCTCGGCCTCATCGGGAGGGGGCATGCAGGCCTGCGCCTGTCCCCTGCCACCATGTGTGTGCAGTCAGTGGGCAGCCTGGCCAGGCGACACAGCCCCACTTGTTCTGGGCCGTGGGCTGACTCAGCATGCCTGGCTTTGTGTGCTTTCCAGTGGAATCTACTCCTGTTTACTAAGACTCAGGCCCCCAGGGGAGGTGACTTCCAGGTCACTAGGTCTTGTGTGGTGGCAGCCCGGCAGGGGCTCATCTGTGGAGGGCAGCAGAGTGAGCAGGCCTTGGGGGCCAACAGCTGGGGCTCTGCTGCCCCGGGGGAGTGAGCTGCACTCCCTTGACCACCCGTGGGGGCCTGGCCTTGGTGGGCAGTGCATCGGCACCTGTGCGTACATTCCCCCACGGGACGGCCCCTTGGCTGTGTCATGGTGTGTGGAAAGGCTGCAGCTGTCCTTTAGGTCTGGCATTGGGTGGCCACACCTCTGGTGCAGCATGGATAGGGCCTCATCTCAGAAGGGAAGGCAGTTCTGCTGATGTGCAGCTTACAATGCCCTAGTGCCCTGTGGTCTCTTCATATGCCTCCCATGGGGGCAGGCTGCGGGCACGCTGTCACCAGCCCTGGGAATGGGCCTGCCTGCTGCAGCCCACACCTGTGATCCCAGCACTGAAGAGGCTGAGGCAGGAGGGTTGCTGCAAGTTTGAGACCAGCATGGGCTATGCAATGAGACCCTGTCTCCGTTTAAAAAAATAAAATTAAAAAGCTGAAAATGTAGCTCAGCACAAAGGCCCTCGGTCCCATCTCCAGGGCCACAAGAAATAAAACAAAACCATGTTTTCTGTTCTGATCCGGGAACTCTGCACTCCATTCTTTTGTGTATGAATAGAGAATAGGAAAAGAAACATCTTTTCTTTTTTGATTTTGGCTTTTTCTTTTGTATTGTGGAGACAGGGTCTCACTGTATCATTTAGGCTGGCCTTGAGTTCACTGTGTAGCCCAGACTGGCCTCGAACTTGCAGCAGTCCTCCTGCCTTCAGCCTCCTGAGTGCTGGGCTCACAGGCGTGCTACCACGTTAGACAAGAAATGGTCTTTCTAGCCTGGGATTTAGCTCAGTGGCCTAAGTACCTGCCTGGCAAGCACAAGGTTGTGAGTTTGATCCCTGGTACAAAAAGAAAGAAAAGAAAAATGGTCTTTCTTAAAACTCCTTGGAGACTCAGCCGCATCCTGGTAATCACTGCCCTGAAAGCCTGCTGGTCCTCGCCCCATCGGTGAAAATGCTGTTTCCTGCCCCTGTGCCACCTGATTCTGTGCGGCTTGTCCTTCTAGGGACAGACATTCGAGCCACTGACCAGCACAATAAGCATGTGGCCACTTCCCCCCGGAGTTTCCTGCCTATAACCGGGTTTGTAAAGCAGCAGCAGCAGTGGTGTACTGCAGAGGAAGAAGGTGGAGAAGTCAGTGGCTCTGGATGTGGTGCTGGTGCATACCTGTGATGCTGGCACTGTGGGAGGCTGAGGCAGGAAGACTTTTCGGATTGGGCAACTTAACAAGATCTTGTCTCCAGAAATCTTTTTTTTTTATTTATTTTTATTTATTTATTTTTTTTTTTCAGAAATCTTTAAAAAGACCAGTAGCAGCTCAGTGCAGAGACCCTGGGTTCCATCGCTACCTTTCCAGGGTGGAGTAGTTTACGGTGGTCGCATGGCTGGGTGGCTAAGGCAGGAGGTTGCAGAATTCAGGCGAGGCTGGCAAGGCCCTCTCTGAAAATCACAATTTCACCCAAGGGCTGGAGCTGCATCTCAGAGCTAGAGTGCCTGCTGGCCTCACCCAAGGCCCTGAGTCACCCACGCATGCTTATACACTCGCCCACGGGGAGCTGAGTGGGAAACTTGGTGGCAAAGCACATCCAGGCCCTGGGTGTGACTCCCAGCATGACTTCTATTAGAAAGCAAAACAGTGCAGAGGCCACAAGGGGCTGCCTGAGCACTACTCAGGGGTGGTGGCCATGCCCGGTGCGGGTGTGTGTGTGTGTGTGTGTGTGTGTGTGTGTGTGTGTGTAGTGTAGGTGGGGGGGGTGTGGTGCGGGCCCCAGAGACACCAGGAAACTTGACCCATCCCTCCAGGGGCCGTGGCCGGCTGCAGAACAGGGTGCCCTCCTGCCCCACCGAGGTAACCTACCTCCTCTTGCTGCTTCAGGGAAGCCGAGTCCTTCAAAGAGCAAGGAAATGCATACTATGCCAAGAAAGATTACAACGAGGCCTACAACTACTACACAAAGGCCATTGGTAAGAGCCAGCGACGGGTGTGAGCGGCCACCTGTCTCGGAGGAGCCACCCTGGTTACTGCATGGCCCTGTGAGCTGCTGCGGGCGGCCCCTGTGGGCCTGGGTTCCACCTTGTCCCAGAAGATGGCCTTTGAAGCCAGGCATGGCAGGAGGGCCTAGGATGGAGGTCAGTGTGACAGCCCTGGCTTCAATTCCCAGTGCTGGGAAAAACAAAAAGAGCGCGAAGAGCAGAGGACCTCTGCACGTGAGGTTAGGCCTCTCATGCCCATTCCTCGCGTGCCTGCTGGCCATGGCTACCCCAGCACGCTGTGCCGTGCCTGTCCACGGCTGCCGGCCTCACATTCCTCACGCACGCGCTGCAGGTGAGCCCCTGCCTGGAGCCGGTTCCTGGAGCCAGTCCTGGTCTCAATGGTTGACTTCAGTCTGGGTGCCCGGAATCAGGCCAGGCCCTCACACATATTGGACCCTAGAGCGCTGCAGCTAAAGCCGGTTTTCTCTTAGAGGTGGCTGTGTCCAGGCTGGCATCCACGTGCACAGACAGGACCACTCAGCCCGGACTGTTAGAGCAGAGTCCGCACCCTTTCTCCCAGGCTCTCATGGAGAACCCTGAGCTGGCCTTGAAGCCGTGACCCTCCTGCCTCGGCCTCCCTGGTGCTGAGACACCTGCTCAGTGCACACTGAGACACCCAGTGCACACTGTTCTGGTTGTCACTGTGCTTTGCTCATGGTGCTGGCTGGAGCCTAGGACCCCTGGGGCTGGACCAGTGCCCTGCCTTTCCCCATGCTGAGCCCCCTCCCCTCCCCCACAGACATGTGTCCCAAGAACGCCAGCTACTACGGGAACCGCGCTGCCACACTGATGATGCTGGGCAGGTTCCGCGAGGCCCTGGGGGATGCGCAGCAGTCAGTGCGACTGGACGATGGCTTCGTGCGGGTACATCGGGCAGGGAAGGGCCCGTGTGTCAGGGCCACTCGGGTCCCAGCGGGAACAGTGGAAGTGTCTGCCACCTGGGCGCTGCGCAGAGGCCACTGTGGGCCACTCACGGTGCTTTCTCCTTTGTTTCTTCCAGGGACATCTACGAGAAGGCAAGTGCCACCTCTCCCTGGGGAACGCGATGGCAGCATGTCGCAGTTTCCAGAGAGCCTTGGAACTGGATCATAAAAACTCCCAGGCACAGCAGGAGGTGGGGTCCGTGCGTTGTGACCTGAGCAGGGTGGAAATGAGGGGGCAATGGCTGCAGTGCAGGGTGCTGTGGGGGAGTCAGCCAGACCACCCTGAGCCCAACCTGCCTCCCATCAGATGCTCTCGAAGCCATTGCTTTGCGATTGTAAAAGCCATGACAGTCGGCCCGGCCTGGTGGCTCAGGCCTGTTCTTGCTCTGCTGGGAGGTGAGGGGTCCCAGGCTGGAGCTGCCTGCTCTGAGGTCCGCCTCCCGACAGAGGGCTGGGGTGCGGCATGGGGAGTGGGCGCTGGGTCCCGGCCCTGGCACTGCGGGCCAGGTGAGCCCATGCAGGGCGCTGGCAGCCAGGGCCGCTTTAGGGCCCACAGGTGCGGTGGTACTGAGCAGCACCCTGGCAGCAGTGTGCCCAGCAGCAGTCTGCCACCCCGGCCTGCGGGTTGTATTTTCTCCGGTGAGTCGCAGACCTGGAGAGAGCAGCCATCAAGGCCTTCGGAGTTCTGAGGTGTCTGATTCCCCACGTAGTTCAAGAACGCCAGCGCAGTCATGGAGTACGAGAAGATTGCAGATTCGGATTTTGAGAAGCGAGACTTCCGGAAGGTGAGGATGCTGCGCCTATCCTGATAGACTTGGGGTGGGTGGCGTATATGTCACCGAGAGCCTGAGGACCTAGGACAGTAACTGGCGTAAATTTGACTCTGGGCCTTTCGCCTGTGTCTAAAAGATCTTTTATTCCCATGCACTCTGGGAGGCGGAGGCGGAGGTTTCTTAGGGTGTCTCCCAATGCGGAGTGAAGAGGGCTGGGCGATAGCTTGGTGTGAGAGGCCAGGGTGCAGCTGGCAGTGCCAGGGAGGAGAGTGTGCTTGCTGATATAGTCATTTTTAACTGCGTTTGGCTCTGTTGCTCAATAGCCAAGTCAGTTCTAAAAACACAGCCAAATGGATTCCTGCATCCTATTCCTGCATGGCTGTAGAGTCCTGGCCCCAGCATGCACTGCTCACTGAAGGACGAGCCAGTGTGGGTTAAGTGTGGCTTCAGAGAACCCATCTTCTACCTTTGTAAAGGTGTCTGGACTGTGGCGTATAAATCAAAGGTCAGAGCACAGTGGCACATTATGGTCCCAGCACCTGGTAGGCTGAGGCTTACATAGTTTCAAACCAGCTGGAATGTAGCAAGAGCCTTTCTCAAAAAACAGGTAGAGACAGGCCCCTCTTGGATTTTTGGGTTCCATAACCATCACCAACGCTCAGTTGGTTTTATTTTATTTATTTGTTTGTTTGGGTTTTTTGCAGGAAGGTTGGTTTGGTTTGGTCTTTGCAGTTCCAGGGACTGAACCCAAGGCCTTCGCTGAACTGCATCCCTAGCACTTTTTGTTTTTTATTTTGAGACAGGGTCTTGCTAAGTGGCTCCGTTGCCCAGGCTGGACATGAGTTTTCCATCCTCCTGCCTCTGCCTCCAAGTGCTGGGATCACAGGTGTGCGCCACCATGCCAAGTATCAGCACCTTTCTGACGTTAGTCCACTCTTCAGTTAAAATGCGGTGACTGCTTCGTATACATGTGAAAACACTTGACAGATCTGAGACATGGGGAAAGTTCTGGGCATCTTTCTGGATCTCCTAGGGCCATGATCCCGAGCTCTTTGGTTCTGAATTCTCTTAGTGGTTCTCAGAAATAATTTCCACTGATGTTTCCAGAGGGAGGTAGGCGGCCACCAGATGGTTAAAACCCACTCATCTGGAGGGTTTTTCGGGATCATTTAAAAGAAGCTAGTTCTGTCCACAGAGGAGGTTACTTCCTGTGTGGGGCTTTCTGGGTGCTTTCTGGAGCCAGTGCTCCAGTAAATGTGTGATGAAAAGGGACAGGGAAGGATCATGGCTTGCTGGGTGTGGGCCACACAACAGTAATCTCAGCACTTGGAAGGCCCAGGCAGGAGGATCACTGCAAGTTTAAGGCCAGCCTGGGCTACATAATGAGTTTAAGACCAGTCTGGACCATACAATGAGACCCTGTCTCAAAAAACCAAAACATAGCCGGGTGCGGTGGTGCACACCTGTTATCCCAGCAGTGAGGAGGCTGAGGCAGGATCATTGCTAGCTCAAGATAAGCCTGGGCTACAAAGTGAGCCCAGGGACAGCCTGAACCACATTGCAAGACCTTGTCTCAAAATGACAAAAGAAAAACAAACCCACATTTTTAACCCATGCACTGCCGAGGTCTCTTGGGTCATAAACACCCTGTATCTGACCAACTCATGTTGGGTACCTGGCTTCACTTCTTGTCGACCTGCTCCCACCCTTCAATTTCTTGAGCTTAGGGTCTCTGTCCTATGGTCTGTGTTGGGTGTGCAGAGGGTGACCCTGCCAGCTGTCAGGTTTCAGAGGTTGCACAGGCCAGATCTTTATTGGGAAGGGCGGGCGGTCACCTGTGTTCTTCCTCCCTTGCCCACTGTGGAGCTGGCATTGGAGTCTGACAGAACCCTCTGTGTGACACCCCAGCCAGCCCCTTGCGCACGGTGACGTCACAAATGAAGAATTATGGTCCTGGGGGACAGATGAACTTGGAGCAAACAAAGATCTTCTTTGCCTGCAGCTGTCCCTGAGGAGTGGGTGGGGGTGAGGAGCTGTGCCACCAAGGCCCCGGTGCCAGGGCCCCCCATCCTTCCCCACATCCAGGGTGGCCCCGGGACCTGGTGCGTCCCCATGAGTCCGTGCTGCCCCTTGCCAGCATCGTCAGCCTCCACCTTGGTTTTCCCATCACTGGAGGGGGTTCCAGCAGGTCAGGGTGTAGGGGCAGTGCTGCTGTCATGTGGGCACCACCTGCTTGGGCGTGGCATGGCCCCGAGTTCAGCACCCGTCCTGCCTGCAGGTGGTGTTCTGCATGGACCGTGCCCTGGAGTTTGCCCCTGCCTGCCATCGATTCAAGATCCTCAAAGCCGAGTGCCTGGCCATGCTGGGCCGCTACCCCGAGGCGCAATCTGTGGCCAGGTGAGGGCCTGCCCGACCCCGCCTAGGCCCCAGGGGTGGGGTGGGGTGCCCCCTGTATCTGGCCCTGCGGCCCCCTGAGCACCCTGGGCCTTGCCTTGCAGTGATATCCTGCGACTGGACTCCACCAACGCAGATGCGCTGTACGTGCGGGGCCTTTGCCTCTACTACGAGGACTGCATTGAGAAGGCCGTGCAGTTCTTCTTGCAGGCCCTGAGGATGGCCCCAGACCATGAGAAGGCCTGCGCCGCCTGCAGGGTGAGCGCAAGGCGGGGGCTCCCTGCCTCTGGGGGGTCTCCCAGCGCTGGCACGCAGCCCTCGCCCTGGGTCACCTGTGCCTGCCTCCACCCCTCGCCCCCCAGAACGCCAAGGCCCTCAAGGCCAAGAAGGAGGATGGCAACAAAGCCTTCAAGGACGGTGACTTCCGGCTGGCCCATGCGCTCTACACAGAGGCCCTGGCCATCGATCCCAGCAACATCAAGACGAACGCTAAGCTCTACTGCAACCGGGGCACCGTCAACGCCAAGGTGAGGGCAGGTAGGGTGCAGCCGGGCAGGGTACCTCGGAGGTCCCTGACCTGGTACGCTTATGGCCCCCTTGCCCTGAAGCTCAGGGAGCTGGACGAGGCGATCGCAGACTGCACACGGGCCGTGACCCTGGACCACAGCTACGTCAAGGCCTACCTGAGGAGGGCGCAGTGGTGAGTGTGCCCCCATGACCAGCGGGAGGTCACAGACCTCCCTGCCCTGTCTGGGCAGCCTGGTCCGGCCCAGCCTGTCCCTTTTCCTGTCCCCCCCTCCCCCATTGCACACCCAGGCTCCCTGACCTGTGCCAGTGCTGGAGCTCTGTTCTTCTGCCGGGCCCTGGGCAGGGCACTTCCTATCACCAGAGCCCGAGAGCAGGTAGATCACTGTGTACCAGTCGCCTGCATCCCGTCTTCCTTGCCATGAACCAGCAGGTCGCAGCTGCTGAGCAGCTCTTGCTGCCTCAGCCTCCCCATTTAGCCAGGCTGCGTGCGTACTGGGTTCCCAGCCAGGTTGGCAAGGTTGGGTCTGTCCACAGGTTGTGGGCTGTGTGGCCCAGGCAGCCTCCACGTGTCCCCTGACACCTGCTGGGGACAGGCAGCAGCTGGAGGAGACCATCTGTCCTTGGAGCAGCGAACGTGCTGCAGACATGAGGCGCTGCTCACAGCAGTGTTGGCTGTGGCTTTGTCGAGGTGGCAGAAGGGAGGGACATCCACTCTCTGGGGAGGGTCCCCACCGGGCCTGCATCACACACCTGCACTGGGCTGGGCAGGCAGGGAGATATGGGCAGTGCCAGGTCTCTTGTTCTCCATGTGCAGTCAGCAGCTCGAGTGTTTGATCATAGCTGGGACAAATGCCCAGCACCTGAGAGGTGACGATGAGAGTGTCACCATCATTTGTATAATGTTCCGGTCCAGTTCGGCAGTCCCTTGTTGTGGGGTGGGGTGTGGCAGCTGGTAGAGCAGAAGCTGCTCAGTGCTGGAGCGATCAGGATGGGAATGGGGAGGACAGCCGGGCCCCCGCCCCAGCGTCTCACTGGCCTACCCCATCTGAGTGCCTCTCGGCACCATGGTGGGCCGAGGGTTGGGGACCTCAGTACATACATTATGGCGAGCCCAAGTCAGCAGTCCCCTCAGTCCCTGCTAGACATAGCTGTCAGTGGATCTGCTGGGAGACGCCACCATGGGGACCTGGGCACCATCTGGCTGAGGGTGGGGTGGCGCCCTGGCTACCTCCCTGGCTCTCTTGAGCCCACTATTTGGCTGCTTTTTTCCAGTGTGTCAAAATTGCTTTACTGAGTTGGGCACGTGGCACAATCAAAATTCCCAGAAGTCTGGGAAGCCAAGGTGGGGGGCGGGGGGGGGCAGGCTCGAGTCCCTTGGGCATCATAGAAACTTGGCAGCCCACGCAGTGAAGCAGAGAGGAGGCTGCAGACACCTAGTGCCATGGGCTGGGTTCACCCAGTCCGGAAAGGGGATGTGCAGGCAACGCACTGTCCCACTGGGAGATGTGCGGGTGCACCCTGCCTTGCTGCTGTGTGACTCGTAGGCCTGAGGGTGGTGAGGCTGTGTGTGCAGTTTTGGGGACTGGGCCACCATGTCTGCAGATGGGCCAGTGGGCGGCCAGGTGGGGCCGGCACGGTGCAGGATTTTGGGGTGAGGCCTTGGAAGGGGCTGCCCATCTCTGGGTGACCCGCTCTGAGCCTGCCTGCCCCCTGTTCCCTCAGCTACATGGACACAGAGCAGTATGAGGAGGCAGTGCGGGACTACGAGAAGGTCTACCAGACAGAGAAGACCAAGGGTGAGGCCGGGTCCTATCCCTGTCCCGTCCCTCTCCTTTGCCAGGTGGCTGCTGGGAATACAGGGGTGCTGGGAGGGCTCGACCCTGGAGGAGGGGTCACCGTGCCGCACACCCCGTGTCCCCCCAGAGCACAAGCAGCTGCTGAAGAATGCGCAGCTGGAGCTGAAGAAGAGCAAGCGGAAAGACTATTACAAGATCCTGGGCGTGGACAAGAACGCCTCGGAGGATGAGATCAAGCGCGCCTACCGGAAGCGGGCACTCATGCATCACCCAGGTAGGGGTGGGCGGGCAAGTGGCGGGCCGGGCCAACTGGCCCCCAGCCCAGGCCTGGTGCCAGCTCTCCTTCCCCACAGATCGGCACAGTGGAGCCAGCGCCGAGGTACAGAAGGAAGAGGAGAAGAAGTTCAAGGAAGTGGGTGAGGCTTTCACCATCCTGTCTGACCCCAAGAAGAAGATGCGCTACGACAGTGGCCAGGACCTGGATGAGGAAGGCATGAATACCGGTGGTGCGTGAGGGGCTGTGCGGGGCGGCTGGGGGGCAGAAGTCCAGGCTGATCCCACATGCGTGTGTCCAGTGTGACTGGGTCTACATGCAGAGCAGGTGTGGGCTGGGCATGCAGGGGCTGTGGGGATCTGCATGGAGGGAGGTGATCCCCAGAGGACACAGAAGCCTGGAGGACGCCAGAGCGGTACACACCTGCGGAGTGGCCTGTGCTTTGGACTGTGTGGGCGTGAGCTGTGACGGTGCCACACATGGGCTGGTGCCCCGTCTCTGGTAGCCTTGTCTGGCACAGGCACAGGCAGAGGTCTGGGCTGTAGCCCGGGCCTAAGGGTGCTCTCCTCCCTCCCTGCCAGACTTCGACGCCAACAACATCTTTAAGGCCTTCTTCGGGGGTCCCGGGGGCTTCAGCTTCGAAGGTGGGTACGCCTGCTGGCCCTGCGCCCTGGGGTCAGGCCTGGTGGGGACAGTGGGACTCATCCCACAGGTGCTGGCTGGCGGGGGCGGAAGGGGCTGCTCAGCGGGCACAGCCGGGTGCCCGGACCGAGCCCCAGCTGACCGCCCCTTGCCTTACAGCATCCGGGCCGGGGAACTTCTTCTTCCAGTTCGGCTAGTGAAGGCCTCGCTGCGGTCCCTGCACACGCAGACTCGCCCGGCTCAGCCCCCATGTGGCCACGGCCTCCCTGCCCTGCCTCTGCGCCCACAGACACCCCTCTGTGGGCCATGCAAGCACTGTCACCATTGCAGTGGTGTAAGCGGGGCAGAAGGGAGCCAAGCTGCAGGCGGGGAGGCAGCTTGTGAATCTTTGTTTTACTGTTTAACTTTATTAAAAAAGGAAAAACGGAGAATAAACCCTGTGACTGTGTCTGGCCTCGGCTCTGGCAGCTGCTTTGTGCCCACCCTGAGTCGGGCCGGGCGTGCTAGGTCCCGGTTTCTGCACCATCACCATGGGCTCCAGTGAGGAGGCTGGACCAGACAGCACAGCCACGGGAGGAGCTGGAGGAGGTGCAAGCCCCGCCTGTCACCCACAGCCCCCACAACCTCAGAGACACCTGGGCACACGAGAGGCCACAGCAGGCCGTGTGAAAGCCACCACTGTTTACCACCCACCTCGCCAGCTGCATGTGGCCAGCCTAGGGACAGGGTCGACGGCCCCGGTGCAGGCCCGCCTACCCAGGACACACAGGACCACACAGCTGGGATTAACTGATTTATTTCATTGTCAGTCTACAAGTTGCCAATGAGCCAGGCTGAGACCGGGACAATAATACCCTGGTGCTTTGCCCCAAGTGATGCCGTTAGCAAGCAGGTTACTGAGCAGGGATGTGGGGCCATGGGCATGCCAGCTGTGGTCCCTGCTGGCCTGGGTGCCACCGTCCCCCTGGAGAGGAGGCCCCAAGTCACCTGCAGCCAGAGCTGCAGACATCCCTTTCCTACCCTTTCTGGGCTGTGTTCCTTCCCAGAAGAGCTGCTACCACATGTGGCAGGAGAGGAAGGAGAGGGCCTGTGGGCCAGGAACTCCACCTGGTACCAGAGGCCAGGGCTACAGGCTGCAAGTCTTAGACCTACCTGGCCTTGGCCACATGTGGTGGGCATGGCCTAGGCGGTGTTAGCAGAAGGTGTCTGGGGCCAGATGGTTACTGTACAGCGTTTAAAAAGTTACAGGTGGTTAACAAAGTAAAAAACCTGGAAATGCAGATCAGGCACAGGTGCCCCCAGCTGCTGGGCCAGGCCTCGCCCTCAGAGCAGTGCACAGGCCTGCAGGGCGCCCCCCTTGCGGCCGCTGTGCGTGGGCACGGCCTTGCCCTTGCCATAGTAGCCTGTGAAGATGGCCCTGGCCTCCACCTTCTTGGCCAAGCTCAGCACCCAGCGCCCACTGCCCAGGGACAGCAGCTTGCCTCGGGCCAGCTCGCCCACCTCCTCGCCCCGGCTCCCGCCCTTCTCCTGCCGCACAATCTCCAGCAGGTCGAGCCCTGTTTGAACTGGCTCCACGTCGGCCGCGCAGCCCAGGGTGATGTGGGCGCGGCTACCACGTGGCAGGTTATCAGAGGGGGACAGCTTGTCCACATCGTTTGGCCATAGCTGCAACTCCTGCTCGCCCAGCTCCACTCGAGCTCCCACCGTCTTGGGCGTCACAAAGAAGGCGGAGATGGTCAGGGTGAAGGCCCTGCCGTAGGCCTTCTTCACTGCCTGGGGGAACAGGGGCCCTGGGTTAGTGTGGGGAGAGGGGTGACAGCTGGGTTCTATGTCCCCCAAGCACTCCCTCCCACTGCTATTAACCCTGCTGCTGTTTTGCTCCCAGGCCTTTGTGCCTACTATGCCTGGCCTTCATCAGGCATGGCGTCTGTAACCTAAGCCATCACTTGGGTTTGCTGTGGTGCTGGGGACCCAAGATGACAACTGAAAATGTCCAGGCTTTGGGAGGGGCCAGTTGAGAGAGCAGCCCTCAGCATGGACCCAGGCGGAGGTGGGGGCCACCAACTGTGCTGGCCCAGAGCCCATACTCCCAGCAGTCCACGTTGCCCCAGGCCACCCACACTCTGGCAGGGCTCCCTGCGTAGCCCTGAGCCCACTCTCAGCCTGGGTGGCCAGGCAGGTGCACTCACATCCTGAAGCGCATACTCCTCGGCGCCCGGCGCCTTGCCGTAGTTGCAGAACTTGGTGGTGCAGTGCAGCACGCCGGGGGGCCTCTGCCCGAAGTAGGCTAGCAGGTCCAGTTTCTCCCGGGGCTCATCCCCAGGGCCAACTGTGGGGAGATGGGGGGGAGGGGGACCAGTCAGCATGGCTGCCTGCCACTGGCCCCCTGCAGATAGGCTGACCTATAGCCAGACTCACGGTGGGTCCAGGACTGCAGGGCATCAGGGACCTGTGGTGTTGCTCGGCCGTCAGCACCTGCCTAGCATGTGTGCATCCTGAGTTTGATCCCCAGGACCTCAAATCCCCAAACTCAAAATTCCTTAGCTTCACAGTATATCTCATGGCCATCTCTTGTCCCTCCCTTGCCTGGGCTCCAGGGTACCCATGATCCAAGGTGGGCAGCAGAGCCAGAGGACAGAGAGCCCAGCGCCAGCCCAGAGGGGAAAGGGGACAGCAGGTCACGACACTTGGGGTGCTTGGACAGTGCCATGAAAACCAGGGACCTCTGCCATCTGTCAGTCTCGGCAAGCAGCTGACCCTTACTGCACTATGACACGGGCCAGAATGCCTCAGACCTATGGGAACCAGGGGCCACCAGGACCAGAAGTGAGTGGTGACATGGGGATCAGTTCTGGAAGACGGGCTGCTGGTGGGGCTCCTCTCCCAGATGCCCAGCCTCACCGGTGTGTTCACAGTCCTCTGCATTTTCATGCCATCTGCAGGGCTGGGGACGTCCTTCACCTCCCCCGACAGGAAAGGATGCCAGCTCCCAGGGCACTGGCAATTTTGGGGGGCAGTTCTGCCAGGCCCTTTCAAGTTCGATACACTGACTGTTTCTCCAGAGACTGTTAGGACGCCACAAGTGCCCGCACAGCGCCTAAATCTCAGACCAGCAAGGGCAAGGCTTCTTTGACTACCCCACCACCTGGAAAGCCAGGGGCTTTCCAACCAGGTGACACTTCCCCGGAACCGAGCAATCCCACACAGACACATAGCCCTGGATATGTCCCTAGGGAATCTCCACAGCTCAGGACTGAGCATTTTGTTGAGAGCGATTTGACTGAGCGCATAGCATTTTGTTGTAGAACATGAATCTCAATTTGAAGTCTGGTGAGATGACACATGCCTGTCAAGCCCAGCACTAGGGAGGCTGAGGCAGGAGGATCGTTGTTAGTTCAAGGCTGACCTGAACTGCACAGGGAGACCCTGTCTCAAAAAGATGCACACAAGGAGGTTGGGGATTTAGCTCAGCGGCATAAGTACCTGCCTTGCAAGCAGGCGGTCGTGAGTTCGATCCCAGGTACTGATAAAAATGAAAAAGACCAAAAAAAAAAAAAAAAGATACACACAAAAAGGTGAACTTGGTAACACTGGGCCAGGCTCCTGCTCTGTGGCTAATACTGCAGGGTGGCTTTAACCCTGCGACAAAGGGGGATGGCTGTCCAATGCAGCCTAGGAGGGCGCACAAGGGAAAGAGGCTGGAAGAAGAGCTGTGCAGGTGGCCCCTGCTATCTTTCACCCCACTGTCATCCCCAAGGCCACCTCCAGCCAGCCATGCAGCCTCCACCCATCAGATTCCACTGGGCACACATGGCCCTGGTGCCCCATGCTGGGCTAGGACAGAGGCAGACACTGCCCTCCCACCCAGGCCAGGCCACCTACAGTGTCGCAGCTCCTTCTTGAAGGCCTTGTGGTTGCCCAGCTCCTCCAGGAAGACCTGGCCAGCCTTTCGGAGGGCCTCGGAGCTCTTCCTGGTCAGGAACCAGCCAAAGTAGAGTGGCAGGTAGTCCTTCTCCAGGCCGGGCTTGAGCTTTTTCAGGTCGTCAGCTGACAGCTGCCACTGGTTCTTCTCCTTGAGCTGGGCACAGTCCAGCCGCCACGCTGTCTTGGGCTCCACCAGCAGCACCTGGTACTGGTACTGGTCGGCCAGGTCGAAGAGCTGCTCCAGCCGCTCGGGCTCATGGTTGGTGTCGTCCAGCACCAGCACCCGGACGTCGCGGCGGCAGTGGGCAGCCAGGTCCTCATCCAGCTGCTTGTATGCCTCGGAGAAGGGGGCCCGAGGGCCGGGCATGATCTTGTAGGCATCAGCCGACACCAGCTTGGTGCCGTTGCGGTACTTTTCCACGATGGCCTGTGCCAGCGTGGACTTTCCGCTGCCCGGGAGGCCACGCAGAATGAAGAGGGTCTTGCACTCGTGCAGCGCAGCCACAGTGGCCTCATCCTGGAAGAACGGGAACTGCAGCTCGGGCTTGTCTCTGGCACCTGTGGACGACATCTTGCGGAGGAAGATCTTGGGCAGCAACGCGTGGCTCTTTCGGGAGAAGCCCCTGCTCTATGAGGAGGGAGAGGTGACGTCAATCCTGTCTCCTTGCAGTCCCCTAGCCCTGGCCCTGACCTGGTTCGAGTGGGAAACTGGTGCGGAATCCCCTGGCCCAACAGTACTGCCCTGGCTTGTGCAACAGTGGTGCCCCTGTCCTCCCTGTGGCCTGGGAGTCACCCACTGCGTGCTCCAAGAGGTGGCTCTGTTCTGTCCTCGCCTTGCTGCTCTTGGCACCTCTGGTGACGTCCTCCTTGGAGCTGGGCACTACGTACGTCTGGCAGAGCCCAGCTGCCCTGGCTCGAGGGACCCAGGCAGTAGGGGTGGAGGAGGGTCGCCCGAAGATTGTGCCCTTCCCCCAACAATGGCAGCAGTGGATAATACCCTCTTGTCCCCATGGGTGGGACAATGGACCAACAGAGGGCTGCTGGGGGCAGGGCAGGAGTGCAGGGGACAAAGGGCTTCATTCAGCGTGGCCACCTCCTCTTTGCCCTCTCGCGGCCCCCACAAGGCCACAGTCTCTGTGCCTGCCCCAGGCTGGGCACGGGGCACCTGGCCCGCCCGCAGCTGTGTGTCTGCAGCGCCTCTCTGGTCCGCGGTTTCCTGCATAAGCGTAACAGGTGACGCCAGCACCCGCCGCGCTGCGTCCGTACGGCTCCTGCCGACCCAGTCGCGGAGTCCCTTCCCTGTACTCCCGCCGGCCTAAGTCCCCGAGGCCCGCCCGCCTAGTCCTCCCCGAGCGCGCCGTTTCTCCCGAAACTCTGTCCTCTCTGGGAAAGGCCGCTGCCCGCAGCAGCTGGCGCTGGGCCCCGCGCGCGCCGCCCCTCCCGCAGGCCCCGCTCACCATCCTGAGTCGGGCGCCGCCGTCCGCCGCGCGAGCTCTCCGGTCGCCCGCCTGAGCGAGGACTGGGCGGTCGCGGGGCGGAGGAGGAGCCGAGCGCGGCCGCTATGTGTAGCCAGGGGGGCGGGGCGGAGCCTTGAGCGATAGCGCTAGACCGGGGGCGGGGCCTGAAACTGGGCGGGGACCCTGCGTTTGGCCGCGTTTTTATAGCTCAAGAGGCGGGGCGGAGCGGGACGGAACCGGAACGAAGTACGGTGTGGGCGGGGCCGAGCGGAGTGGGCTGTGCCTTCAGCAAGCAGGCGCCCGCTGGCGGGAAATGGAAACTGATTAAGGGAAGTCAAGGGCCCCGGAGGGGGGCAGCTGGTAGACCTGCGCTTGTTTTTTTTTTTTTTTTTTTGCGGTACTGGGAATTGAACCCAAGACCCTCACACTGAACTACAACCTGAGCCCTTTTTTAAAATTTCGAGACAGGCCTCTCTAAATTGCCCAGGCTAGGTTTGAACTTCTACGTGCAAGCCTCCTGCCTCAGTTTCCCAAAATGCTGGGATGCGGTATTAGCAGGCACCGCTTACGCGGGCAGACTTCTTTTTCCTAAATTCATGTTTCATCCCTGAAATCGGGACAAAGTCACCTTTCCCGGGCTAGGCGGGGTCTCAGTTTCAGGGTTTTAGCCGGTCCAAGAGGCGCGCAGCAGGCATCCCAGCACTCCGGGAGGCTGAAGCATGGCTGCAGTTTCGAGCACATCCAGGGCAACTTGGCAACTTAGCCAGGCGCTGTGTCAAAACACAGAGTGACCTGGGGATGCGGCTCATTGTGAAGGCTTCAAGATTAATCTCCAGTTAAACACACACACAAGACATTGATATTTTATTCACGGTCTCCTTTTGCATTTTTACACAAGTTCATGAACTTATTTTTAGTGTCTTGCCATGGAGCCCAGGCTGGCCTGCAATTCAGCACGTTTCTCCTGCCTCAGCCTCCTGAGGGCTGGAACTGTAGCTTGTGCTGCGCATAGAGCCTTGCGCTCCATTCCCAGCACCCAGATGGGCCCTACTCGCTGCACTGCCCCCAGGAAGTGGCAGTGGTATCGCCCGGCCAGCCCCCACCCCGTCCTCTTCCTGGGCCCCCTGGGGACCGCAGCACAGCTTTGGGACCCACCATCTGCTTCCTTCCTCTTTGGGTGGGAGTGAAGGTGACTGCAGGACAGTGTGGCTGTGCCACCCCACGGCTACAGGGCCACAGACACTTGGACTCCAGGGCTTTCTCCTTCCTGCCTTTAGGCCGTCAGGGCTCCCAGAGGGCACCTGCTTCTCCCCCTTGAGGCCGAAGCTTTCCTGCTTCCTGGCTTCCTAGCCCTGCACAGGTCATCCAGCACTCTGGGAGGCTGAGCCAGGCAGGTCTCACATTGAAGGCCAACCTGAATTTAGTGACTTAGCCTTGCCTCAAAGTAACTAAAGCAAAAGGCTGGGGGGGGGGGGAGGAGTAAAGGCTGTGGTTCAATCCCCCACACAGGAAGAAACTTAGAAACTTTAAAAAAGGGTGAGCAGAAGAAAAAGTGCCAGGACTCGGGCTTGTGAAGTGGAAGATCATATTTAATGGACAGACAGTGACAGTGGAGATCGAGGTGACCCAAGACAAGGCCCCCTGAGTTACTGTCCGAAACGAACCCCTGACAATGCAGTCACTCAGAGCCCCGGGCCTGGGCAGCTACAGCTGGCTGTCTTGGGGCCTCTCTTCTGCTCTCACAGCACCCCTTTCCCCAGGGCCCCCGGGAGGCTGCCGGTAGAGCTCTCTTGGCTCTCGCCGCCTTCGAGTGCTGGTGGTACATCCTCTTCGAGTGGCATCCTGTCCTCTGCGGACAGCGTCCTGTCCCCGACGTGTGTCCTGCCCACAGCCGCCACCTCTGCCTCTTCTTCCTCCTCCTCCGCCTCCTCAGCCGTGCTGTCTTGGGCCCCATGCACTCCCACTCCCTGTAGGGCCATCTGGAGCTCTTCGGCCGATGCCCCCCGCCCTGATTCCCTGTCCCACTGTTGCATCACCCGCTCGGGTGCCTCCTGCGAGTGTCTCAGCTCCTTCTTGGCTGGTCCTGGCTCCTCCTGGGTTGCTGCAAGGACCTCATCTGCAAGGACAGGGAGGAGAGGGAGCAGCAGGATACACAGCGAGTCCACGGCCAGTCTGACCTGTATGGTGAGGCCCTGTCTCAGGGTGCAAAATGAGAAACCTGGTGCACACCTGTTATCCCAGCACTTGGGAGGCTGAGGCAGGAGGCTCGCTGCAAGTTCAAGGCCAGCCTGAACTACATTGTGAAACCCTGACTCAAATAAAGACAAAACAGAAACCAAAGCCGTTGGCTGGTGGAGAGCCATAGCTCCCTCCCGGGGGACCTGGCTCCTTGTTGGTCAGTTACAGAGTCACCAAGCCCTTGCCTGCACCTGCCTGGCACTCTTCCCAGAAGCAAAGGTCCCCAAGGCACTTGCTGCAGCTGCCCAAAGTCACAGACCCTGGAGGTGACAAGGTAGAAGACACTGCCACCTGCTGGTGAGTGCAGGGAGTGCCCCTCCTGGAGCACTGGGGACCGGGATCCTGAGGGAAGGCTGGGCCAGGACTGTGGGGGCAGGCCCAGCCTCTCTCTGAGGCCAGTTGCCATGCCTTCTTACCAAGTGACTGAACCCACCCTCTACCTAAGCTTCCTCCCCTCCCCTGTGAGATCCTCCTGCCTCAGCCTCCCAGAGTGGGCTGCAGTGGCCCTTCAGGCCTCTGCCTCCTGAGGCTCTGAGAAAGGAGACAGAGACGCAGTTGGCCCTGTCCTAGGACACTGGCTGCTCTGGTCCGGCTGCTGGCACCACCTCCCTGCTGGCAGACCATGGCATCCAAGGCCCCCAAAACAGTACCAGCCCTGGGGGCTCTAGGGCACAATAGGGGCCGAGGGACATGGGTGTGCTGGAAAGGCCCCTCCTGCCCTGCTACCCGGAAGATGCCCATCCGCAGCCTCTGTCTCCAGCACCTAACCCTTCCCGGCAGGATGCAGGTGTACCATATGTGTTCCATGAACAGCTTTTCTTCTGGCACTGCAGTTGAAACTCAGGGGCTCACACTGAGCTGCAGCCCTGCCCTTTTTTATTTTGCATTTTGAGTCAGGGTCCTGCTAAGTTCCTCAGGCTGGGCTCAAACTTGAGATGCTCGTGATTCAGTCTCCCAGCATGCTGGGATGACAGGAATGCAGCTGCTTGATGAATTCCTTGAAAAACTAAGTAAGTCCCAAGTTTAAGCCCAGCCTGGACCATTTAGCAAGATCCTGATTCTAATAAAAAGGGGCTGGAGCTCAGTGTAAAGAACCTTGGTTCAATCACAGGACCGAAAAAGGTGTGATGGTGCACATCTGTAATACCAGCACTTGAGAGGCTGAGGCCTTGAACTTAAGTTCAAGGCCAGCCTGGGCTACATAGCCAGGCCTTGTCTCAAAAAACAGAAACGTAAAAAGGATGAAGGGGAGGAGGTGTCAGAGGGCAGCTCAGTGGATAGTGCCTCCCTTGGCCGGGACCCTAGGAGAGAAGGGAGAGGGGACCCCGAGCCTCCCCTCGGTCCAGGTCTCACCTGTGACTCTGACTGTCTCCTTGTAGTTGGTTTTCTTCAGCTCCTCAATAATCCCCTTGTTGGCGTCATCCAGGGCCTGTGGGGCGGAGACACTGGTGAGCTCTGGTATTTTCTTTTCTTCAGTGCTGGGAACTGAATTTGTGATAATCCTGCCTCAGCCTCCTGGAGTGCTGGGATGGCAGGTGTGGGACTCGGTGAGCTCTCTCCACCTCTTTGGCCCTTGTGTATCCCCCTTTGCACCCAGGCCCCAAAGACCTCAGTGTGAGCTGTGGTCCCCTTTCCTTCTGCCAGCAAGGACCCTGACCCTAAGGCTAAGCTGGCTGCGTTTCCTCTGCTTTGCAGTTGTTTGGAGGGGCTGAGGTTGACCTAAGCCATATGGCCCCAAGTGTCACTGTGGCACCAGGTGGTGGGAGTGGCAGGTGTGGTTTCAAGTTATGCTACCTCCACCTGCTCTTGGCCTCCTGAATGCCTGAAGTCCCAGGAAGGGACAGTGGAGGGTCTGGCCCCTTCAGAGTGGCTTCCTAGGGCCATGTAATGTCCTCAGGGGCCTAGATGGGGTCTCCCTATGCTCTCCACACTGGCTTTACAGCCCTATGCTCAAGCAACCCTCCTGCCTCAGCCTTCTGCATTGCAGCCAGGTCCTGAGAGCAGCTTCTGCCCTCTCCCTCCTTAAGGTCACAGAACCCGCCAGGATGGTTGCCTGAGCACCCAACTGTCCTCTTCTGCGGCAAGATGCCAGCCTTGGCCCCTGGAAGCTTCCTGAGGGAGGTGAGGAGTTGGGGACCTGTCACATGGGGAGTCACCAAAGGCTAGCAGAGCCTTTTATCTGCCCTCAGCCCTTCAAGGTGACCCCATCCCTCTTAGGAGACTACGCTGTCACTCTGTGTCCCCTGGTGCCCCGTCCTAACCTTTCTACTGACACCAAGCTTCCTGGGGACCTGAACCCCAGCCAGACCCAGCCCAACCCAGGCTTGGGCACTCTCTTTCCCTTTGGGTTTTCTGAGACACAGTCTATGGCTTTGAACCTCTGGCAACCCTCCTGTGCTCTGGGATCACCGGCGTGTACCACACTTGTCTGCAGGGCCACCATGGGAGAGGACTCAGCAACCAACATGTGCCCCGTAGCGAAGGTTAAACTGAGGCAGCCTTAGGGAGAGAGGGCAGTGGAGGCCCCGCCCACCACAAACCCCGCCCCTCACGCTGATGATGGCCTGCTGCGCCTCCTGGTTGTGCACCAGCTTCGCCCGCTCCAGCGCCTTCTCGAAGTTGTTCACCGCTGACTCGAAGTCTCTCAGCTTCACTGGGGCAAGGGAGGAGCCACAGGGGGCGTCACCCTGTAATCCAGGGTCGGCCCCGCCCCTCAATGGTCCCGCCCCTCGCGGCCTCCACCCCGGAAGTGCGGCCAGGCTTGGCCTGAAGGCCTGGGGCCAGGTCTCTTCAATGCCCCACTGCGCATCTGGGGTCCCAGGGAGGGGCCACCCTGCTGGTCCAGCTCTCAAGTATTTCCTGGGGTTAAGGGGGACCCAACACTTTGTCATGGACATCCCCAAATTTCAGAAACAGCCAGGTGTGATGGGTACAGCTGTCATCTCATGGGCACCACAGTCCACCATAGGCAACTTACACCTTAACCAGACCTTAACTGTAAACAGAAAAATAGATAGGGCAGAGGTGCAGCTCAGGGCAAAGGCCCTGGCTTCTATCTCCAAAAAAAGTCCATCTCGCCCATGTGTGGCAGGGAAGATCAAGCTCGTTGGGACAGCCTGGACTCTGGCCCACAGCCTGCAGGGCCAAGGCCCAGGGATGCACAGACCCGCACGCACATCCACACTGGCTGTGGTCAAGAGCCTGGCGGCTTCTTGCTACTAAGAGCCCAAGGTGGCACCTGCCAGGGCGTGGGTGTAGCCATGCCCAGCTCCACACAGGCTCCCACCCTGGGCTTAGCTGCATAGCTGGAGGGGTCACAGGCCCACTCCAGAAGCTGAGGCAGGAGGACCTCAGGCGTTTAGCAAGACCTCATCTGAAAATGTTGGAAAAGACGGGGGGGGGGGGATATGCTCAGCAGAAGAACATCTGTCTACTGGGACCAGGTCCAGGGTTCCAAACCCAGCATTTGTATAAAAATTACATCAGGCCACTGACATGGGACAAAGCTCCAGCACTAGAGCTCAACCAGACCAGGCCCAAAATCAAAGTGGAGCCCAGAATGCTGGTGAGCGCCTGTCATCCCAGCACTCGGGAGGCTGAAGCAGGAGGGTCACCATGAGTTCAATGCCAGCCTGGGTTCCAGCCTGGGTTTGAGCAAGACCCTGCCTCAAAACTCCCAGTGGAGTCACTAACGCTGAGGTTCCATAGCACCAAGATGGACCGAGTTGTTTATCTGACCTTTCACAGGACAGGCCAAGGCACATAACACCCACACCACCCTGCCCCGCCAACTGCCACTAGCAAAACTTCGCTGCCCCCTCAGCCTTGATCCTTGTACAGAGAGGAAACCAGTCTGTTTCTGTGCTGTTTCCCTGCTCGCACCTCACAAGAAAAGTAACATCTATGTACATTTATGTCTTATTGTAAATTTTTGTCCTAAGACAAGGTCTTGCGTGGCTGCCCAGGTTGGTCAGCAATGGCTGCATTCAAAGAGATCCTCCTGTCTGAGTGTCCCCAGTAGGTGGGACCACAGATGTGCCCGGCTCTACCCTGATCGATGTTCTGTGTTTCTGCTTCCATCAGACCTTTTTTCTTTTTTTCTTTTTTTTTTTTTGATACTGATCACTGAACCCAGGTGGGCTGTCTGGCTCGGGCTACCTTGTGCTTGGGCCACCAGGACACTGGCGTTCAGCTGCCACTCAATGTCACCCTCCTCCTCAGCAAACTGCAGCGACCTCTCCCCGTAATACTGCGCCTGCAGGGCCTGATCCAGCTCCAGGTAGCAGCGGCCAATCTCATGCAGCAGCCAGGTCTTCTCCAGCGCAGTCTTGGCCAGGGGGATCTTCTCCTCCCACCTGGGGGAAACTGAGTCAGTGCTCCTCCACTGCCCCCACCCTGGCCCAGGATCAGGAGGAAATTCCTCTAGCACCAGGCCAGGAAGGCTGGGCAGTGTGAGCACAGAGCAGAACTATGGAAGTGCTGGGCATGGTGGCATGGGCCTTTAATCCTTCTCCACAGTCAGAGGGCTGAGGCAGGAAGAGCTCTGAGAGTATGAGGCCAGCCTGAGCTACGCAGTGAGTTCAAGGTCAGCCTGGGCCACATATTGAAACCCCATCTCAAAGCACACCCAAAAAAATACATACATATATACACACATACATACATATATATGAAAATCAACGAGAAAAAATATTCGAAGGAAAAGCAAAAATACTGACACAGATTGGAATTACTGCCTGGGGTTATAGCTCAGGTACAGCACCTGCTGGCAAGCACAAGGTCCTGAATTCAGTTGCTAGTACCAAAAAAACAACACAAAAACAAAGTAGAATTACCACTTGTCTTTGGGTAGCAGGGCTAATTCTGCTTCTCTCTCTCTCGCTTTCTCTCTCCCCCTCCCCTTTTTCTCTCTCTCCTTCTCTCTCTCTTTTCTATCTCCACTACTGGGCACTGAACCCAGACCCTCACACTGAGCTGCCCCCGCCAGCCTTGCGGTAGGGTCTCACCATGTCTTTCAGCTGTGCAGGCTGGACTTAAACCTACAATCCTCCCTGACTCAGCCTCTCCGAAGTCCTCCCTGCCTCAGCCTCCCAGAGTGCTGGGATTCAGATGTTCGCCAACACGCCCAGCTCTGCTATGTTCCTGTTTCTCAGGTAATGTTCCACCAGTAAGCACATCACTGTTATAAAGCAGTTTGGGATAAGGGGGTGCTGGGGGGGTCCACACTGACCCTCCCCCGTCCGCCAACAGACACCAAGGGAGCCAAAAAACCAAGCCACACAGGCTGCCGCTGCTGGGAGCAGCCAATCTCCTAATGTCAGATGACTTCTTCCCAGGAAGCACAAACGTGGCTGAGCCCAGGCTGTTCCCCTAGATTTGGGCCTGGGCCTCCCATTGTGCCCTGCTGGGCTGACCCTGTCCCATGACACAGAGGGACACACAGCCTCGCCAGAGCCCACAGCCATGGGACCCCAACTCCTGAGCCTGGCCTGGGCCTGCGGCAGCCTGGCTTCTAGGAGAGGTAAAGTCACTTCCAGGCCTATTTTCCAGGTGGCTCTGATCGCAGAAAAGTGTGATTCATTTGGGGAGATTTGCGACCCTCCTGCCTCAGCCTTGAGTGTCGGGGTTATATCGATCTGACCTCACTTCATGGAGGCCTGAGTTTAAAGTGGTTTCCGGGGCTGGGGGTACCAGAGCATCTGTGTAGGTTTAAACCCAGCGTCAGGCCCAGGGGCTGCCCTGAGCACCCACTCACGTGTCGATAGCCTGCTGGAATTTCCCGATTCGGGCAAAAACCCGGCCGATATTGTCCAGGGCTCTGGATTTTGCGTCAGGGAGGTCACTGTACGGAGAGAGTGGAGAATTCCACTCACTGGGAATCCAGGAGTGAAAACCCTGGCCTCAGGGACTCTGGGACTCAGGCTCCAGCCTGGGGAGAAGGGACCCAGGTCAGCAAGGCTGTGGTACACGGGACTCCCTCACAGGAACCCGCCTGCCTCAGCCTCCTGGGAGTCAGCATGCGGCCAAGGCTGTTCTCCCAATGCTGCCAGGGGGCTGGAGACCCCGGCCAGGGGGAAGGCAGGCATTGATGTCCAGTGCCAGGTACTGTGCCATGACCCAGGGGCAGTCCTCCCTCGGGGCCTCGGGGCCTTGGGGATAGAAGCCAGGGAGGCATCAATCGGGGAGTCCTGGAGCCCCCGAGCCCCAAGCTTCTGACCCACAGTCGCTGCAGAATTGGGGGCCCCAGAGCAAGATGGGGACTCCAGAGTGGACAGCACAGGGGCCCCACAGCTGCAGGGCCGGGTCCAAAACCCTCTGGCTCAAGGCAGTGCCTATGCGGTATACTAAATCTGCACGGCTCTGTGACACAGGAGACTGAGAGCCACACCTGGGCTCTTCACTTCTGGCTCCGGCCCTGGGGACTTTGTCCCACTCCACGTTGGCCAGTGTCCAAGCCAGGAAGGACAGAGCCAGGGGGACACCTGTAGGCTAAGTGTGGCTGTGGGACAGTGCAGCGTGGGCTGGGGGGGGGGGACACGTGGCAGGGGCAGCGTGCAAGGGAAGGTGGGGGCAAGAGAGGAGGGGACCAGCTGTGGGGGAGGGGAGGGGGAGGCGGACGGGCACCCAGGAAGCCAAGGCCTGCAGACAGGCCCTTCCTCCAGCCTACTGAGTCCCAGGGTCACGGTTGTGGCCCACCACTCTGTGGGTCCCTTCCCCCTGGGCTGTTGTGATTTTTGGTTGTTCATTTGCCTTTATGGGGATTGAACTCAGGGCCTTTGAACTGAGCCGCATGCCCAGCCCTTTTTATTTTTTTGAGACATGGTCTCGTTAAATCACTAAGATGACTGACCAGGCTGGGTGTGAACTTGAACCCTCCTGCCTCAGCTTCCTGAATGCTGTAATGACCTCTCATGGTGCTGGGCTATTTTGTCCACTTGATGAGTCTGATCAGTCCACAGACTCAGTCCACAGACTGAGTCTGCAGGTGGAGGTGACCAGGCCAAGGCCCCGAAGCAGGCCGGGATACATTCCAAAGCCTAGGTGGCCCATGGAGCCCAGCACCCAGTCATACCCATTTCTAGGGACCGGCTCCCCGGCCCCTCACCGCAACCCCTGCAGGCCACCTCCAGGCCTAGTGACCCTCTCAGAGAACTGACCGCTGTGTCTGCTCACTGCTGCATCCCCCGTGCTGGCAGTAGCAGAAATGTCTGGTGACGCATGCTTGTTGAGATGATGCGAGAATCAAAATAGCAGGCGCGGTGGTACACGCCTATCAAACTGCATGAAAAGGGCTGGGGACGAGGGAGGCGCTCAGGATGGAGCTGGACGGGCCAGGACTCACTGCTCCCGGGCGATGTCCAGGTCCCGGCGGTGGCTCTGCAGCGCAGCGGCCGTCTGGCCCAACTCCAACTGCGCGTTTCCGATGCAGCTGTGCAGGTTGCCCAGCAGCTCGTCCCTGTTGGGCACTTCGTCGCAGCCCCACTCCAGCACCTTCTTCAGCACCTTCTCTGCCTTCTGCAGGCTGCTCTCTGCGCTACCGCTGCTCAGCACTGGGGACGACACGTGGGGCTTGAGGCTCGGGTCCCCTCCCCCACCCGTGCCCGTGCCCGTGCCCGTACGCCCATGCACGCGCACGCACACATGTCGATGTCCTCCAGGCTCTTGAGCACAAAGTGCACCGTCTGTGCTGGGGTCCGTCCGCGGTCCCGCAGCCAGCGGTCTCGCATCAGCTTCCGGTCGCGCTCACGGGCATAGATCGGCTTCTGCTGCTGCCAGAAGCTGCTGCGCGTGTCCAGGTAGTTGATGCCTGTCAGGATGAGGTCCTCCACTGTCACGCCACTCCGGATGGTGCCCCGGATGAGGTCTGCGAAAGACGGACTAGGCTGCCCAGGGCCGCCAGCCTGAGCGCCCTGCTAGGCCCTTCCTGGTCAGGAGTGCGGGCGGGCCACTCCCCCGAGGCTCCCCGGATCTTGGGGTTCTACCCTTTCCAGCTGCATCATCAGAGACCAGTCTGCACCAGGGAGCATATTGGTGCACACCTTTCTCCCAGCACTCTACTTGGGAGGCTGAGGCAGGAGGATCGCCAAGAATTTGAGGCCAGCCTGGCCAGCCTACACAGTGAGACCGTGCCTCTAAGGACCTTTCCACCGGGACGCAGCAGCCAAGGCTCCCGGGCAGGTCTACCTGGGGTCCAGCCGGCCCCCTCCACCCAGGCCCCTGGCGCTAAGGGGCTGCACCTTCATCAAGCAGCAGCCTCTCGAGGTATTCCTTGTCCACGTAGAGCTCGCCCAGCAGCTGGCGCACTGTTTTCTCGCTCTTGAGCGAGCCCTTCCGCTTTGACTCCCGCTGCACCTGGTACCGTAGATGCTTCACCGGTTGGGGCTGTTGCTGGGCCTTCATGCTCTGGGATGGTGACACTGGGCTCACACAGGGACATGGCACCCATATGCCCCAGAGCCCGGGTGTCTACCTGCCTGCCCCAAGAGCCCCACAGAACAGGTGCACCCCAGGACTCCACACAGAACAAGGTCCCCCGCCCCAAGCCTGGAGACCTGAGCCGTCTGGGACCCACAGCTGGCATGCCAGTGCCTACCTCAGCCTGCTTACTCAGGAAGGCCAGGTCCCCTGTGTTCTCCAGCTTGATGGAGGAAGGACCTGCGGACCAGGGGTGTGGCTGATCTGCCCAGTCTCCTGGGACCACCTGTCACTTCTCTGTGCCTGCCTAGCCACACTGCCCAGCAAGCACTGCTGGGGACTGGGGAACCCCTGGGCGGCCCCTGCAGACAAGGGCCAGGGCAGCCGGATTTCCAAACAAAGCCTGTGCCCCTGCGCCTAGCACACCGCGCTGACCCCATCTCCCCTGCCCCAAGGAGTCACTGCTCCGGGCAGAGCCAGCATTTGGTTCACCAGGCTGAGGGAGGGAGCAGAGGACAGTCTTGGTCCACTCCAAGACTCTAGGCTTCAGTGCCCTTGGAGGAAAACCAGGACCCGTTCCTAGCCTCTGAACATCAGCCACACCAGGCATGGTGGCACACGCCTGTTAGCCCAGCACTTGGGAGGCTGAGACAGAGGATTGCTGTGAGTTTGAGGCCAGCCTGGGTTACACAGTGAGTGCAAGTCCAGCCTGGACTACCAAACGAAGCCCTGTCTTGGTGACAAAGAAAGAAAGAGAAACCGAGCAACAGTCAACTGGAGAACGAGGCCCTCGCAGGTCCGGAGGAGGCCGGCACCCAAGCACACTGTACCTCTGGCTTCCTCTAAGCCTGGCCTCCCAGAGCCCTTCTGACCAGGACATTGGCCACGGCCACTCACTTCCCACCGAGTTGTTGATGGCCTCCTGCGCTTTCTGAATGCCCACTTTGAACTCGCGTTCTGGCCGCAGCTTGTACCCCCGGTGATAGAAGACCAGGGCGAACTCGAAGTCCCCCATGGTGTACAGCGTCTCCGCCTTCTGCAGAATCCCCTGAGGGACAGACAGGTGGATTGGGTAGGGTGGCAGTGCCCCAGGAGGGGGAAGAGCATGGGGGATGTTGAGGGGCCAGGGAGGAGGCAGCTGGCAGCATCAGGGCCCAGCTGTCACCAGAGGCCACAGCAGCCGAGACAGCGGGATGGCCTCCTCCCACCTTGCAGAAAGTTGGGTCGCTCTGGAGTGAGGCCTCCGCGTCCTTCAGGGACTTCGCCAAGTCCCCCATCTTCAGGTAGCACTTGGAGCGCGCCACTAGGCAGTTCTTGTCCCCGCTCTGCAGGTGAAGAGCCTAGGGAAGGGACCAAGCTTGGCTTCTGGGAAGGGCGGCCCAGCCCTTCCATAATGGCAGGTGACCCCAGAGCTGGGGGAGGGAAACTGCATTTTTTGGGGGGGTGGGGACAAAATCTCACTACGTAGTTCAGGCTGGGCTTGAACTTGCAGTGACCCTCCTGCCTCAGCCTCCTACGTGCTGGGATGATAGGTGTGTGCCACCATACCTGGCTCTTCAGAATACATCTCAAATGCTAAGGAAAGCAAAAGAGAGTCTGGGACAGTCTGCAAGTTGAATTATCCGTGCTAATAACTTTTTCTTTTTTGCCTTTTTGGGGATGGAACAGAACCCAGGGCCTTATGCTTGCTAGGCAAGCACTCTACCACTAAGTTACATGCCTGGCCCAAGATTTCACTCTTGTTTTCTTTCATCCTTTTTTCTTTTTTTTTTTTTCCCATATGGGGTCCTGCTATGTAGTCTAGACTGGCCTCAAACTCGTGATGATCCTCCTGCCTCAGCCTCCTGAGTGACAGGCACTATCATGCCTTGGTTTTTGGATTTGGTTGTTTTTTGTAGAGAGGAGGTCTTCTTACATTGTCCACCTGGTTTCAAACTCCAGTCTTCCTCCTGGCTCAGCCTCCAGAGCAGCTGGGATGACAGGTGCACATCACTGTGCCTGATTTGAGCTTTCTGTCTTATTTAATGCAGCTCACAGAGCTATCGCCACTGCAGCATCAGGCTCAGGAAACTGAAACTGTGGCGTGGGCCCCAGTGTGGGGACAGCCCTTCCCCAGTCCCTGGCCCCTCTCTGCCCAGACCCTCACCGCAGCCTGGCTGCAGTCCTCTCTGAGGCCCAGGCTGCAGCTGCCCCTGCCACGGACCTTCCCACTTTCCTAAGAGGCAGAAGGAGCTGCACCTTTCCTGGAATGGGATGCTCTCCCCACCACCTGGCCTGGAGGTGCCAGCAGTTTCTGCCTGGCTTCTTCAGAAGGGATGTGGCCCAGCAAGAGGCTGGTGACCTCGACCTTTGCCCACCAGGTCTGGGTCTGGCGTTACCATGGGGTGAGTGATTGACCGGGACAAAAGACCCTTTGGCTGCCAGCTGCCTCCTCCCTGGCCCCTTAACACCCCACCCCGGTGTGGCTTTAGCAGCATCCTGTGAGCCGGCTCTACTTGGAGGGAGAGGTGACCAGAGCTGGGTACGGAGTTGGGGGCCCAGCATTTCTCTAGTATCTGTGAGGCCAGGTGGAGCCCGGGTCCTCTTCCTCAGCACAGGAAGTGGCGTGAGAACACCCCATCCCCCGTGCTGACCACAGCCCAGCACTTCGGTCCGCCCTGAGTCCAAGCGCCGTGAGTCCAAGCACCGAGCTCCGGATCCTTTCTCTGCCGCCGCCGGCGAATTTCGTGAGTGACCTCTGGGTTCAGCCCTGGGTTTCCTCCTCAGGAAAGTGAAGCAATAGCGGCAGCTCATCCGGAGAGGGAGGCAGAAATGCCTGGATCTGCACCCGTTCACCGGAAGGGAGGTGTGTAACACCTGCCGAGGACGCCCAGCATTGGAAAATGAGGCTGGTCCCTCGCTGGGAGCGCTATGCTGCAAACCTGCTTGAGGGGTGGTCACACCAAACCCTCAACCTGATTTTACTAAGGTTTTATAATGACACTATTTTTTTTTTTCTTTTTCCTTTTTATCGGTACCGGGGATCGAACTCACTACTGCCTGCTTGCAAGGCAGGCGCTTATGCCGCTAAAGCTAAATCTCCAGCCCCGACACTAATTATTTACCGACCACTTTCTTCCCATAAGCAACTGTGTGCCACAGACTGGGCAGCCTCCACCCACAGCCTGCTGGCCGATGACGAGAATGAAATGGAGGCTGCTCTGTGAACAGTAGTCACGAAACATTTAAATAAAAGTAGAGAGAGAGATCACTGCTAATTCGGAGAAAGAAGGACGCAAGTAGACATTGACCGGAAATGAGCCAGTGAGGGGCATGGTGGTGCACACCTGTCATCCCAGAACCCTGGAAAACTGAGGCAGGAGGATCCTCCACTCAGGCCCAGTCTGGGCGACTTAGTGATCTAATGAGATCCTGCCTCACAGTAAAGAAGGGGCCAGGTGTGAGGATGCAGGTCAATGGGAAGGCCCCATTGACCAGGGTTCCCCAAGCCCGGGGCTTGCCTGTGACTGGTCTTATCACTGAGGAATCGGAAGGAAGTACACACAGAGGATCCTGTGGCCTGGGCAGGCTCAGGGCCCGCACTGCTGGGAGTCCAGGCTGCCGCGGATGGAGAGATGAGCAGCCACTCACGTTGCTGAAGCTTTGGGCGGCCTTCGCGAACTCCCCGCACAGGTAGAGCCGCTCACCCTCGGCCATGTAGGAGGGGAAGGTGCTGCGCAGGACCTCGGCCTCGGAGTCTGCCATCGCAGCCGGCCGGGGGACGCGGGAGCGGAGGGAGAAGCTGCAGAACTTCAGCCGGGCTTGTGGAAGCCCCGTCTCCTAGCAACCAAGAGACGCGGACTGACTTCCGCCTCTGGCAGGCGGGACGTTCCATCCCGGCCACGCCCTCAAGGCGTGCGCATACGCACATGCCACCGCCTCGGGGCGCTCGGGGCAGCTGGATGATCAGGGCGTGGCCGGGTCTGCGGAGGTGGCAGCGCCACCAGCGTGTGGGCAGCTTGCGGGCCAGGCAGCCGTGACAGCCCGGGGGTGAAGCAGAGTGCCTAGAAGGGACGAGCCTCTTAGAGGCTGGGCGTGCAGGTGCAGAACAGGCAGCTGGTAGCTGGTAGACGAAGCGTAGCATCTCCGCTCTCTGTTTTCTCTTTTCGGGATTGAACCCAGGACCTTTGCACTGAGGCGTCCCCCCTCCCCCCGTTTCTTAAATGTTGAAACTGAGGCGCAATTGCCTGGACTTGGCTCCACCTTACAGTTCTCCCACGTCAGCCTCCCACAGTGCTGGGATGACAAGCCTGTGCCACCAAACCTGGCTCAATCATTTTTGTATTTGTCCGTTTTATTGCCTTAAAACTTTCGGTCCGATGCTCTCCCTCTCGCCCTCTCCCCCCCCCCCTCCTTCCTTCCGAGACAGGGTCTCATTGTGTAGCCCAGGTTGGTCTCTAACGGCAGCAGTCTTCCTGCCTCAGCCTCCTGAATGCTGGGAATTCAACTGTCTCTCACTCAGGTAAAGATGACAGTTCTGGAACCTCACAGAATCAGTGAGATACCGATCAATCAGAGCAAGCCAGACAGGTTCATCCGCCCTCCAGATCTGCACCTGCAGCCTGTGCCTCTGCGCCCCTTTGCCCTAAAATCCCAGAGCTACCCAGTGTAGTGATGCATGCCCTCGGAGGCCGAGGCAGGAGGAGGATCACTGCGAGTTCAAAGCCAGCCTGGGCTACACAGTGAGATCCTGTTTCAAAACAAAACAAAACAAAACAAACAAACAAACAAAAAAAAAAACGCAGCTGTATCAGCTCCTCAAAGACAGGCTGTGAGGTCTTGAGTGTCTTTGTCCCTCCCAGTGTGGCTGGTTGACTGTTGGTCCTTGTGCCACGCTGTCTCCTGGGTTCTTGGGAGCCACATCTGGTCTGTGGGGACCCTCGGCACTGGGAAATTCCCCCCCAAATCTCCACGCATAAGACTACAGAGGGAAACTGGGCATGGTGGCACACAGCTGTCATCCGAGCACTCAGGAGGCTGAGGCAGGAGGGTCATTGTGAGTTTAAGAGCAGCCTGGGCTACACAGTGAGCTCAAGGCCAGCCTGAACTGCTTAGGGAGACCCTGTTTCTAAAAACCAAAAAAAAAAAAAAAAAAGGGGGCTGGGGATTTAGCTCAGCGGCATAAACGCCTGCCTTGCAAGCAGGCAGTCGTGAGTTCAATCCCTGGTACCGATAAAAAGGAGAAAAGACCAAAAAAACAAACAAAAAAAAAAGTGCAGAGGGAAATGATTTCAGATTCAACAGCCAGGGGACCCTTGGAGGGGCCAGCTTGCTTGGGGAAGCGTGTCAGGCACAGAAGGTTCAGGACAATAGGGTCTCCCTTCTTCTTCTTCTTTTTTTTTTTTTTTTTTTTTTTTTGTCTTTTTCGTTTTTATCAGTACCAGGGATCGAACTCATGACTGCCTGCTTGCAAGGCAGGCGCTTTTGCCACTGAGCTAAATCCCCAGCCCCCGGTCTCCCTTCTTTACAAACCTGGGACCTATATAATCTGCAGAGGAAAATCAAAGGTCAGTGGCAGTCACCCGGCAGGCAGGTGTTTCACAGGTGGGAAGGGGTCTAGAAATGGAGAGCGGCGAGGAGGAAGAGAAATGAAAGGGCCTAGGATTCAGTGTGTCCCAAATGGGTACTAATTTTAAAAAAAAATTTTTTTTAAAGGGCTCGCACTCCTGTAATCTGAGTACTCAAGAGGCTGAGCCCAGAGGATTGTTGAGAGTTTGAGGCCAGCCTGAACCACAGTGATACCCTTACTCCAAAATAAAGAAAAGGTTTATTTCTTTTCTGTATATGAAATTGCTATTCATTATGGCACTATGCACTTATAAGTAAGTTAACACAAGGGCCTCTTGCAGGAACCATTGAATGAAACCAAGGTTTCTGTTTATAGATAAGAAGAAAATTCTTTCTTTCTTTCTTTCTTTTTTTTTTTTTTTGGTACTGGAGACAACCCAGAGCCTTTGCATGGAGGCATAGCCCAGCCCTTTTTTATTCTTTATTTTGAGACAAGGTCTTGCTAAGTTACTGAGTTGCCCAAGCTTGAGCTAGGAAGCCTCCTGCCTCAGCCCCCCAGTGTGCTGGAATTACAAGCATGTGCCACCACTCCCTGCTGAAAATTCTAAATATTTACTTTGTCATTCTCACCAGTGTGTGCTTCCAAGGGACCAGACTTGAGATACCTATAAGAAAACAGACAGAGTATTAATGATGAATGTAAATATCCTTAGGGGAAAAAAAAATGGAACCAGGCATCCCTGTAGTCCCAGCACTCTGGAAGGCTGAGGCAGGAAGATCACCAGGTTGTAATCGAGCCTGGACAATTTATTTAATTAGACCCTGTTTTTTTTTTTTTCAGATTTATGTATATTTTATGTATAGTTGAAGGTTTTCTTTAGACTCTGTCTTAAAAAAATTAAAAAGGGGCTGGAGATTTAGCTCAGCGGCATAAGCACCTGCCTTTCAAGTTTGTGGTCATGAGTTTGATCCCTGGTACCAATAAAAAAGAAAAAGACAAAAAAAAAGGAAAAAAATTAAAAAGGACTGGAGCTACAGCTTGGTGTCAAGACCCTGGGTTGCATTCCATCACTGACAGCAAAAGAAGAAACTAATTTAAATAGCCTGAATGTAAAGTACTGGACAGGGCAGGAAGGCAGGACACAGAGCAAAGGCCAGGTCCCTGGCTGTGGTAACGGTCACATTCATGTTAAGCCCGTCTGCAGAGGCACTGGGTGCATGCAGTTTATGGAACGTTAATTGCACCCTAGTGAAGCTGGTCTGGGACGAGTGAGGTGGGCCTCCTAATGACCGGTGCTTCTCAGCCATGGATGAAGTGCTGCCAGAGCCACATGGTCCTTTTCTCATTTCACCATAAAACATTCAGGCTTGGGGCTGGGGATTTAGCTCAGCGGCATAAGCACCTGCCTTACAAGTTGTGTGGTCATGAGTTCGATCTCTGGTACCAGTAAAAAAAAAAAGAAAGAAAAGAAAAGAAAAGAAAACATCCAGGCTGCTAACCAGCAGGGCCTCAGGCTACAGCGTCAGGGCCCAGCTGCACTGGTCTGTGCCCCAGGTCTTGGGCGCTGGGAAGCCACTGAGCCCCAGCCCTGCTCGGGTCCATGCCACTGCTCTTTCACTTAACTTTGATTTTTCATTTATTGAGAGAGGGTCTTACTGGGTAGCTCCTGTTGGGCTCAAACTTGTGGGGATCTTCCTGCCTCAGCCTGCTAAGTGCTGGGATGACAGGCTCTGCCATGGAGGTACTGATAGCGCCTGGGGCAACACGTCCTGGGCTGAGGGCCCACAGACCCTCAGTGATCTTCCTAAAGTCCTGGTGGTTACACTGGCCTGACAGGGGCAGTGACCTCTGCTCTTGCCTGGCTTAAAGAGAATTTCCAAATCCAGACCTGGCAGGAGAAAGCAGCAGAAATCCTAAAGGACAAGCAGGAATAATAAAGCAGCACAATAAGGCTGAGTGAGTCGCATGGACTGGTCCAGGGCCGAAGTGTTCACAAGAACAGGTGGGGGCCGGTACAGATTAAAAAAAAAAAAAAAAAAGAACAGGGCAGGGCAGGTGAGAGAGCAGAGCCAGTGAGGGTGCCTTTCCTGGGGCCTATCACCCTGTCCCTGGGAGGCTGAGGCAGGAGGATCACTGTTTTTTTTTTTTTTTTTTTTTTGTCTTTTTCCTTTTCCTTTTTACCAGTACCGGAGATCGAACTCACGACTGCCTGCTTGCAAGGCAGGCACTTATGCCGCTGAGCTAAATCCCCAGGATCACTGTAAGTTGAAAGCCAGCCAGGAGGAGGACATGGCAAGAAAAAAAAAATCAAGGACAGAGGTGTTTCAGAACTGGGCACTTGAGCAGGAATGTAGCTCAGTGGCACAGTGCCTACCTGGCAAGTGCAAGGTCCCGAGTTCAATTCCAAAAAAAAAAAAAAGAACTGGACGTACTCAGAGCATGTCTATGTCTCCTCTCTACCGTCTCACCCTTGCTTCCACTGTCATTCTTACTTGCTTTCTTTTTTGATTTATTTTTTGTTTATTTTGAGACAGGGTGTCTCACTATGTGGTTCGGGATGGCTTTGAACTTAGTATGTAGCTCAACCTGGCCTCCAGCTTGCAGTTATCTTCCTGCCTCAGCCTCTGGAGAGTGAAGGTCACAGGTATGCACTACTGCATCTTCCTGTCCTTTTTTTTTTTTTTGGCTTTTTGCTTTTTATCGGTACTGGGGATCGAACTCACGACTGCCTGCTTGCAAGGCAGGCGCTTATGCCACTGAGCTAAATCCCCAGCCCCTGCCTGTCCTTTTATTTGAGAAATAGAGTTTCGGGGCTGGAGATTTAGCTCAGCGGCATAAGCGCCTGCCTTGCAAGCAGACAGGCAGTCGTGAGTTCGATCCCTGGTACCGATAAAAACGAAAAAGACAAAAAAAAAAAAAAAAAAATAGAGTTTCACTCTGTAGTCCAGGCTGGTCTTGAACTCCACGGTAATCCTCCTGCATCAGCCTCCCAAGTGATATGTGCCAGCACACCTGGCCTGGTTTACCCTTTATGTAACCTCCAACCCAGTCCAGAAGCAGAGTGAGGAGAGCCGAGAACAGGGAGGCAAGGGGCTGGACAGAGAGATGGGGCTGATGGGTAACAAAAGTCTCCCTGGGATGGCTGGAGTGAGGGGGGCTAGGGCACTTAGGGTGGGCACCTCATCCCTCTGGCCAGGACCTCTCCATTCTCACCATTCCAGCAGTTCCTGTCAACCCTACCCTGGAGCAGTCAAAAGGGGACATCTGTCAGGGGACTGCCTTGGCAGCGTTTACGGAGGACGTGCTGCGTACCAGATTCAAAGTGCTGCAGAAACCTGTTGCTTCAGGCACCGGAGCACAGATGCCCACAGAATAAAGTGTGAAAAAGAATGCAATTGCCCTCAGGCGGGGTGGTGCACCCCTGCCATCCCAGCAACAGAGAGGCTGAGGCAGGAGGATTGTGGGGAAATGGAGGCCAGCCGGGGCTACCCAAGAGAGACTGTCTCAGAGAAAAACTGCTGCTGCTGGAAGACAAAGCAAGTGTATCTCACATTTGTCTACTGTGCTGCCTACGGTAACATAGTAACAGTCTGTTATCCTCCTGATGACTGTGTCCCCAGCAGTGAATCTTGTCGCTGCACTGGGCTCCCTGTCATCTGGCCCAGGCGGATGCCACCCAGCTGTTTTTTTTTTTTTTTTTACCCAGAATACTGTGCTGCGGGGGGAGGAGCTTGGTGGGGACAGGGCTTTCCAGGACACCCCCCACCCCACCCGCTCCTTTTCTGCAGTAAGAGGGAAAGCAAACCTAGAGCTGCTATTTTGTTTTGGGGCTGTGGGGCAACAGTCTTATGTAGTTAGGCTGGCCTGGAAATCATGAAGATCCTCCTGTCTCAGCCTCCTGAGTGCTGGAATGGCAGGTGTGGGCCACTATGCCTGTGGGAGCTGCTCTTTATAAAGGCTAAAAGAAATGGAAGAGATCAGAAAGGGCATGCTCGGAGTGGGAGTGGGGATGGTTTCGTCTGCAAGGCTGTCGCACGACTGTTCCTAGCCACGTATGACCAGAATGCCTGGCAGGGCTGCGGGCGCTGGGCTGACTGCAGCACCTGAGCGCTGCGGGTCTTAGGTTCCTGGCTGCCTGGCAACTTGTTTTCAGCAGCACCGAGAGCCTGGGCTCTCCAGTTCGGGCTGACACAGTGTCCTCTCTCTGCAGGGAATGGACAGAGGTCGGGGCAGGGCTGGGTAGTCAGACTGCAGGAGTCCGGCCGGGCAGGAACCTCTCACCAGCCGCTGCTCAGCCCTGACCGGCAGAGGCCAGCAGGGGCCAGCAGCGGCCAGGACCTGGCTGTGACTGGCTGCCTTCTGGCCCCTCCTCCGGTCACCCTGTTTCACCACCTGATAGCGGAGTCACAAATTCAAGCCCCGCCTGTGCAATTTAATAATCCGTGACATCTTGTCTCAAAATACAATATAAAGAGGCCGGAGGACAGATCTCACATGCAGGCCCTGGATTCACTTCCCAGTGACAAAAAACAAAACAAAACAAACAAACAAAAAAAGAAAAGCCGGTGTCATCCACTGAGTTTGACACGGCCGATTGCAAGTGCAAGGCTGCGGAAGTCTCATTTTCCCCCGTGGGAGGGAGAAAGGGAGGGCCAGGTTCCCCAAGCAGCGCGAGGCCTGGCTTGCAGCACTCGCTCGGTGCACGACCCCACCCAGCAGCGGGCAGCCCAGCCCCGCAGCGATCAGACCACGGCGCCCGGCCGAGCAAGGTCTGTCCGCGGAAGCCCCGCCCATCTCCCCACCCGAGGCCCCGCCTACTCTGGTCTCCCAGCCTTCGCGGGAATGCTAGACTACAAGTCCCAGCAGCCTCCAGGAGTCATCATTGGGGCGGGGTCGGTGCGGTAGCCAATGGGGAGGAGCCGTGGCGCACAGGCAAGGGGTCGCGTGTAACCAATCGCGGCGCTGCGCCCGGCGTGAGCCGATGCGGGCGGGGCGGGGCGCCCCAGACCCGGACAAAAGGCGGATCCCGGCGGCCACGAGCGGTCGGAGCGCGGGCGCTGGGCGAGCGGGATATAGTGTTGCGCCGCGGAGCCGTGAGTGTAGAGCCGATCCTGGCGGGCGGGCGGGCGGGCCCCAACCCGAAGCTGTAGCTTCCCTTCCCGGCCTGGCACTGTGTGGGGCGCGCGGCTGCACCTGCCTGAAGTTTGGGGCCCCAGCTCGCGCTGCGTGGTCCCACGGCCGGCTCCCTGGGGTGGCGCCGGCCGCCGCTTCCCGCCCTCGAGGCTCCCCTTCCGGGCCACAGTGGTGCTCGCCCGGCTGCCCTGGTCCTGCCCTGGGCCTGCACGCGGCGCCAGAGCCCCGCGGCCGGGGTGCCGGGAACCCCCCTTGCCCTGGCGCCGGGTGGCCGGGTGCGGCCCTCCCGCCTCCCAACCGCCCTGGCGTCCGGATGCTGCCACGTCCTGGGGGGGCGGAGGTGCTGCCGCCCTACCGGTATGGGCAGGCGCGGCTCTGCTCGTGCGCCCCCGGGTCTGCTGGGGAGGGGAATAGCGGGGCGCGCGGTACATTTGCCCGCCTAGCCGCCCAGCGTTGCTCTCCACACCTCGACTTCGCTGCCTTGAAACACCGCTTTGGGAACGCGGGGTGGGGGGCAGCCGATTGATCAGAAGGGGACGTCGCAGCCCCGTAGCCTCCTAAACAGCTACAGGGTGGAAAGGGCAGAGCCCCAGACACTGGGCAGCTGACGTCTCCATCCCCCTGTGACACTGCGGGCAGAGAGCGCCCGAATAATCCGGCCCTTGTACCCCAGGGACTGTCTGGCCTCTTAGCGACCCCAACACTACAGATCCTAACTGTCCTCCCGTGTTTCCAAGCGAACCCCATAGCATCCCACCGTCCCTCTGCTGGCCCTGCCCGCATCCCAGAAGCTACTTTCATTCAGCTGCTGCTGGCTTTAGGGCTGCTGGGTGAACTCAATCCGGGTTCATCCGTCTGCAGCAAGCACCCCATTCAGCTCCAAGCTTCTTCCCCAGACAGCGCTGTTGTTACAGGACTGTGAATCCTCGTTTCTGGGGGTTAGGTGCACACTTTCCTCCCTCTTGGGAGAGTGTGAGACCCAGGCTGGGGAGACTTTAGGATTCAGACCAGCAGTGGAGGCCTCCGCCCCGCCTCTGTCTCCCTCAGAACCTCTGCCTGGCTTAGGTCCCCTCCTGGTTCCTGAGCCGCTGTCTTAGTGATCAGTGATCGGGTAGAGCCAGACTCCATCCTGTTCCTCTGCGCCCCTTTTCACAACTTCCCATCCAAGCGAGAGCCTTGATGAATTGCAGGTCTCCCTGGCTCCATGTCCCTGTCCTCTTGTCTTCTCTCTGGCCGCCTTGCTGGAGACCCTTGCCGGACTTTAAAAGTGGGCTGGCAGGGCAGATATTTGCCCTGGTCAGGCAATTGTGCTTTCTTAGGCCGCTTTCCTTTCCCTTGAGACAGTAGGACCTCTGTGTCCTGGAGGGGCTGGACTGGGGGCTTCCAGTCTTGCCATTCTTGTGGCTGAGGGTGGACAGCCACTGTCCCCTCCTTTTCGCCCATCTGCCTTCTGTTTGGAAGGGGTTGGGGGTGTACCCATTTGATTTCAGGACCAGTTTTTCTGGTCTGAGTCAAGAAGGTTGGGAAACAGTGCTGGAGTGGGTGGGGGTGGAGCTGGGCGGCTGCTCAGGACCTTACCAGAGGGACAGGGACAGGGCAGGGGCCCTCTTCGCTAACACCTTCCCCACCAACCCATACTGGGCAGACAGGCTGAATGTGCCCACTGTGCTGAGCTGGCAGAGAAACCACCAGCTAGGACGAGGACCTCGAGCCCAGCGGAGGGAGGGAGTGGTAGGGGGTCTGTGGCAGCCTCCTGGGTGCCCGCCCAGCCAGCCCTGAGCTGCTGCTGCTTTTATTCAGACCTGAACCCCTGCCCCCCAGCTCAGTAGGCTCTTCTTGGACCGTGGGAGAGACTGGGCACTGTCTGGCAACCCCTTTAGCCTGCTGGGTTTGGTTTTGTGTCCTCCACAGTCCCTCACAATGGTCCGGTTCGTGGGGCTGGAGTGGGGAATGCCCCCCCCTTGCAGATCCTTCTGTTGGAAGGGGCACTTGCGTGTGGTCCTTGGAGAGACAGTTTTCTGGGGGCCTCGGAGTAAATGTTGGGGCAGTGCTGTTGGTTGGTGGGCTTCCTGGGCAGCCAGTCTGAGCACATAGGTGATAGCTCTCTGCAGTGGTGGGACCACCCAGGGCCCTGCATTGGTAGGCACCTACTCCTGCCTGAGCTGCGCCCCAGCTTGCTCTGTGACAGGGAGGCTGCTTCTGCTCCAGAGGAGTAACCAGTGCTGGGGGTCCCTAGAGAGGCTCTGTTGTGCTCTGAGCAAGCTGGGGTGGGGTGGAGGAGGGTGACTCACTGGGGGTGTGTTGAAGGTCATAGTCGCCACTGCTCTGCTCTGTCCACCCTCATGCGCAGCTGTCTAGCTGGCCTCACTCTGAACGCCTGCACGTCCAGGGGAATTAGGTCAGGGAGGATGGACTTAGCTTTGGGAGTGGGCGAGGTGGGGTCACCCATGCTGTCCCCTGTGGGAGGCTCGGCTACCAGGGCCTGGTGGGGTGTGTGCGTGTCAGGGTGTGGGGAAGGCAATGCCAAAAAGTGGGGCTTCTAGGGCAGTGGCTCTGTGCCCTCATGAGTGCACGGCCTACCATCGGTCCTGCAGGGCAGCGCTTTCACCCTCTCGAGAAGCCCAGACCCCGGGTGGTGCTCCGGGGCTGCCAGAGGTGGGGTCTGCCCTGTTCTTCTTGACCTGCTGACCAGCGCCTGTCCTGCAGGGAGAAGAGGTCCTCCTGCAGCCATGTCTGCCAAGGCCATCTCGGAGCAGACAGGCAAGGAGCTGCTGTACAAGTACATCTGCACCACCTCAGCCATCCAGAACCGTTTCCGGTACGCACGTGTCACGCCTGACACGGACTGGGCCCGCTTGCTGCAGGACCACCCCTGGCTGCTGAGCCAGGTGAGCCCCACCGCCCTCTGACACCAGGGAGAGCCCCAAGTCTGCCAGGTGTCTGTCTTGGGGGTCAGTGGCAGGCTGTAGGGTACGTCTCCTTACCACAGTCTCTGGCTTTCAGCTGCCCATCCATCAGATAGGCTGCCTGTGAGCATGAGGGTAGCAGCCTGTTGGAGACCATGGGGTGACCATAGTGATAGCCAGGCCCTGCCTGGGCTGTGGGCAGTGTGACCTGGGGATCATCTGAAGCATGCAGGGACCCAGGGCAGTGGCTTCCTGGCCCATAATGGAGAGCTGTCAGCCAGGGCTGTTGTCCAGGGGGTTCAGATAGTAGCTGGCCCTGAAGTCCTCCATGGCGCCCAGCTCTGTGCCAACCTTCCCTTCCAGTCACAGCTGGCCTGTGTTTGAGGGGTCATGGTGGGTAAAGCACTGAGCTGTCCATGTGCCCCTGCTGAAATGTAAACCCCTCTCCTTCCAGAGCCTGGTGGTGAAGCCTGACCAGCTCATCAAGCGGCGGGGGAAGCTTGGCCTGGTCGGCATCAACCTCAGCCTCGATGGCGTTAAGTCCTGGCTGAAGCCAAGGCTGGGGCAGGAGGCTGTGGTGAGTGGGCAGGCGCAGTGACAGGAGTCTCTGTCCCTTGGTCACTGTCTCGAGCAGCGTGGCGTGAATGTGTGGAGGTAGCCCTGGACTGGCAGTGGCTTTTCTTCTGCTTGTTGCTGGCTGTGCGGTTCAGGCTGGCCTTGGGTGCCCGGGCTAACTCCCGAGTACTGGGATTAGGGACATGTGCCACCATGCCCAGCCAGCTGGTTTCCTGCCAGGCTTGTGCAACGTGCACGCTGGGTGCTGAGGTTGAGGAGATGCTGAGGGAGACAACAACCTCCCATGAGGGGTGTCCTCAGAGCAGCAGGGACTTTCATGGTGGTGGCACTAGGGATCGAATCCAGGGCCTTGGACCTGTGTGGTGAGTCCTCCACTGCTGAGTTACAGCCGGACTCCTTTTACAGTCCTGGCGTGTTGGTGTGTGTGTGTGTGTGTGTGTGTGTGAGACAGAGTCTCACAGTATAGTTCAGGCAGGCCTTGAGCTCATTTTGCAGCCTAGGCTGGTTTTGAACTTTCAGTGATCCTCCTGCCTCAGTCTCCCATTGCATATTTTGAATTGAGGTCTCTTCCAGTGACCTGGGCTAGCCTCCATCCTGCAGTCCTCATGCCTCAGCCTCCTGAGGGGCTGGGGTTGCAGGCCTGCATCATTGCACCTGGCCTCAAAGCTCCATGTCTGCTGTTCCACCTCCTGGCTCTCCTGGGTAGAGGGATCCTTGGAGTTTCGAGAGTCTGGGAACAAAGGGATCTGCTCTTCAGGTCCCCAGGCTCTGAGAAAGGGTGATTGGCCGTGGTTGTATGGTGTCCCCAGGCGGCTGTCGCTGTCCTTCTCCCCGGCTGGCCCTGTGGAGGGGGTCAGGGACGGACGGCTGGCTGGCTGGCTGGCTGGCTAGAGGGCGGCTGCGGCTCATTACCTCTGACAGATGGCTGTCTGGTCCTGACTCAGCAGTGACGCATGGCGGGTGGGGGGTCGTGTAGGGATGAGGGCTGTCTGGTCTCTGCCGCTGCCAGCGCTGCACTCAGCCTGATTAGCACTGTGGGCTGCCAGCCTCCCAGCCGGACCCTGGACCCACAGCAGGAGTCTCCCTGGCAGGCTCTGTCCCCACCCACGGCCAGGCTTGGCTCCTTAGCTAGGACTGTCCCTGTGCACCCACACCCCACAGACCCCTGCCCAGCTCCAGGATGACTCCTGGCCTGGCTTGGAGGGGACAGTCTCTGGTCCTGGGCCCTGTTTTATCTATTTTTGAGACAAGGTTTGGCTATGTAATCCAGGCTGGCCTTAAATGCATAATGATCCTCCTGCCTCAGCCTCCCAAATGCTGGGATGATAAACATGTGCCACCACACCCAGCTTTTTGGAGGGCATCTTGAGCTTAGGGATCTGTGACCACATTGCCCTGGCTTCTGGAAGCTGCCTGGTGCTTGTGTCCCATCACCTTCCATTTAAGCTCTGTCCCCCTTCTTACTTCCAGGTGGGCAAGGCCAGGGGCTTCCTCAAGAACTTCCTGATTGAGCCTTTCGTGCCGCACAGTCAGGTAGGCCAAGTGATGCCCAGCTGGGCCTCTCCCGCCCCGTCTCCCCTCCCAGTGAGCAGAGGAATGGTCAGGTGACAGGAGAGACCCCATGCTCGAGAGTGGAGAGTCTGCAGGGCAGAGTTAGGGCAGGTGATGGGGGGCTCATGGCCCTCCCAGGTGGAGTCCCCGTACTTCTCCATCCTTGAGGGAGGTGGCGGCGGGGCTGGGGGCAGGTGCTCCCCCACTTAGCGCCCACCTGTTCTGTGCCATCCAGGCTGAGGAGTTCTACGTGTGCATCTATGCTGCTCGTGAGGGAGACTATGTCCTCTTCCACCATGAGGGCGGCGTCGATGTGGGCGACGTGGATGCCAAAGCCCAGAAGTTGCTGGTCGGCGTGGACAAGAAGCTGAGCTCTGAGGATGTCCGAGAACACCTGCTGGTCCACGTGCCCGCGGACAAGAAAGAGTTGAGTGCCCCTGCCAGCCGCCACCTCCGCAGCTCGCCTGGCAGCTCTCTTCCACTTCAGTGGCTGGGAGTGACATCCAGGGGGCAGCTTTTGGGGGGCAGTGGGCATGGCAGTGGGCTGTCATGCAGCTGAGGGACAGCTGTGCCCCTCCCCCCACCCCTGGGTGACAGCGTCTTTCCTTGTCCCCAGGGTCCTGGCCAGTTTCATCTGCGGCCTCTTCAACTTCTACGAGGACCTGTACTTCACCTACCTCGAAATCAACCCCCTGGGTATCAGCTGGCGCCGGCATGGCAGGGAGGGTCCCTGTCACCAGCCCAGGTTGCGCAGTGACCTGGCTGAGGCCTGGGCCTCGAGGCTGTAAAGGCGGCAGCTGGCATGGGAGGATCAGGGCCCTCCCAGGACAGAGTCCTAGCTGAGCGTGGGAAGCACGGACTGGGCCTGGTGGGCAGATGGCTGCTGCTGATTTAATTAGCTAAATGGCTGAGGAGGGAAGCCAGGTAGCAGGAGCCAGCCCTGCTGGTGGGCCCCCCTGCGCCTGAGGTGTCTCCTTGCCTGGCCTGAAGCTCCAGAAGTCCAGGCAGAGTGGCCTGGGGCTTTTGACTTCCACGCGTTCCTTAAACACTTCTAATGCATTTCTTAGTTTTTTGTTTTTATTTTATTATTTATTTACTTTGTGTTTTTGAGACAAGGTCTCGAGGTTGGTCTTGAACTTGGCAAGGATCCTCCTGCCTCAGCCTCCCGAGTACTGGGACTGGTCTCTTGAATACTTGGATTACGGGCATGGGCCATCATGCCCTGCTTCTATTTATTTTTATTTTATTGTATTTTGAAATGAGGTCTTGCTATAGGGTACAGGCTGTGCGTGAACTCGCCATGCAGCCCATTCTGTTCTCAAATTTATGGTGATCCTCCTGCTCCAGCCTCCCAAGTGCTGGGACTACATGCATGCACTGGCACACCCAGTTTGTATTTTTTTGTTTTTTGGTACCAGGGATCAAACTCACAACCTTGAGCTCGCCAGCCAGGTGCTTATGCCACTGAGCTCCATCCCCAGCCCCTGGTTTATATTTTGTTAACTGATTTTTGGCGCTGGAGTTAAACCTGGGCCTTGGGCATGCTGGTGAGCACTCTGATTGAGCTGCACCTCTGGCAGACTCTAAGTAGCAGGGCTGTGGGTGGGCAGATGGTTGAATATTTCAGGCAGAAGAGCACAGTGTTTTATTTTATTTTGTTTCATTATTTCATTTTGAGACAGAATCTCACTGTATGGCCCAGGCTGGCCATTAACTCATGGCCATTCTCCTGCCTTAGCCTCCTGAGTGCTGGAATGACAGGTGTGCACCACCACGCCTGCCTCTGGATTTTGTCAGAGGTCTGAAGTTGCAATGATGACTGACATCTCCCTGTCTTGTTAGGAAAAGGAATTGTTTTAGATATTTTGTTTTCTTTTGGGAATTGAACCCAGGGCTATTGTGATACACTGTAACCTTTTTAAAATTTGAGGCAGGGCCTGACTGAGTTACCCAGGCTGGGCTAGAACTGGCAGTCTTCTTGCCTCAGCCTTGCAGAGTGCTGGGATCACAGGTGTGTGCCTCCACAGCCGGCAACAAACTTGCCTTTATTTGCTGTGCTGTCTTGAAGGCCACCCTGGGTTCCGGTTGTGCTCAGAAGCCTGTGGGGCCTGTGGGGGTGTGTAGGGAGTCTGGCAAGGTTGGGGGCTCACTAGTCGCCTCCAGCAGTGGCCAAGTGGATCCCTCCTGCTTGTCCTCCAGTTGTGACCAAAGATGGCGTCTACGTCCTTGACCTGGCAGCCAAGGTGGATGCCACCGCCGACTACATCTGCAAAGTGAAGTGGGGGGACATCGAGTTCCCACCCCCATTCGGGCGAGAGGCCTATCCCGAGGTTAGGCGGGTCACAGATGGGCGAGTGGGGTGTGGGATGGTTGGTGGCACCCCACGGGGACAGGGACAGGGACTAGGTGACTCATTCCAGACAGCCTCTGCCCCCCAGGCTGTGTGTTTGGCTGGCAGCAGCCTGGAGAAGCATTTAATTTGCTTTAAATCCCAGCGGGCGGGGGTGGGGCGGGCAGTTGGCCACCAGGAAGCCTTTAGCTGGGCAATCAGCCTCCTGCCAGCTGCCAAGAGCTCCGCAGCCTCCTGCTGCTCCACCAGATCTGTCTGATTGGCTCCTGGACCCTAGTGCTTTCATGTGGCCCCAGCAGGCCAGCCGCCCCTCCCTTCGGGCCTTTGTTCTCCAGTAGTGGCACGGGGCTGCCTGTGTCATTGCCCCTGTAGTGATGGTCTGGGGACCCGAGGACATCATGCTTTGTCCCCAAGGCCACCTGTCATGTCTGCTCCCCAGGAGGCCTACATCGCCGACCTGGACGCCAAGAGTGGAGCCAGCCTGAAGCTGACTTTGCTGAACCCCAAGGGCAGGATCTGGACCATGGTGGCTGGGGGCGGTGCCTCCGTGGTGTACAGGTGACTGCAGGGAACTACTGTGGGCTGGGCCTCCAGACCGGGATCTGCACGGGGACAGGTGCACAAAGCCGTTGTCCAGCCTCGGCTTGGCTCAGGGTCACGTGACTTGTGAATTCTAGTCATTGTTTCTGCACCATGAGGGCTAGAAAGGATCCAGGACCTTAGCACTGAGCTGTGTCCCTCACTCTTTAAAACAAGTTTTTACTTTGAGACCAGGTCTCACTGAGTCGCTACGTTCCCCTGGCTGGTCTTGGCATTGTGGTTCTCCTGCCTCGGCCTCCTGAGTGCTGGGATCTCAGGAGGGAACCACCAAGCCCTGAAGTTTTGTTTTTGCTTTGTGTTTTGAGCCTCAGCTGGACTCAGATTCACGATTCTCCTGCCCGGGCCTGCTGGGGCCAGGGCCCTTTCAGGGATCTGTACCCCAGGTGGAAGCATAACAAACAGCCAGTAAACCAGAAAGAGAGGGCCACCTAGTGTCTCCCCTGCCCCTTGACCAGGTGCCCAGTGTCTGCACTATTCTGTCTTCCAGGCTGGCAGTGCCTGTGTAATGTTAGCTGTTTAGTTTTATGTTTTCAGGACAAGCTCTTCCTGTTCCTAGCCAGGTTGGCCTGGAACATGCAGTGGTCCTCCTGCCTCAGCCTCCTGAGCACTGGGAGGTAGTAGTTTATAGTCACATTCTGTGCTGTGGTGCTTGGCAGCTCTTTGTCTAGAAGTACAGTAACTGCTGCCCACACTGAATGCGGATGCGGCTCTGCCTTCCCTGAGCAGCTGTGGTTGTGTGTGGTCAGGTGCCTCCCACGCCCTCCAGGCCGGGAGAGCCCTGAGGGCGTGTGATATCTCCACAGTGATACCATCTGTGACCTGGGGGGTGTCAATGAGCTGGCCAACTATGGGGAGTACTCGGGTGCCCCCAGTGAGCAGCAGACTTACGACTACGCCAAGACCATCCTGTCACTCATGACGCGGGAGAAGCACCCGGAAGGTGAGGTGTGGGCGCAATGGGCGCATGGGCACATGTACCCGGGCACAGCAGCAGGGACAGCTGGGGGCCAGAAGTCCCCGAGGCAGCGGTCCCGGGCTGCTCGATGACCTTGGGGCTCAGTTTCCCTGACTACACACCGGGTGTCGCGGGTGTGGATGGAGACGAGCCATGGGCAGGGCTGGGAGGGCCCTGGGGACACTGCTGCTCCCTCCTGACGGCTCCTTCCACGCTCCACTCGCAGGGAAGATCCTCATCATCGGCGGCAGCATCGCCAACTTCACCAATGTGGCCGCCACCTTCAAGGCAAGTGGCACCCTGGGCATGCAGGGAGTGAGGCCCGGCCCATGTCTTCCTGTCTGTCCCTCTGTTGCTGTTGGAGACCAAGCCACCCCATGTCCTGGCCGGGCCACTGAGGTCTGAAGCTCTAGGACTACCGTCGCTGTCCTCTCAGGGAACCCGAGATCCAACCCCTGTGCCACATGGTGTCCAGCCCCGCATGCTCTGTGCGTCTGGCTTTCACCCCATGGGGGACTCAGGGCAGCGGGGCCAGTGACCTGGGTCTCCTACTCATCTCGCCAGGGTCCTGTCCGCCCCTATAAGAAAGATGAGAGCCAGGTAAGGCGGGGACTCCATCACTCCAGCCTATAAGGCTGAGGCAGGAGGACTGCAAGTTCTAGCCCAGCCTAGGCAGCTTAGCAACTAAAAAGGGCTGGGGATGCGGCCCACTGTGCAGGCCGATGGCTTTCAGCTTGAAACCTAACACCTGATGCCCGGCGTTCCCAAGTATCCCCCTTGAGCTGGCCACTGCTGTCACACGGGGACCCCTTCATGCCAGTGTTTTGGCTCCACGTGTGTCTGGAAAGTACCGGAGCAACTGGACTCAGCCGTGGAGGATCCAGGCCTCCCCTTGCCCTGGGGCAGCTGTGGGTCCGAGTCACTGTACTCCCATGGCTCTGGTTTCATTTTAATCCGATCTGGGCACTGAACTCAGGACCTCACCCGTGCGGGGCAAATGCTCTACCCCTGAGCGGCACCCTAGCCTGCTTTCGTCTGTTCGTTTGTTTGTTTATTGTTGCTTTATTTTGAGGAGACCCCAGCCTGTTCACTTTGAAACAGTCTTGCTTAGGGCCCCAGGGTGACCTTGAGCCTTCGCTCCTCCTGCCTCAGTGTCCTGGGTCCTTAAGTTCCTTCAGGAACTTGTGTCACTGCAGAGAACTGCACTCGTGAGGACCCTCGAGTTGTTCCCTTGAATCCCAGCACTAGGAACTGGACAGGAGCAAGACCAGGCCCTGCTGATGACAGTGCCCCATGTGGCCAGTCACCCCGCCCTCCCTGCCATGTCCCTGGCGTCCCCCACCTGCTGTTGCCTCAAGTTATAAATGAGTGGCCCACGGCTGCCTGGCTTAGTCTCATGCCTCTCGTGTCTCTTTGAACCTGCAGGGCATTGTGAGGGCGATTCGAGATTACCAGGGTCCCCTGAAGGAGCACGAGGTCACCATCTTCGTCCGGAGAGGTGGCCCCAACTACCAGGAGGGCTTGCGGGTGATGGGTGAAGTCGGTAAGACGGGGCCGGCCTTGCCCCCAGGCCTTAGTCTACAGCTCTGGCCCCGCCACCCTCTCCTGTTTCTGTCTGTTTCATTTTGCTTTGTTTTATTTTGGCAAGGCTGGGGAGTTGGGGATTGAGCCGCAGGGTCTATCCTGAGCTACATCCCAAGATTTTTTTCTCTTTTTGTATTTTGAGCCAGGGTCTTGCTGCCTTGCCCAGGCTGGGCTCAAAGTAGCGATCCTCCTGCTTCAGCCTCCCAGAGTGCTGGGATGGCGGGCAAAGCCACTGTCACTGTCTTGCTGCATACAGGGTTGCCTTCTACCTGTTGTTTTCTGCCACTGCCGGACAGAGGGCCCATCACAGCCTGAGGAGGGGTTGGGAAGGTTGCTGAGGAAACACAGCCGGGCATGGGAGGCACCTGTCATCCTTCCTCCCTGGGAGGCTGAGGCAGGAGGAGCGCAGGTTCAGGGCCAGACTGGGCTATGTAGGGATACAGTGGGACCTTACCTCAAAGTAAAAAATGGAAAATGACCTGGGGATGAACCTCACTGTGAAACCTGGGTTCGACTCCTAGGCAAGCAGCAGGTCCCGGGCTGCTTGGGGCCGGGGGCTCCCAGGGCAGTGTTTGAATCAGTTTTTCTTTGTGGTCCTGGGGACTGAACCCAAGCCCCATGTGCACCTGAAGCCGTCAGCGCTGAGCCCCACGGCAGCCCCGGGCGCCTGGCTGTTGCTGTCTGGGCCCACAGCAGGCTACACAGAGCTAGGATGATGCTCGGGATGTCGGGAGGCTGCTGCTCCAGCGAAGCCAGAGCTGGGATAGAGATGGGGCCAGTGCTGACGTTGGAGGACAGGCCTGTAGAAACAGGCAGCAGCGAGACCCGTTGGCAGTGGCTCAGGTCATGGGAGAGGCTGGGCCAGGGAGTGGCGTCTGTGACTTGCTGGGATCCTCCTGCCTCAACTTCCCAATTGTTGGGATGACAGACATGTGCCATTACACCTGCTAGTGGCTGCTGTTGTCAAGTGTGGCCCCATGGCTGAGGTGTTCTCTGTGGACTGGGCCAGCCTGTGCGGCCGGCACCCGGAACCTTCCCAGTGGGGTGATAAACTGTGCCACCTCTGTCTGTTGTCTGCCAGACTCGAGAGCCTCAAATCCTCGGAGCAGTGTAGTGTGATGCTTTTCACTTGGGCCTGGGCCTGTGTGGCACTTTCAGGGCTGGAGCTTTAATCCTGGGAGAGGGTGGATAATATTAGGCATGGTGACTCAGGCCTCTGATCCCCGTTACTCAGGAGGCTGAGGCAGGACAATTCCAAGTTCAAATACAGACTGGGCCATTTAACTGACTTTGTGAGGTCTTGCATCACTACAGCAAAGGTGTTAGGGCTGGATTAAGTTAACAGTGGGTCTGCTGGGCCTCCTGGCCTCTGTTAATGGAACAAAGCAGAGTCCATGAATAGAACCAAAGGAAAAACTGTTTCCAAACAGGCAGGCACAGAGCTGTCACCATGAGCCTCTGTCCCCTCGCTGTCCCCTCATCCCATTGCTGGGCTTCCTCAACCACCTGGCTCCATCAGCACCGAGCCCAGGCCAGGCCCCAGTGTACTGCCCTTGGGGCCCTGGGGCAGGTATCGGTACAGATCTGACACCCAGCTGTACCAGGCCCCCGAATCAAGCGGGCGTCCTGGACATCGCTGCTTCTCCCCCAGGGAAGACCACTGGCATCCCCATCCACGTCTTCGGCACCGAGACCCACATGACGGCCATCGTGGGCATGGCACTCGGCCACCGGCCCATCCCCAACCAGCCCCCCATGGCAGCCCACACCGCCAACTTCCTGCTCAATGCCAGCGGGAGCACCTCGGTAGGCGCCACGGGGGCCTGCCGGGTTCTCTGGGGCGCAGTCAGGTGTGAAGTAACGGGATCCGCTTGGCCCCCTGTGGGAGCTGGGTCCTTGGGGACCTGACACCCAGACCCTCCCTACTAACCCTGACTCTCGCCTCCCTCCTCCCCCTCCCAGACCCCGGCCCCCAGCAGGACTGCGTCTTTCTCTGAGTCCAGGGCTGACGAGGTGGCACCTGCCAAGAAGGCCAAGCCAGCTGTGCTGCAAGGTGAGTGGCAGAGCTCACTTGGGCCCTCTCAGTGTGGGCCCCTCGTCCCCTTCCCTCCTCCTCTCCTGTCCTTCGTCCTCCCTTCCCATCCTTCCTCCCCTCCCCTTCTCCCAGGGGAGCAACTCAAGCTTTCCTGTTGTAGCAGGCTTGGGGCCTGGGGTGCAGGGTGGGAGGCGAGTGTGAGGACAGTGTGGCTGAAGCCGTCCCGTGCTGGGCTACCCCCTCTGCTCCTGGTCTGGTCTTTAGGTCCTGTATGGGGGGCAGGGCTCCAGGGATCTCAGAAAGTGAGAGGCTCAGGGCAGCAGGGCCACCCAAGCTTTGCGGTCCCCTCCTGAGAGCCCCAATAGGGAGACCCCATCTCTACCTGGTGGCTGCCCTTTGATGACACAGAGGCTTTACTGGGCATTGTGAGGGACAGGACACCTCTGCCCCATGGTCTCTGGGCTCTGCGTGATGTCCCTGCCGTGTCTCCTGGGGACCAGGAGGGGTTGTCCTGCCAGTCTCTGTGCCCCTGCTCTCGGCTGTTCCTGCCCTGAGTGCTGCCCGGGCGGCACCTTCCCCTCCATGCAGGGCCTGCCCTGTGCTGTCTCTGAGGGCCACAGCCTGTCCGCGCTGCTCTCCCCTCCACCCACTTCCACCAGAGCCTCCGGGTCTCCCTGGGTCACTCAGTGGCCTTGGTCATTTTCTTTGACAGATTCAGACCCAAGTCCAAGACCCCTGCAAGGTAGGACCCCCGCTCGCCCCAGGGGCTCCATGGTGGGTTCCAGGCTCAAGGCTGTGTCCCTGTCTGTCCCCTCACCCCGTGTCCCCAGCCTGCAGTAACAGTGTCGTCTGCTGTGTTTTCTGTCCTTGTCCTGTGACCAGCCCCAAGACCTAGTCTTGCTCTGGCCCCTCCCACTGTGGCCCCATCAGCGTCCTAGGAAGAAGCAGCAGTGGCCACTCTGACCACTGCTCTTCCCAGATCTCGTCATCACCATCACTGCTGGCCCAGCCAGGGTTCCCAAGGCCAGGGCACGCATCGTCCCCCTGGGCACAGGGCAGCATGGGTGATAGGGGTAGGGACCAGGGGCGGTAGGACTCTGCACATGTGTGCAACCCACTCATACTCAGCTTAGGTAACCCTTAGCACCCACATGTCAAGCTCCGGACATCAGGGCCTCTCAGGCCCTGGACGGCAGTAGCTGTGGGGATAGGTGATGGGGCATGGGCAGCTGCAAAGCTGTGAGCCCTGTGTTTCCGCTGGAGTGTCCTCAGGGAGCTCTCGTGCCTGTGGGTCCCTGAGCCCTGGGAGGGGCAGAGGGGCAAAGAGATCATCTGGGTGGCCATGTCCTGCTATGGCTGGAGGAGCGTCCTGGGGTGACGAGGCCACTTGGGATCCTCTGGTGCTGCCCCTCGGCTCTGCTCCCCCATGCAGTGGGGCCTGGGGCTTGGGCTCTATCCTGGTCTCTGCAGTGGGGCCTGGGGTTTGGGCTCTATCCTGGTCTCTGAAGACGTGCGTGCACAGGTGTATGCACACGTGTGTAGGTGTGGACACTCCGGGGAACGCCAGGACCTCCTGGCTTAGTCTCCTCCACTGTCACTTGGTGACCAGTGGCACTTGGTGACCACTGTCATGGGCCTCTCTGAGCTTAGGTTTCCTAGGACACCAAGTGGGTTAGGTGGCATCCTTCGTGCTGAGCACCCTCGTCTCATGCCACGTATGGGTGCAGCTGACAGGTGGTCCCAGGTGTCAGCACCCATTGAGGGATAGAGCCAGACCACACTGGGCCTGGTGCGCCCAGGTACCGTGCAGGCATCCCTTGGGCCCTGCGTAGGCTGATGGCAGGGCCCCTTCCCGCCCTCCCTGCTCTCTCTGCCCCTCCTTGCTCTCTCTGCCCCTCCCTCTGTCCCCCTGTGGCAGAGGGAGGAGGATGCCCTGGACCTGCATTGTAGCCCCAGGGCCGTACTGACCCGGAACCTCAAACCTGACACACCTGGCCCCTTAGCCTCTGTCTCCCCAGGTGGACAGAGTGATCAGCAGAGCCAAGCACTGTCCTGTGGCCCCTGGAATCGGGGGTGTGGAGGTTTTTATTCAGTTACTTTAAAAAAAATCTCCCTGAGCCAGGCTCGTCCGTGTATGCCTGTCATTCCAGCTGGGGCACAAAATCGCCAGGTTGAGGCCACCCTGGGCTATTCAGCGAGATTGCACATAAAAACTGGGAAGGGCTGGGTGGTGGTGGAGCCCTTGTCTAGCATGCTCGAGGTCTTGGAGTCTGTCCTCTGCACCCCTAGGAAACAGTAGGAAAGCACAGACTTGACCCGTTTCCCCCGGTACAGAGTGAGGTACGGGCTCTTTTGAGTGGGGTCCTTCCTGGTCGTGTGGTACTCTGGGCCTGCCGGGCAGGCCTTCTTTTTCCTGTCGTCTGCTGCCTCTTTCCAGAAAAGCCAAGGCCCCCCCACGCCCCTGGGTCTCTGAATCCCTCTCTAACGCCCCTTTCCATCCTGAAGGGCTGCCATCCCAGAGGCGGGGCCTGGAAGGATCTGGGCACCCCAGCCCCTGGGCCTCTGCCCCCCTCCCCATCCCCAGTGTGGCCCCAGGTGCACCCGCTGTGTCTCTGCCCACCAGGGAAGAGCGCCACCCTGTTCAGCCGCCACACCAAGGCCATCGTGTGGGGCATGCAGACGCGGGCCGTGCAGGGCATGCTGGACTTTGACTACGTGTGCTCCCGGGATGAGCCCTCCGTGGCCGCCATGGTGTACCCCTTCACGTGAGTCCCCACATCCCATCCCTGCTGGCATGGCACCTTCCTCCCCAGACCAGGCAGGCAGGGCCCTGACCCCACCCCTGCCCCGCCCAGGGGGGACCACAAGCAGAAGTTCTACTGGGGCCACAAGGAGATCCTGATCCCCGTGTTCAAGAACATGGGCGACGCCATGAAGAAGCACCCCGAGGTGGATGTGCTCATCAACTTCGCCTCCCTGCGCTCAGCTTATGACAGCACCATGGAGACCATGAACCACGCGCAGGTGAGATGCAGGGCAGACACGGAGCCTTTGCGCGAAGTTACCATATGGTCCTTTTAAAGGACCTTGTGTTTTGAGACAAGGTCGTGCTGAATGGCTCTGTTGCCCAGGCTGGTCTCACAATTTTAGTTTTCCTGCCTCAGCCTCCCAGAGTGCTGGGGTTACAGGTCCACCTCCCCACACCTGGGCACTGTTGCCTTTCCCAGTTGTGGCACAAAGTCTGGGGTGAGAGTCGGCTCATTGCCTTCACGATCTCCCCAGCAGGAATGCTGCAGGCTGCTGTACCACCTCCCATGGTGGGGAGTGGTGTGGACCCCCCCTTGGAGGTTCGGGTGTGCCTGCCTTTTCCCCAGTGCTCAATGTCGGCCAGTTTGATAAGTTTTCTGTTAGTCTTTGTCCCCTGCTCCCCATGTTGGGACAGGCAGGCCCTCGACAGTGAGCTGCACCTCCTACCTCCTGCGGTACTATCTTCTGTTTTGTTGAGACAGTATCTTGCTGTGTGATCCAGGCTGGCCTCGAACCTGAGGCGATCCACCTGCCTTAGCCTCCCGAGTGCTGGAATTATAGCACAGGTGTGCACTTCCACCCAGCCTTGGTTTTTAACAAAGACTAAGATGCACCTTTAGAAACACTTCTTCTTTTTCTTTTTTTGGTACCAGGAATTGAATTCATGACAGTGTTTGCCAGGCAGGCACCGTGCTGCTATATCCCTGGCCCAGAAATGTTCCTGTCCAGCTCTGTTCTGTGGCTTCTCTGCTGCTTTTTTCTTTTTCTGGTTGGGACTGATCTCCCTGTATTTCCACGTTGCATGGTCTGAACTGCTGAGCTCAAGTGACCCTCCTCACTCAGCCTCCTGAGTGCTGGGTGTAGAGGTCTGAGCCCTATGCCCCACCCCGCCTGTTGGTTACTGCAGTGTTCTCTGGTTTGTTACTGACACGTGCATGGATCAGGCTGTTGATTCTTTCATCATCTGAGCCAAGGTGGGCCCCTGTGCTTCCTGGCCAGGGGCATGGAAATGTGGTAACACCTGGTCGGCCTGAGACAGGAGCAAGCACATTGCTCAGGCCTCTGTGGACTGTGCCCTGGCCACGCCTCCACACAGGCGCCTGGCTCATTCTGCTGCCCCTGCCTTGGCCCCTGCTCCCCACCTCCACCCCACGCCTTCCCTGTGTCTTCTGGGTACATGGGCGTTTTGGGGACAGTGTGATAGGTCACAAGTCCTCCTGAGCCTGGCTGGTCCTATCCAGCGAGCTGGTGTTCTGTGGCCTACACACACACACAACACTGCTGCTGCACACACAGCACACTCACCCCCCACTGTGCAGGCACACCACACCCATACCCACTGTGCATGTAGATGTGCCACAGTTCCTTGGTGCTCTCATCTGCCTGTGACCGCCCCATGCTGTGTCTGGGCCGGTGTGAGCAGTGCCTTGGTGAACATGGATGTGCCTGGTCACTGCACACTGAGCTGACTGCTTTGGTGCCAGGGAGCAGCTGGGTGGATCAGATGTAGTTCTGTCTGGAGGTGACAGGTTTTTTCTCCTGTGCAGGCTTCCTTTGACGCTGGATAGCGCCCCCTTGTGTTGTTTTTAGGTGTTGACCATTTATTTATTTATTTGGCACAGGGAATCAAACAGAGCTTGTGCTCAGCATGCGCACTCACACCACTTAGCTATATCTGTGGCCCTGCTCTGTGTTCTTTTCGGAAAGCTGCTGTTTGCACACGTGCAATCAGTTGTCATTATGTCATTCTGCCCGCCCCTTTAGCTCTGCCCCTGTCAAGTTCCAGATAAAAGCCCACGGTTTCTCCCTACGCTTTGGAAGGCTGCCCCAGCAGCATGCCCAGGCCCTCAAGGGCCCGTTTTCCTTCCTCCTGGTTTCTCACATCACGGGAAACCAAACAGTAGGGTTTTGGGGCTTTTTTTTTTTTTTTTTTTTTTTTTTTTGCTTTTGCCTTTTTTTTCTTTTTAATTTGATTCACATGTGTTGTTTTGTTTTTGAGGCAAAGTTTCCCAATGTAGCCCAGGCTGGCCTTGAATTCAGGAACCCTCCTGCCTCAGCCTCCTGAGGGCACCCCCTCCCTTACAGGGATGACAATCCCGGGCCACCTTCCCTGGCCAGTTTTAGTTTGTCGGAGGCTTTGTACCAATGTCCATTCAGCTTGTTAACGGCTTAAACCTGCTGCCCTGTCCCTGCCGGTAGGTTCTGTGATCGTGGTGGAGCCCTCAGCTAGGGACACCTGGGGTCCCAGTGCAGTTGGGATCTGTGTTGGCCTGAGGGCTCGGGGCCAGTGTCTGCTCATAGACTCAGCGACCTTCATGGTTTGTTCACCCACTGTTTGATTCATCGGGCTAAGCATTTGGTGCTCCGGGTCCGAGTTCTGTGTCATCCCTGTGCTGCTTTCACTATTTCCCTTGCTGTGTGGACACCGAACCAGAAGTGCACCAGGTGCTGATGCAGGCTTGGCCTCTGAGTCTCAGCTCCCGCACCCAGCTTCCGCACCTCTGGAGCTGATGTTTATGAGGGGCGAGGCACAGACCTGGGATACTCCACCGGGGGGCGCCTCTCCCAGCACAGTGGTTGGGCGCCGTCTGTCCCCCACATGAAGCGCCAGCTGCTTTGTCCAGCACCCGGGGCTTCGGTGTGGGTCTGGTTCTGTGTCCTGTCTGTTCTTCAGTCTGAATCTATTTCAGTGCCGGTCCGGGGCTGTTTTGCCACTGTGAGTAACAGGAAGAACTAAACTTTTTCTGTCTAGAACGCAGACTTCGGCAAAGTGACCCATGGCTCACTGCTTATTTTGCAGATGAATTATTTGAGGTGTGACACTTGGTGCTGAACAGGGCAGGCGGATGTGGTACCTACTAAGCAAACATATGCTGCTGAGCTACGTTATTTTATTTTACCTTATTTGTTCCATGGAAAGTTCTCTCTAATTTGTCTGAAATTTGTGATCCTCCTGCCTCAGCCTCCTGAAGAGCTGGGGTTACTGGTCTGCACCACGACACCTGGGTATAAATACAGTGTTCTGTTAAAACACAGCCATCCCTTACTGGGTGAGGCTGCTTTCACCCAGACACCCTGCTGCAGGCTCCCTGCAAGGCCATGCTGCAGTCCAGAGCTGTGGAAGGGCTGTGCTGGTCTTCCTGGCCAAGGGCAGAGAGTGCAGGGCTGAGGTCCTGCTGCATTGGCCACCCATGGGGAGCTGGTGGGGTCACCACCTGCAGCCTGATAAGCAGCCAGCATGGGACAGGTTAGGTTGGGCAGGGAGAGCTGCAGGGTGGGCAAGGACATGGCCAGGGGCAACAGGAACCTCTGCACCTGTGTCCTCAAGCCTGGGACCAAGAGCTGGGGGCGTGGGTCTCAGGGGCCTCCCCTTGCCCGGCCGAGCCAGCAGCTGACAGGGCTGTGGTCCTAGATCCGCACCATTGCCATCATCGCAGAGGGCATCCCCGAGGCACTCACTCGGAAGCTGATCCAGACGGCGGAGCGCAAGGGCGTGACCATCATCGGGCCCGCCACCGTGAGTGTCCCCACCACTGTGTCAGGCCCATCCCCCATCCCTCTCCTGGGCTGGATCTGGCCCCTGCAGGGCTCTGAGGGGCAAATGGGAAGCGGTATTGGGGTTCTCAGTGTGGCTCTACCTTCGCGTAGCTTTGCCTTCAGTTTTTTGTTCAACTATAAACCAAGGAAGTAGCCACAGGGGCCCTTTTCGACCCTGAGCCCCTTGCATAAGAAGAAACTGCTCCCTGAATGTGTGCTGTTTGTTTTCGAGGCAGGGTCTTCCTGTGCAATCCAGGGTGGTCTCAAACTCAGGCTGACCTTCCTGCCTCAGTCTCCTGAGTACTGATATTACAGGCTGGTAGTGCCACTCCCGGCATATTTCCTGGGTTGTTAGAAACTCCAGGTTAGGTTAGGGCAGTATTGTGTGATTTAAACTCTACTGAGTTGTTAAGTTTTAAATAGAACGTAAATGTTCCGAGGTAGATGTTGGGGTTTTTTTGGTTTGTTTGTTTGTTTTGTCTTTTTGGGCAGGGTCTTGCTGTGCGGTTCAGGCTGCCCTTGAGTTCACTTTGTAGCCTAGGCTGGTCTGGAACTCGTAATGATCCTCCTGCCTCAGTCTCCTGGGGTGTCCTGGTACCGAAGCACGTGGTCCATGGGTGTAGGGGTTACAGGCGTGAGCCACCATGCTCAGCCTAACCTAGTACTCTTGAACAAACAAGCAAGGGCCCCTGGAGCCCCCATCCTGGGAGCAGTGACTCCTGGGAGTGAGGGAGGCGCCTGAGCTGACCTTGTGGACCAGAGGCTGCAGTAAGGACCCCCTTCAGGTCCCTCAGTAAATGGATTGCAAGCCTGCTAGTGGGGCCCCAGAGGCCTGGGCAGGAAGTGGAGACCCCTGTGACCCGGCGTTGCCCGCAGGTGGGGGGCATCAAGCCAGGCTGCTTCAAGATCGGGAACACGGGCGGGATGCTGGACAACATTCTGGCCTCCAAGCTATACCGACCAGGCAGCGTGGCCTACGTGTCCCGCTCAGGCGGCATGTCCAATGAGCTCAACAACATCATCTCGAGGACCACGGATGGTGTCTACGAGGGCGTGGCTATCGGCGGGGACAGGTGAGGCCCCAGGCTCCCTCACTCCCCTGCTGGCTTGGGGTGCAGCTCAGCCACAGCACAGGAAGGACCTGTCTATCTGCCTGCCTGCTTGCCTGTCTGACAGTTCCTGGAGGACACAGCTTCTGGCCGAGGTATGGTGGAGGAGGAGGCAAGTGAGATGGATGGCTCCAGAGTTAAACCCTGGGGAGCATGGGCCAGCAGGTCCTCCTGTGTGGTCCTCAGCCTCTGCCCACCTCTGTGCCCTCCGTGTCCACGCAGTGGTGACAGCGCCCATGGTGGGGGTCTAGAGGCCTGAGCGGGGTCTCACTCACTTAGCTAGTAGGGTCACTGTTTTGTTTCTTGGGTCTTTTTTGAGATAGGATCTCCACTGTATAGCCCAGGGTGGCCTTCAATTTATGGTGATTCTCTTGCCTCAGTCTCCTGAATGCTGGGGTGACAGGCTTGTGCCAGCATGCTCTGCTTGAATGTTATTTTCTTTAGCGGGAGCAGGGGCCACAAAGCGCTGTGCAGCCTTTGGCGTGTCCAGAGTGAACACAGCTGCCCAGTGGGAAGACCAGGGCCCGAGGCCCTCCCAACACCACCCCTGCAGCAGCCCTGGTGCAGCCCACCCTGGCATTGGGTCGGATTGGGACTGGGCATGGGGCTGGCTTTGCTGCTGCATCCCTGTTGGTCCCCATGGCTGTGGGAGGAAAGTCACCTGCTCCCAGTGGCTTCCAGTAAATATTTACCCACAGGTCCGGTTGGGGAGAGGGGCAGTGAGGGGCTGTAGGGTACAGCTAGCAGAGGGAAGGCTGGCATTGCTTCAGGGCCCCTGGGTGCCTGACCAGGCCTTCCCCTTTGGCTACTTGAGCGTCCCTAGACCACATTCAAGAGGAAAGGGTTCGGGTTCCACCTTTCTGCTGACTATGGTGGCACACACACCTGTAATCCCAGTACTTGGGAAGCTGAGACAGGAGGATCACTGTGAGTTCAAGGCCAGTCTGAGCTACAGAATGAGACCTTGTCTGGAGACCATGAAGATTCTACCTTCCTGAGCAACCTGTGGAATTATCTGGAAACTGCACACGGGTACTTCTGGGGATGCCCCCTGCCCTAAGCCCTGTGCCCCGCTGCCCACAGATACCCGGGTTCTACCTTCATGGACCACGTGCTTCGGTACCAGGACACCCCAGGAGTCAAAATGATCGTGGTGCTGGGTGAGGTGAGGCCTCCAGGAAGCCACACTGGGTAGGGACTGGGTTGCATGTGCCAGGTGCATGCACTGAGTATCCCACAGTGTTCCAAGGCCGTTAAAGAAAATCCTGGCTTTGCTTCCTGGTGACACTGTCCCTGAGCCCACAGCTGAGCCTCAGCCCGAGACGGTCACTGTTTCACCACATCCCTGGCCCTGGCTTGGGTCTCCCTACCCAGGGCCATGCCCCATACCTCCCTGGCTACGACGGCTGAAGGCAAAGCAGCCCTTGTCACAGTTTGCCAATGTCCCCCAGCCCCCTTCCTGACTTGCTCCTGAGTGCGTCTGTCCTTGGTCACCCACTGTGGGTCAGGACTGGGCGTCCCCAGCTGCCACAGGCCCCAGGGTGACTCAGAGCCTCTGCATCGAACCCCAGGCCACCTCACCGTGGCTCTGCTGACCAGGCTTCTGGCCATGCCCTTCCCCTGCAGATCGGGGGCACTGAGGAGTACAAGATCTGCAGTGCCATCCAGGAGGGCCGCCTCACCAAGCCCGTGGTCTGCTGGTGCATTGGGACCTGTGCCACCATGTTCTCTTCCGAGGTATGGGCAGGCGAGCGCTGGGGTGTCTCCTGCCACAATTCACTCCATCCTGGGGTGAGGCAATCTGCTCGGTGCTCACGGGGCCTGCGGAGCATGTGAAGCCTGCACAGGGAGACCCTGTCTCATAAACAGCCTAAGGAGTGGTCTCGGACATGGAGTTCTCTTCGCATCCAAGCGGCTACAGGGCCTGGTAGAAGCACTGGGCACCTGGGATCAGAGGTTCTGGTCCTAGTTTCTGCCAGAAGGTGCACAGGTGGTGCCTGGCCTCCGATCACACAGTTCTCCAATGGCCCTGGGCAAGAGGATCATTATTCTGGGGTTATCCATCAGGCTCTCATTTTGGCTGCTGTGATCATAGATGCCGAGCAACCTCCTGAGCATTTCTGTGCTTCGGTTTCCCCGTGGGAAGAGGGCAACTGATGCTGGATGTATAGTTCACATGACACGCCTGAGCTGGCCATCCCTGCCCGGTGTTGCTGTTGTCTAGGGCTCATGTGGCAGCCTGTAAGCCAAGGTACTTGTCTTCAGGTCCAGTTTGGCCATGCGGGAGCCTGTGCCAACCAAGCATCTGAAACTGCGGTGGCCAAGAACCAGGCCTTGAAGGAGGCGGGTGTGTTTGTGCCACGAAGCTTCGACGAGCTGGGCGAGATCATCCAGTGAGTGGCCCCTGTGTCTCCTCTGTCCACTGTGGAGCAGTGGGGATCCCCCTCCCTGCTGCCCTGCCTGCTCCCCAGATGCAGCTTTCACCATGGCAAGCTGTCTCCTGTCCCCTAGGTCCGTGTATGAAGATCTCGTGACCAGAGGCGTCATCGTGCCTGCCCAGGAGGTGCCACCCCCCACTGTGCCCATGGACTACTCCTGGGCCAGGGTAGGTTCCGGGGCTTCTGGGGCCCGGGCTGGGGGTTGGGGTTGATCTGGTCCAGTTCCCAGCAGCCAAGCCCGCAGCACGCGGCTGCCTCTCCTGCAGTTCAAGTCATTGGTGACACTGTGCTGACGCAGAGCCAGGCAGTGACTCTCAGTGTGTCGCGGGGCTTCCACTCCTCTTGGCCCAATCGCAGCCCTGGAAGTGAGCTTACCCTGTGGGTGGTAATGCACATCCATCACCCCAGCACTTGGGAGGCTGAGGCCTTTGGAGGGTCAGAGTTTGAGGGCAGCCAGGGCCACTTAGCAAGATGCTGTCTCATGCAAACAAAAAGTTAAGGTTAAAGATCTGGTGACATGTCAGAGAAATGTCTCCTAACCATGAAAAATTGGTTAACCACACTTACTGTAAAATGCCCATTTGGTCTGTGTAGATGGGTTGTTTGATGAGACAGGTTGGCAGGTGTGAGGATGCCAGCCTGTTCACCTGTTGGTGTGAGGGGTCGCACAGAAATTCCCAGATATCAGTGAAATGCAGAAGTACTCATGGCCCGCAATCTGAGTCCAGACAGCTGCCTCAGAAAGCCTTTCAGGTGACACAAAGGAATATTTGGAAGAACTTTTGTGTTTTGAGACAGACTTTCACTTTGTAGTTCAGGTTGGCCTTGAACTCAGTTTGCAGCCCAGGGGTCCTTGTAGGGATATTCCTGCCTCAGCCTCCCCAGTGCTGGGATGACAGCCATGTGCACCCCCATGGCCAGCTCCAAGGATTTTTCTTGGGCTTTACTTATTGATGGTGTCATTAGTGGACTGCAATGCACTTGTTTGCATGTTGACAAGGTGGGCGCTGTGGGTGTCCACGTGGTCCTGTCAGGGGGCTCCCGTCCATCCCTCCCGGGGGAGTCTTTGGCCCAATGGGGTCCTGCAGACCTGTGCTCTGTCCTGTCTGTGCACAGGAGCTGGGTCTCATCCGCAAGCCCGCCTCCTTCATGACCAGCATCTGCGACGAGCGTGGCCAGGAGCTGATCTACGCCGGCATGCCCATCACGGAGGTCTTCAAGGAAGAGATGGGCATTGGCGGCGTGCTGGGCCTGCTCTGGTTCCAGCGGAGGTGGGCAGGGTGCTTGTGGGTGCTGGGGCGCTGGGCTGTGCGACGCCTGAGGGCTGAGTGGGCCCTGAGTTTTTCCAGAGCAGCAGGGAACCCAGGGGAGGGAGGGCAGGAACCTCCTGAGCAGTGTCCAGCAGTTTGTCTCCCCGGAGTTCCCCAAAGACAGAAACATGGTGTCCCAGCTGGAGGCCAGAGTGCCCTGGCCAGGTGACAGGTTGGGGATCTCTGCATGTGCAGGTCTCGCCCACCTTCCACCTGAACGGCGTCCTCGAGATGCCCCAACAGCACCTGCGCTCCTGAGGCCTCCTGCCCTCAGGCCCAGGCCCAGGCCCACCCCTGCTTGTGCAAGCCACACCCTTTTCCTGGGAGGGGCGAGGTTTCTTGGCCACACCAACCTGTGCCCACTACCTGTTGCCCCTAGGCTGCCCAAGTATGCCTGCCAGTTCATCGAAATGTGCCTGATGGTGACGGCAGACCACGGGCCCGCTGTGTCCGGGGCCCACAACACCATTATCTGCGCACGGGCTGGGAAGGACCTGGTCTCCAGCCTCACCTCAGGGCTGCTCACCATTGTAAGCCTGGCTCCGGATGGGGGAGGGGAGGTGGTCACAGGGCCCAGATGGGAAAACTGGGCAGAGCCGAGGGGCCCCAGAGCCACCCTGAGCCTGGAGCTGCTCCTCTTCCTCAGGGGGACCGCTTCGGGGGCGCCCTGGACGCAGCCGCCAAGATGTTCAGCAAAGCCTTCGACAGCGGCATGATCCCCATGGAGTTCGTGAACAAGATGAAGAAGGAGGGCAAGCTGATCATGGGCATTGGCCACCGAGTGAAGTCGGCAAGTGGCAGGCGGCGGGGGCCAGGGGACACCAGTGCCATCACCACTGTGCTAGGCCCAAAAGCCAAACCCAGGCCCCAGTCTTTTCTACCTCACCTGGGTCACTGGTGACAGGCTGGCTGTATCTCAAGAAGTCTGGAAGGCCAGGGATGTCCAGGTGGCCCCATGCTGGCCCCAGAGGGCCTGCCCATCTCAAGGCCCAGAGCGGAGAGGAAACTTGGGGTTTGGCGGGGCAGGGTGGGAGCAGGATCATGGAGCCTTTGTCGTCCCAGATGAGGTCTCACTGAGCTGCTGGGTCTGGCTCTAATTTGTAAGCCGCCTCCTGGAGCCTCCAAAGTACCGGGATTCCGAGTGTATACCAGGCCTGTCAATATTGTACCCCGAGGCAGGGAGTGCAGGTTAGAGAGAGGAGGGCCAGCGCCTGGGCCTTAGAGGGACACTCCCCAGACCTGCTCCCTGAGGGCTCTGTGACCCCAGAAACCTTCCACTGCACCCTGCACTGGTCCAGGCAGGGGATGTGACTGCCACTAATCAAGAGGGTCACACAGGTGCCTGTCATCCCTCACCTGGGAGGCTGAGGTGGAAGGCCAGCATGGGCGGGAGAGTCAAACCCTGTTCAAAAACAATACCAGTAACAGCCAAGATAGAGGATCACGTGTGTGTACATGTATGGACACCTGGCTGGCTGCTGGTCAGGTTGGAACCGGAGGCCACTGAATGAGCAGGGACCAAGCAGCAGCAGCCAGGGAAGGTGGTGGCCGAGGGCCTGTAATCAGTGCTATGCCTCCCTTCCTCCCTGGGGCCCCAGGCGACCCATCCCCCCAGCAGAGTGCAGGGTTCTCCCTGGGGCTGGGGGTGCTTGCCTGGCTCGGACCTGTGTAGTAAAAATTCCCAGGAGACGCATGCAGCCCTCGGGTAGCACAGGCAGGGACAGGACCAGAGCCCTGGCTCTGATTCCAGATCAACAACCCAGACATGCGGGTGCAGATCCTGAAGGATTTTGTGCGGCAGCACTTCCCGGCCCTGCCACTGCTGGACTATGCCCTGCAAGTGGAGAAGATCACCACCTCCAAGGTACTGGTTGGGGACCACGGGGCACAAGGCCTGGAGAGCCTGGGGCGGGTGGGAAGGTTTCTCTCCATGTCAGAGTTAATAGCTGGGCATAGTGGCGCACACTGTGAGGCCAGCACTCAGGAGGCTGAGGCAGGAGGCTGCTGACAGTGGAGATGCTGCGAGGATAAATGTGAGGTGGTGATGACACTGTGCCCCTTCCAGAAACCAAACCTGATCCTGAACGTGGACGGGCTCATCGGCGTGGCATTTGTGGACATGCTCCGGAACTGCGGCTCCTTCACCCGGTCAGCACCACGATGCCTCAGCTTCAGGGCCTGTTTCTGGGGTGGGGGCTATTTAAGGCAGGGTCTCACTGTGTAGCACCAAGTCTCAAAGATCCTCCTGCCTCAGCCTCCTGAGTGCTAGGGTGACAGGTGTGCACCACCACGCCCAGCCTCTGCACTGATTTCCCAGCTGTTAGAACAGCCTGTGCTCCTGTTAGAATGTTCAGGAAGTAATGAGATAAAACTGTAGTCCTTCCATCCAGACAGAGCTGGGGTGGAGGTGATGCCCTCTGCTGGTGGGGGAGTCGGGGCCCACCGGGCCATCTCCAGCTCCTGCTGGCTGTTGCAGGGAGGAAGCAGATGAGTACATCGACATTGGCGCCCTCAATGGCATCTTCGTGCTGGGCCGAAGCATGGGCTTCATTGGTGAGTTGGCTCCTCTGCATCCGGATCTCTCATTCCTGGGAGCAACTCCACTCACCGCGCAGGGGAGTGGAATATTGACGGTTTGCTTTTGCCAAGGCCAGGACACATCCCAATTTCCTGCCCCACTTGTGTCTGTTTTGCCCTTATTTTTGAGATAGGGTCTCACTATGAAGTCCAGGTTGGCCCTGAACTCACAGTGATCCTCCAGCCTCAGCCTCTCGAGTGCTGGGGTAATGGGGGCGCCGGCCACTCTGGCTCCCCCGCATCCCCCGCCTGCACCACCTTCCAGAGCCCTGACACCAAGGTGTCCTCTTGCTTTCAGGTCACTACCTGGATCAGAAGCGGCTGAAGCAGGGCCTGTATCGCCACCCGTGGGACGACATCTCCTATGTCCTCCCAGAGCACATGAGCATGTAGCCAGGCAGGCACCTCACCGTAAAGACCCACCGTGAAGACAGCCAGCAGCTGCAGGAGGGGCCTCGAGAGGCCTGAGGCCAAACCCCTGGCTGCACCTGTGCTGTCTTACAGAGTGGCTTACCAGTTTTTACAAGCATAGAAATCAAAAGTCAGGCCAAAACGTCGCATTCACTGTGCTGGCTGCTGTATTTATTGCTTGGAGGCCTCCGCGAGTTCTGTCCCAGGCACCCCTCCTCCCAAGTTCCTTTTCCTGTTAGTGAGGTCATTTTCCCCGGGCAGGAACCCAGTGGAAGTTCAGACTTTGGGGTGCACTGGGGACCCCTGGTGTCTCGCTGTCACCTCGCTTTCTCCTCCCAGGCTAACATGAAGAGCATCATATTAATCTGATCTTGAGAGTCTCTGTCTGTATGTTACGTGTTCTGGGTTTGTTCAGGGTCCCAGCGACATGCTTGCATCAGTGTGCTGCTGGGGAGGGGACCATGGCCTTGGCCTGGGCCACTTTCAGGATGCAGGAGTAGTGAAGTACCATGGAGAAAGCTGTGAATCATCCTCTGCTTGGCGGTCGCTGCAGTGTGTGTCCCCAGGCTCCTCCCCAGCCTGAGGGTGTCTGTGACCCTCGGGGTCCGTCTGTCTCTGTATTTTCATAGTTTGGTTTAAATAAATTAGTAATATTAAAGCCTGCTGTGGGCCTGTGTCACCTGTGTCAGTGCCTTGGCGTGATCCTTTGAGAGTCTGGGATGACATGCCTGCCCCATCACGCCCAGAGTAACAAGTAGGCTCTTTTTATTTTTGTTTTTTTGAGTAACAAGTAGTTTTTAAGTGCTCTTCAGCTCTTGAAAAACTGAAAACACCAGTCTCCAAAAAACACAAGAACCTTGTCTCCTCTCAATCTCTTATTGCCCCTGTACTACATGAGTGGTACCCACATCCTCCACTGTCCACTCCATGAGTGGCACCCCATCCTCCACTGTCCACTCCAGATCCTGCTTACGACCTGATAACTTGGTGTCACTCGTTCAGATTTCAAAAGCACATGAAATCAACCCACTCTTGCTTAAAACCCCAGATTGGCTTTTATTACTGTCTTTTGATCAGGTGGGAGGCAGGGCCTTTGAGCCTAGCCCCAGGCAGAACATTGTGCTCTGCATGAGCTCCTTAACGGTGTCACCTCTGGGTGCCACAGAATCCAGGGGTCCGGAGAGACCCTAGGAGAACAGGAACAATGGGCTGGGGATTTAGCTCAGTGGCATAAGCACCTGCCTTGCAAGCAGGCAGTCATGAGTTCGATCCCTGGTACCAATAAAAATGAAAAAGACAAAAACAAAAAAGGAATAATAGAGTGGGAGCAATGATCAATTTTAGGTGTACACCAACTCAGCAGGCTTGAGTATAGGAGGCTGAGCCCAGAGCAAGGTTTTGTGAAGGTTGAGGGGCCTCATCTCCAGGGGCAGAGCCTGTGGGCAGGCAGGCCAGTGTGCAGGGGACAAAGGCAGTTTGTCGGGCTATGACAGCTTTGTGCCTTAGCCTGACTTGGGCTGCTCAGGCATAGCAGGTTGTTATGTGAACAGGTGGTTAGAAAACTTACAGAGGGGGCTGGAGATTTAGCTCAGCGGCATAAGCCCCTGCCTTGCAAGCAGGCAGTCGTGAGTTCAATCCCTGGTACCGATAAAAACGAAAAAGACAAAAAAAAAAAAAACAAAAAACTTGCAGGGACAGAAGTCATTTAAGTCAATTTAATTGACTTAAACGCAAGTTTAATTACTCTTCCATAGATTGGTCCTGCAGAGGACTCCTTTCGGGAAAAGACTGAGATAGTCATGAGATTTCCTTTTCAAGCTCTCTGGACAACACAGTGACCTCAGAAGCCCTGTCTGATGTCAAACAGGCAGAGGCCTCAGTTCCCCTATTCCTTGACTTAATATCAGTGACAGGGCTGGACCCATACCGTGCACTGTGGAAGTCCCATGGTGGACAGCTGCAGACTGGGCATCTGCAGCCAACAGGTGGAGGAGAAGCAGAAACAGTACTGCCGGGTCACAGGTACACCAGAGTAAACATACGTGTTCATGATCCTCATGTGCCGCTGATAGGAAGTCCACTCTCGTACTGATCGTCATGACCCCACTGTATCGTGCCTCAGTTCCTTTCTAAGGACTCCACAATAATAACCATGAGCAGGATGCCCGGATCTTGGCTTCTGTCAATCTAACGGAGCCTTGGTGTCACTCACCTGCTACCCTATTGGTAAAGACCTGGGTTAAGAGATTTAGCCCTTGAACCAAGAGGATGCTTGGGTTGATTACTGCAGGATTTGCTCCCCCAGTTCTTTCCACCCAGGGCACCAGGACACTCAGTACACACTAGCCACTTTTCACATAGCTGGAAACATCAGGGAGAGTGATACAAAGTTGCAAGCCCAAGTGAGCACTAGAAACTTCTGTCCTGTGAGTGGGAGATCAGACTAAAAGTTTACAGTTACAACAGGTTCTCAAGTGTCACTGTGATGTGCCCCTTTTACCCTATAACAAAGCCTATGTCCTTGAGGAATGATCAGAAGGCGTATACAAGCAGCAGTCCATCAGGATAGGACTGTGGACAGATGCTCCTCAGAGACTGGTGTTCTCTATGTCATCACAGCCACTTTTCGTACCCAAATTAAAGACTGGGAAATGTTGGGGCTGGGATTTAGCCTGCTTTGCAAGCAGGCAGTCGTGAGTTCAATCCCTGGTACCCATAAAAAAAAAAAAAAAAAAACTAGGAAAAGTTTGCCGATGGCCTTAGTATAATTAAATCCATTTATGGATCTCAAGGCTCACTTTGGCTTTATATCAGAATTTGTGTACTCATTCTCTCTCTCTCAGTCTTGAGATAGGGTCACACTATGTAGTTCAGGCTGGCCTTGGGCTCACTTTGTAGCCTGGGTTGGTCTTGAATTTGCAGCGATCCTCCTGCCTCAGCCTCAGGAGTGCTGGGATTACAGGAGTGTGCTGCCACATCTGGCTTTTTCTCGTTTATCTGTCATAGAGGATTCATGACCCAGAGACACCTAGAGGCTGTGCAACCATGACTGACCTTGCTCAACATTCTTCAAAATGACAAGGAAGGGAGAGATGTGGAAGGCCACCTGGTGCCTCTCCTTGAACAACTGCTGCAGCACTAGCTAAATCGAGGCTTGTTTCCATACACTGATACTCGCAGAGCACAGCGGGCTATGCTGTTCCCTTCTCCCCACAGGCGGCTCTCAGTGATGTGGACAAGGCCAGCTGAGGTGCTGATGTGTAATCCTGGAGGCCAGCCTGACAGCCTCCTGTTTCCTTGCGTGCTGTTCTCTCTAACAGATTGAAGCACAGAGGGACACGGCAGAGCCACTCAGCTCCAGGAATGTCAGCTGGGTGTGAGCCTCACAGTAAGGGGCTGTGACTCCCCAGGCAGAAAGGTTTATGTATCAGAAACCAAAGCAACAGCCTCCTAAATTCATTCATATGCTGACCCAATGGAGCTATGCAGACTGATCCCGCATATCCTTCTCCCTGCATGTTGCAAAGGTGTTTTTCTTGCTGCCTGGCCAGCTCAGCTCAAGTTAACTCTCCTAGTTCCTGCTATCCTCCCTGTCATTCATCCTTGAGCCACGCCCTTCTTCATGAGATAAAAAATCCTGTGAGAGGCCTTGGACCAGGGCCTTTGTCCACAAATCTTCACTAGGATGGGGCTTAGGATCCCGTGGCTGTCCTTAACTTTGAATATGTCTTGGTGTCTTTGCTCTCACTGTGGGTAGCATTGGAAGTGGTAGATTGGAATTAACTTGCTGGAATTCCAATGTTTCTATGGGATTACAAATACTATTTTCGGGATTATGAAGTGAAATTAAAAAAAGGCATACAATGTTTGGATTACAATATGCAGTATTTGGATTACAATATATAACACTGGGACTTCAGTAAAAACAGGGAAGTAGACATTTATGAATCAGGGATACAGTGTTCTTTTTTTAAAATTTTATTTAAGGAGAAAAAAAAGCAGAGAAAGGGTACAAGTTATACAGATTTACAGAAAAAAATAAACAGTAGGAAATCACTAGTTAATGGATTACTATACAGTGTTCTTAAGAAATGAATTATTTTTCCTTTTTTTTTTTTTTTTTTTTTTTTTGAGACTAGGTTTCACTATGTAGTTCAGATTGGCCTTGAATTTGCTTTGCAACCCTGGCTGGCCTCAAACTCTAAATGATTCACCTGCCTCAGCCTCCCCAGTGCTGGGATTACAGCCAGGCATGTACCACCATGCCTAGATTATTTTCCTAAACCCTCATCCGGCTTCCTGGGGCTCAGCCTTCCTTTTTAAAAAGTTTTTCTCTTCAGTCATTTTTCTTTTTTTCTTTCTTTTGGTACTGGGAATCGAACTCAGGACCTTGCACTTGCCAGGCAGGAACTGTACCGCTGAGCTATATCCCCAGCCCGCCACTTGATTTCTTGAGAACTGGAACCCAAAGCTTTTAAGACAGAATCTGGTTTGTAGCCTAGGCAGCCTCGAACTCGCGGCGATCCTCCGGCTTCAGCCTCCAGTGCTAGGATTCCAGGCATGCACCACCACGCCTGACTTTCCATAAGATATTTTAAGTGGAAAACCAAAATCACTTCGGAACAACAGGTGAGCAAGGGTGATGGTCCAAGGGGCTTCAACTCGATGCGGCGCGAGTGTCTCACTACAGCGACAAAAGTCAAGGAGCGTCGCGCGTCCGACCCGCGGAGGTGGCGGGGCTGACAGCGCAGTACGATGACGCATGCGTGGTGCGATGGCTCCGGCGGGGCCGTAGCGCTTGTGTGTCGCGCCAATGGGCGAGCGCAGGCGCAGCAAGGCCCCGCTCCGCACCCACTGTTTATTCCCAGAATCCCTCTGTGTCGCGCTGGAACGGCGCCGCGCTCTGCGTCTGGGGGCCGGCGCGGCGGCGGCAAGATGGCGGCGGCTGTAGCAGCCGCGGCGGCCGCAGCTGCCGCTGCCGCCTCCCTGCAGGTGCTGGAGATGGAGAGCATGGAGACGGCCGCCGCTGGCTCCGCCGGGCTGGCCGCCGAGGTCCGGGGCAATGGCACGGTGGACTTCGGGCCGGGGCTGTCGGCCATGGAGGCGGGCGGCGGCGACCCCGGTCCCGAGGCGGAGGACTTCGAGTGCAGCTCGCACTGCTCGGAGCTGTCGTGGCGTCAGAACGAGCAGCGGCGCCAAGGCCTCTTCTGCGACATCACACTATGCTTCGGCGGCGCGGGTGGCCGCGAGTTCCGCGCCCACCGCTCCGTGCTGGCTGCCGCCACCGAGTATTTCACTCCGCTGCTCTCCGGCCAGTTCTCCGAGTCGCGCTCCGGCCGCGTGGAGATGCGCAAGTGGAGCTCGGAGCCGGGGCCCGAGCCCGACACGGTGGAGGCAGTGATCGAGTACATGTACACCGGGCGCATCCGCGTCAGCACGGGCAGCGTGCACGAAGTGCTGGAGCTGGCCGACAGGTGCGCAGGCGGCGGGGGCGATCGAGTGCTGTTCCCAGTTACAGACCTGGGAGGCTGAGGCAGGAGGATCGCGAGTTCCAGCCCAGCCTGGGCAATTTAATGAAACCCCGTTTCCAAATACAGAGTTAAACAGGACTGCACGCCTGTGGTCCCAGCATTGTGGGAGGCTGAGGCAGGAGGATCGAAAGTTCATCCCCAGCCTGGGTAGTTTAGCGAATGAGTGAGACCTTACGTCAAAAAGTTAGAAGATGGGCTGAGGATGTAACTAAGTGGTGGAGCGCCGTGAGTTTAAAATGAATAGCAGCAAGTGAAAAAAGACGTTTTGGAGGAGTTTGACATTTAAAGTGATCTGTGAAGGGGGAGAAAACTGGTTGTGCAAAGATAGGGGAAAAGGTTGGGGCAGTGCACAGGCCCCCAGGCAGAATCCTATTTGGCAGAGCAAAGGGTCTTGTAGGAAAATTCCTGTCCCGGCATGGTGGCACACTCCTGTAATCCCAGCACTCGGGAGGCAGAGGCAGGAGAATCGAAGTGAGTTCAAAGCCAGTCTTCACTGCAGACAGAGCCCTGTCTCAAAAAAAAAAAAAAAAAAAAAAAAAAAATCCAGGATGGCTGGATCTGGTGGTTGCAGATGGGGTGTTGGGGGACACGTGGATTTTACCTGTGTGTGTTGAGAAGCCAAGGAGAGAAAGGATCTGCTCTAAGCTGTGTGTCTGCAAGGCTTAGGCTGCTGCTGGGAGGAGGAGGGAGGCACGCTGTAGTGGCTGGCTGGGGTCCGGAGGCTGCTGGGTGGGGGTGGGGTGGTGGTTTGGGCAGCAGACACCTTGTGAGCATCTTGGGGAGGTGGTGGAACCCTGGGCTCCAGGATGCTAGGATCCTGCTGGGAGCAAGCACAAAAGGAAGCCTCGTCCCTCTTGACACCACCACTGGTAAGTGGTGGCAGTGTAAAGGTGGCCTGTGATGGAAGGAGAAGGGAGATGCACTGAGGCCCCTGATGGGGAGGGGCTGCTGGGTGGGTGGAGGATGGACGCCTGTTTGAGAAAGTGAGGCAAGGTGGAAAACTAACCGCAGCCCCTCTGCTTGCACTCAGATTCCTGCTGATCCGCCTGAAGGAGTTCTGCGGCGAGTTTCTCAAGAAGAAGCTGCACCTGTCCAACTGCGTAGCTATCCACAGCCTGGCGCACATGTACACGCTGAGCCAGCTGGCCCTCAAGGCTGCTGACATGATCCGCAGGAACTTCTGCAAGGTCATTCAGGATGAGGAGTTCTACACGCTGCCCTTCCACCTGCTCCGGGACTGGCTGTCTGACCTGGAGATCACAGTGGACTCCGAGGAGGTGCTCTTTGAGACCGTGCTGAAGTGGGTACAGCGCAACGCTGAGGAGCGGGAGCGCTACTTTGAGGAGCTGTTCAAGCTGCTGCGGCTGTCCCAGATGAAGCCCACCTACCTCACGCGGCACGTTAAGCCCGAGCGCCTGGTGGCCGGCAGTGAGGCATGTGTGAAGCTGGTGGCCGAGGCCGTGGAGCGGCATGCGCTGCGGGCCGAGGACCTGCAGGCAGGGGCCCTACAGCCGCCGGCCGTGCCCCTGTCCCTGTTGCCGCGCTTCGGGCAGAACATGGATGTGATCATGGTGATCGGTGGTGTGTCAGAGGGCGGGGACTACCTGAGCGAGTGTGTGGGCTACTTCGTGGCCGAGGACAGGTGGGTGAACCTGCCACATATCCACAACCACCTGGACGGGCACGCTGTGGCAGTGACTGAGTCCTACGTGTACGTGGCAGGCTCCATGGAGCCAGGCTTTGCCAAGACCGTGGAGCGCTACAACCCCAGCCTCAACACATGGGAGCACGTGTGCAGCCTCATGACCCGGAAGCACTCCTTTGGGCTGGCCGAGGTCCGGGGCAAGCTCTACAGCATTGGTGGCCACGGCAACTTCAGCCCCGGCTTCAAGGATGTGACGGTGTACAACCCCGAGCTGGACAAATGGCACAATCTGGAGTCGGCCCCGAAGATCCTGCGCGATGTCAAGGCACTGGCTGTGGAGGACCGCTTTGTATACCTCGCCGCGCGCACACCCGTGGACCGGGATGCAGAGGATGGGCTCAAGGCAGTAATCACCTGCTATGACACTGAGACACGGCAGTGGCAGGACGTGGCCTCGCTGCCACTCATCGACAACTACTGCTGCTTCCAGATGGCTGTGGCCGGCTCCAACTTCTACCAGACAGCATCCTGCTGCCCCAAGAGCTATGCCATGGAAAACGCAGAGGCCGTTCGCAAGATCACCGGGCCCCCATCGGATGAGATCCTGGAGAGCCTGCCCCCCGAGGTGCTGAGCATTGAGGGCGCCGCTGTGTGCTACCAGCGGGATGACGTCTTCATCATCGGCGGCTGGAAGAACAGTGATGACATCGACAAGCAGTACCGCAAAGAGGCCTACCGCTACTGTGCTGAGCGCAAGCGCTGGCTGCTGCTACCGCCCATGCCGCAGCCCCGCTGCCGCGCCGCTGCCTGCCACGTGCGCATCCCCTACCGCTACCTACACGGCTCACAGCGCTACCCCATGCCGCAGAACCTCATGTGGCAGAAGGACCGCATCCGACAGATGCAGGAGATCCACCGGCATGCGCTCAACATGCGCCGAGCGCCCAGCTCGCAGATCGAGTGCTGAGCCGCTGCTGCTGCTGGGACAGGAGGACAGGAGGACGGGAGGACTGCGTGCTGCAGTGCAGGGCGGGGACCCGGGACCTGTACTTTGCTTGGGGCCTGCGTCCATCTTCAGTGCGTGTGTCTGTATGAGCACCCCAGCCTGCGTGTGTGTCTACGTGTGTGTCTCAGCCCATGTGTGCATGTCTGGGTGTGCACCCCTGCCTGTGTGTGTGTGTGTCTATATGTGCATCCTAGCCTGTGTATGTGCGTGTCTGTGTGTGCCCCAGCCTGTGTGTATGTGTCTCTGTGTGCGCCCTAGCCTGGGTGTAGGTGTCTGTGTGTGTACCCCAACCTGCGTGTACGTGTCTGTGTGTGTGCCCCAGCCAGCATGTGCATGTGTCTGTGTGTGCGCCCCAGCCTGCGTTTGCATGTCTGTGTGTGCACTCCAGCCTGCGTGTGCATGTCTGTGTGTGTACAACCACTGAGTGAGAGCTCCCTGAGGACCAGTGGGAGGAGCAGGGCCACATACTCACTGTTCCCTGCCAGTGAGGTAACTCCCCTGCCCTCCCCTGGGCCTAGACCTACAACACGCTTTAAGCCCTACGTTATTTGCACATTTCCTTTGATATCTTTTTCATTTTTACATAACGGTTGGTGTCACAAGATGAGCACCGACACGTTAGGCCCTTCTCTGCAGGAGAGGTGTGCAGTACCAAGGCCACACTGGGCGGAAAGAGCACAAGAGTCCAGCCGGGCTGTGTTGGGCGTTGGCACTAAGGTTTCCAGATGGGGACAGAACGCTGGGAATGCGTGGTGGCCTCCTGCTCTGTAATCCTGTTGTTATTCTCGTTCTGGGTACGTCCGCCCCTAGGCAGCTGAGGCAGCAGCTCTCCATGGCTCTGAAATGGCCATAGTGGCCCGAAGAATGGATTGAGGAGAGGAGGGTGTAGGGTGAGCTTGGCTTCATCCCTCGGAGGCCTGTTTAGGCATAGGGAGTCAGAAGCGGCAGCTCGCTGGGCAGTGTGGGCCTGGGTGGCAGGGCTCCCGGCCGGCGGCCTTCATCCCTTCCCAGTGCGCACTCTGGGTCAGGTCTTTTTTCAGAATGGGTAGGAACAGGTTAGGATGAGCATCCTCACCCTTTTCTTATTTGGTACTGGGATCAAACTCTACCTTGAGCTTGCCAGGCAGACATTCCCGGGAAATAACACTTCAGAAAATCATTGCCCAGGAAAACCCTTTCTTCTGGGCCTCATTGTCACATTTTATGTAGGTGCCCAGAGTTCCTGGAACTCAGGTGAGCCTGGAATGCCAAATCTGGGTGCCTATTTGTAGCTCTTAAAAGATTTGTCGTGCAATTGACAGTTGATTTTGTCAGTTACCCTGATTCCCACACACTCCCAGCCCCGGTGATGAGCACAGGAAGCCGCTGAACATCCGTGCGCTCAGGCCGAGGCTGAAGCAGGATCCCCTCGGGTTCAGGGCTGGCCTGGCCACGCAGTGAGACTTTGTCTCCAAACCAAACCCACAAAAACGGAAGAGCTCACTTGGAGTCTCCCAGATGCCTGTGCAAGGCCTGGGAAAGTCTGGGTCTGCGGAAGCTGCTGCAGAAGCCCCAGCACGGCAGCACGGCGGCATTGTCTTCCCAGGCCTCCGGCTTCACCTTACTGTGTGATCAGACATCAAAGGAAAGAAAAGCACAACCTAAAGTTTCTACTGTCCTTGGCCTTGGGATCAGTCCATTTCAGCTCTCGGGTGTGACCTGAGGACAATGTCCCTAGAATGTCTCACTGTCGCTGCTTTTAGTGACTGTCAGGGAAGCTGGGTGGGGTGGGAGTCTGCAGGGTGGGTCACCGCCTGGTCCCCAGTCCTCGTCCTTGGTGTCCATTTCTTTACAGCTTCAGTGGCAGCCACGTGGACTCCCTGCCTCAAGGGGTCCCTCAGCCACTTCGGGAGTGGGGGCCAGCACTGGGGCTTCCCACCCCAGCCTGCTTGTCCTGGTGGGTGCAGCGGGGCTGCCATGGGTCTCCAGAGAGGGCTACTTCGGTAGTTTTGGTCCCTGAGCTCTGTCCTCTGACAGCCCAATGGCGTCCTCTGTGGGGTAGCCTCCTCCTATGGGGGTCCAGGACTCTGCTCTGGCAGAGGAGCCGAAGGAGAGGCCTGACTGACACTGTTGTTTCCGCCTCGCAGGGCCTGGCCAGCGGGTGCGGGCAGCAGGGTAAGTCCGTCCTTGCATGGCCGTGTGCAGGTGTGCCACCCGCGTGGCTGGTCTGTCCGTCTTGGTCCAGGAGTGTGACTGAGATCCCCTAACTAACACGTCACCATGGAAAGAAACCAGACTTAAATCTGCTCAGGGCTGACATTCTGGTAGGTTAGAGGACTTGAAATGGTTCTGTGGTGGCCCTTAGGGAGGAAATTCCCTTCTGGGAAAACTTAACAACTGTGCTGGGTGAAGTAAGCAGTTAAAAACACCTTGCTTGGTGTGGTGGTGCATGCCTATAATCTCAGCACTTGGGAGGCTGAGCCAGGAGGATCACCTTGAGCTTGAAGCCAGCCTGGGCTGCACCCTGAGACTCTTGTCTCAGAAAGGAAGGAAGGAAGGGCCGGAGGTTTAACTTAGTGCCCTAAGCACCTTCCTGGCAAGTGCGAGGTTGTCAGTTCAATCCTGGTACCAAAACAAAAAACAAACAGCCTACCACCTGTGCAGGCAAACCCTTCTGTTACTGGTTTTGTTTTCATTTGGTAGAGAAGCTGAGGAATTGCCTGTATCAAAGGCAGTGAGGGCATAGCCTGGGGGGAAAGCTGCTTCTGCTGTGGCTCCCGAGTTCTCTCTGCTCGCCACAGCCCAGCTCGGCAGTGTCCGTGGAGAATGTCAGTCCTGAGCGGTCTGAGCCTCGGCTCCCGCTGCTGTGTGCGCATGACTCGCCTTATGTATCGATAACCAGCCCTGCTCCACAGAGCCAGCTCCGCAGTAACTGCTGGGAGCTCCAGAAACAGATGGGCATTTAGCGTGGATCACCTGGCTTGTTTTTTGGGTTTGGGGGGTTTTGGTTTATGTTTGGTTTTTTGGGGTTTTTTTTTTTTTAGTCGGGCTCATTGCAGTTCAGGCTGGCCTTGAACTCATTTTGTAGGCCAGGCTGGTCTGGAACTCACAGCAGTTCTCCTGCCTCAGCTTCCTGAGTTCTGGGATTGCAAGTGTGTGCTACTCAGCCTAGCCTGGCTCATCTGGTTTTGTAGTTTCTGGGACCAAAAACTTTGCATGGCACTGGCCTTGTACAGCTAGCTAGAGGGCAGCATTTGTGCCCTGTCCCCTGGCGAACCTCAGTGGCGCTATTCTCCCTGGTGGAGAGTGCCTGTTAGATGATGCTGGAGTCTTCCCCCGGCTACTTGTAGAGCAGACAGCAGGCGTGGAGCAGACAGCAGGTGAGCTGCCTCGAGTACCTTAGTCTCAGTCACAGTTGCAGGACCCTTCCTTGCTCCTTCTCTGAGTTAAGCTTCAGTGCAAAGGCTCTGCAGCCCTGCCCAGGGCTTTGGCCGCCTGCACTGGAGAAGCAGAGATCTGGTAGTCGTGGCCGCCTCCTCAGCCACCTGGCATCCACAACCTGGCTCCCAGCCCTGGCATTTCTTTTCTTGAGCAGAGACCCTGTGGCTGCTGCTCTTCGAGGCTTCCGCTCTGTGGCCTGTGTTGTGTTCATGAGAACAAAGCAGCCCCTAGCTAGTGCTCTCCACAGTGACGTGACGGTGCCGTAGCCTGCAGATCCCTGCCATGTGGCCCGGCTCCTTCCGGGCTGCGGCTGCTCACCTCCTGCTCCATACTCAGCCGTGTCACCTGCCAAGTCTGTAGTAGGCAGCGTGGGGCCCTCAGCCAGGCATGCACCCCATGAGCTCCTGGTCGGGGAGCTGGTGAGGGGACCGTGGAGCGGTGGTGCTGTGTGGGGGTGGCCTGCTTTTGCTCCGGGCGCTGTCAGCCCAGTCTCCTCGAGTTCCCAATAAACGCCTGGTGCAGACGCGCTGTGCCTCTCTCTTCCTTGGACCCTGGACTGTGGCGGGGTCCCCTGCCTCTCCCTGCTGCCTCCGAGCACCCCGGCCTCGGGCTGAGCATTTCAGCACTCTGCCAAGTTTCAACACTGCATTTATTATAAAAAAGAGGTAACCCTGATTGCTTAGGCGCTTTATTAGCTGCGGAGGCTCACACAGGCAGGGTGCTGGTCGAGGCGGAGTACTTGACCTCGTCGCGCGGCGCCAGGCTCGGGAAGTGGTCGCGGCGTGCCGCATACTCGCCCACGTTGGCCAGCCCCGGTACCACGCAGCAGCTGAGCGCACTGCGGTAGATGCTCATGTCGTGCGCGTCGTACCACTCATCCGTCTTCTCGTCATAGCACTCCACGTTGAAAGTGGTGGTGAAGCCGTTGAAGCCGCCCACCACGAACAGCAGATCGTCCACCACCTCGATGCCAAAGTTGCTGCGCGGGTTGAACATGGTGGGGATGGTGCGCCACGTATTGGCCACCGGGCTGTAGGCCTCGGCACTGCGCAGCCGGTTGGCGCCATCAAAGCCGCCCACCTGCGGGGTCGGGGAGAGCTGGGGTGACGGAGAGCAGCGGGTGGGGGAGGGCGGCTAGGGGCGGGGCAGGCGGCCCCCCACTCACCGCGTACACGTGCTCCCCGTAAGCGATGACGCCGATGCCACTGCGCCGGCTGCGCATGGGCGCGATCACCGTCCACTGGTTGCTCTCGCTGTTATACACCTCGGCCGTGAACAGGCACTCGTTCCCATTGAAGCCGCCACAGATGTACACCTGTGGACAGCGGGCAGCGGGGGTGAGGGCACCCGGTCAGCCCGGGGACCCAGGCTCCTGGGAGTACTCACCTCTGCACCGCGTCGCCTCTTTACATTTCATTGATTTGATTTATTTTTGGTACCGGGGATCGAACTCACGACCTCGCACATCCCCGGCCAGCATAGTTTTTTAATAAGCAGAAGTGGTCCCAAAGACGGAGTCGGCAGACACCCAAATAAGAAGTGCGCATCGCCAGCCCTTCGCCCTCAGGTTCCGTGTCTGAGGGTTTGCGTACCACGGATAGCAAAGGGGTGAGAGGATTGTGCCTGCCCTGAAAATCTACCCTCATTCCCTCCGCGATCCAGTAAAGCCTGTGCCCACGCTTGTACACGCTTTTCACTGTTGTAAGGGATCTGGACAAAATTTGAAGTATAGGGGAGGGCCCTGTGTGGTGGCGCACAGCAGTGTTTAAACTGCTTGGAAGGCTGAGGCAGGAGGGTGGTGGGTTCAAATCCAGCCAGTGCAACTCAGCGTGATCCTAAATCTAAAGGTCTGAGGATGTTCGCTCAGTGATAAGCACGGGGCCTGGGCTCTAGCCCTGCACTGGAAAAATGTCCAGAGGTGAAGTACAAAGGACCCGAAAGGCCTCTGGGCATTAGAGGAATGCAAATGACAAGGCTAGGATTCCACCTCCCTCTGGAAAGGACCGGACCTGATGAGGCGGCTGGACAGGCAGGGGAAAGTGAGGCCCTTCTTGTTGGGGGGATGTAGCCAGCACCCCCACCCTGGAAATCAGCATGGAGCTTTCTCAGGAAAACCCGAGGGTGCTGCTCTGCTGCTCCCTTTCTAGGTCGGCCCCACAAGCAGTGAAGCTGTAATGTTATGGTGATTCCACACACCCGTGCTCACGGCAGCACAATCAGTAAAACCTGAATTGGGCAGCAGCCTATATGTCCACCCACACACGTGGATGAGAGAAGTTGTTTACACGCGGAGGAGGACCCTGCCTCTACCAAGGGTAAACTTGCCCAGCATTAGTGGTGCATGACTGTCAGCCTAGCACTCAGGAGCCTGGGTTACATATGAGACCCTGTCTTTAAATAAATAAATGAAATTTTTAAAAGGGGTAAACTTGAACCATCTGCAGGGAGATGGCTGCACCTTGAGGCCATAATGACCAGTGAAAGAAATCAAGTATCTCATGTTTCTCTTAGAGGAGAAACCCAAAATGTAAATAAAGAGCAAAATAAAAGAGGAAATGAAATCAGGAGGGAGGCAGATCTTTGTCAAGGAGGACGGGATAGGGGAGAGGATGAGAAAAGGAGCACAGGTCACACCAGCTCCAGCCAGGGGCGTCCACCTCGACCCCGCAAACCCGGGTCCGTGAGGCTGCGGGGGGGGGGTGGTGTGTGCACCGAGTGGGAGCGAGTGCGCATGCGCAGCAGCGGCCTCGGCGGGTGCTACAGCTCCGCAGGTGCAGGGCCAGGTGCGCGGTGGCCCCGCCCCCGACGGCCCGGCCCGGCCCGCACCTTGCCATAGAGCGTGGTGGCGCTGGCGTCACTGCGCTGCTCGTGCATGGGTGCGATGAGCGTCCACTGGTTGGTCTCGGGCTCGTAGCGCTCGGCCGTGTTGAGGCGCACGTAGCCGTCGAAGCCGCCCATGGCGTAGATGAAGTTACTGAGCACCGTGACGCTCACGTAGCAGCGGCGCGAGTGCATGGGCGCCACCTGGTGCCAGGTCTTGCGCACCGGGTCGAAGCGCTTGACGCTGTTGAAGTAGTCGACACTGTCGAAGCCGCCGATGATGTAGACGTAGCCCTTGAGGTAGGCGGCGCCGTGGTAGGCGCGCGGGCTCTCCTCCTCGCAGGTCACGTTCACCCAGCGATCGGCGCGCGCGTCGTAGGCCTCGATGGCGTTGGTGGGGCTGCCGCCGCTCCAGCCGCCTATGGCGAAGAGGATGGCGTAGGGCAGGCGCGGCCGTGTGAGCGGGTTGGTGAAGTCCGAGTTGGACGGCCCGTTCATGTTGAGGTCGTACATGGCCTTGAGCGCGTTGATGATCACCGGCTTGCACTCCTCGCTATCCTTGACGTAGTCGTTCATCTTCACGTTGTTCATGAAGTACTCGGCGTGCATAAGCGCCAGGCGCACCTGGGGGAGGGGCGCAGACGGGCACCGCGTGAGGAGGGCTGTGCGACACCCGGCTGGGCCCGCATCCCTTCTGCGGGCTGGTGGCGGATCTCTTTTTAAAGGCATAATGCATGGGTGGACTATTTGGTTTGAGCTGTATCACACTAGCACCCAGCACTACGGGAGGCTGAAGCAGGAGGATCGCCAAGTCTGAGCCCCAGCCTGGGAAATTTAATAATTTAGGGAGACTGTGTCCTCCCCCCAAAATAAAAAGGGCTGTTGATATAGCTCAGCGAGAAGGCTGTGGGCTCTATCCCAATACTGCAAAAATAGAGGGGATATAGCTCAGGGGCATAAGCACCTGCCTGGCAAGCGTCAGGTACTGAGTTCGATTCCCGGTACAAAAAAAAAAAATAGATTGCTGGGGGTGCACGTGGGTGCTGAGAATGAGCAGAGAAAGTCACCAGGCAGGGTCACAGAGACGCCCACTCCACGGTCACTGCCTACCCAGGACTATGAAGACCAGCAGCCGCCATAGTGATTGTTCAGAAACTGAGCAGGTGTCTATGTAAACCGACACGAATGGACAGCTCGGGGCTACAGCGGTGCGACACTCACAATGTGGCATCCAGCCCCATAGGACTTACTGAATGGGAAAAGGGTAAACACCTCCCCTCCCCCGCTACCCTGAGGACGCAGGCTATAAAACCAGGACAGAAAGAGCTTGCAACGCCATGGGAAAGAAAACGGCTGCATCCAGAGAATGGGGAGACAGCTTCTGCATCAGTGCATTTAAATACAGCCCTGGGACTGCCAGACACTTGCATGTGTCTCTCAGGGACCATCCCGCAGGGATAGGTGAATTAAGAGTGAGCGCTCTGGGAGGCTGAGGCAGGGAGACCCAAAGTTTGAGCCTAGCCCTGGGCAATCTGGTGCCCCATCGATCCCCTGCCTCCGAATGAAAAGAGCCACTGGGCCTTGCCAAAGAGTGAGTGAACTTGACCTTAGGAAGTAAAACCGAGATGTGCTGCTTCCTGTTTTGGGGGTCATGGGAAATCCACTTTAGGATGGCTTCAAACACAGCATCCTCTTGTTTGACATTGAGCTCGTCCTTCTCGATGATGTCCTTGAGCTCGGTGACCGACAGCTCCAGGAACTCGGCTGAGACCTTTACCATCTCCTCGAAGTTGTGCAGGATGTACATGTAGGCCTTCTGCCGCAGCTCGGGGCAGTAGTAGTAGTCAGTGAACTTGCAAATGCCGATGCAGTTGTCCAGACACAGCTCAGCCTTGAGGAACTCACAGCAGCCCCGCACAATGCCCATGATGTTGAACTGGTCAGCGGCCGCCAGCAGCTTCTCCACGTTGTCGGGGGTGATGGGCACGGTGCGCGTGTACGCATACTCGATGATCAGCTTCATCATGTCGGGGGAGATGCCAGGGATGTTGTACACCTTCTTCTCCGTGTTGTTCCAGCCACTCGTAAACAAAGCTCTGGAGAGGACAAGAGGCACTGGCAGCCCCAGGGAGCACGCCCCCCCCCACCCCGCCTCTTCTCCTGGGGGTGACCCTGAACATTTTCCAACAAGCCCACAGTGAGTGTGTCGCAACTCAGCTGACCCAAGGAAGTGCGCTGTGACCCAGTGACGTGGTGTGAGCCTGGAGCCCGGAACCCCAGCATCTAGGAGGCTGAGGCAGGGGAGCTCGAAAGATCGAGTCCAGTCTGGCCAAATTAATGAGATGCTGTATCAAAAATCATATTAAATAAAGATGGGCCAGGGATGCAGCCCACCACAAAGGTGCTGCATTCCATTCCTGGAACCAGCCAAAGAAGAAACAAAGTCCTTGTGATCTGACCATGATGCCCTGGCTGGCTGGCCCCTCCCACCTCTCCTGGATTTCCATTGCTCCCTGTCCCCCACCTTAGCCCCTTAGCCTGGAGCGTGTGAGAATGCTTGTGCCCTGGAGAGCTTAGGTCTCTTCTGGGGTCTGAGCTGGAACCTGGGTGAGAGACCTGAGCCCTCCCCCACCAGAAGCCAGCTGAGCCCTGGACAATGGAGGAGGCCAGAGGCCCTGACCTCCGGGACTTGGTGGGAGGCCACACCTGAAGTAGGAGCTGCAGCTACAGAGGATGTTCTTGTGGGCGTTGAACTCGAAGCCATTGACCTTGATGACCACGTCACAGAGCTTCCCCTCCAGCCGGAGCTCGTTGAAGATCTCGCAGGTCATGGCGCTCATCTTCCTCTCCATGTGAGGCTGGGGGAAGCGGGAGGAGGCCGCGGCGCCCTCCATCTCCATGGCTCCCGGGGACCAGCGGGGAGAGGCTGTTCTCCGGGGTGCAATGAGGGTCGGGGGCCCCTGCAGGCAGCTGCCGCTCCCTTTCCCTACTACATCTTTCATGTCAGGCCCAGCCGGCAGCCCAAGTTCCAGAACCCTCGGGGGCAGTGAGGTCATGGCAGGATTGTGTGCTCACCTGCTCCCTGGGGTTCTGGAACTCCGTGCCCCACCTTTCCCACCTGTCCTGGGTCCCTGCTGAGAATTGTCACCAGCACCACAGGACAGGTTTTTTTGGTTTTTGGTACTGGGGATGGAACTCAGAACCAGGCAGGTGCTTATGCTGCTGAGCTTGTGCTAACAGCTAAAGGGCAGGGTTTTTATCTTGTAAAACCACGAAGAGCCGCTGGTCTCACAATGCAAGGAGTGGGGTGGGTTTGTGGCGCACTATAGAACAGGAACACTGCGATTACATTGGAAGAGCAAGGTTCAGGTAAGGGTTGGGCTAACAAGCAAGTTTAGATTAGGCAAACATCCTCTGGGGGAAGGCATATCCTGCAAACAAGCAAGTTACCCTGGAAACAAGCCAGTTTCCCTGCAAACAAGCAAGTTTAGATTAGGAAGACATCCTGTTCTGCTCTTAGAGTTACCTTTGATCTTTTTCTTGCCTCCGAGTAGACTTATGAGGGTGTTTTTTATATATATAGTTATAACAAGCTAAACCCCTGGCCCCACAGGACAGTTTTGATTGACTTTACTTCCTGGTTCCCCCTCTGGGCTGTTCTGGTTCCTGCTACTGCAGCAGCTGCCCTGGGTCCCCCTCTTTTTTTTTTTTTTTTTTTGTCTTTTTCGTTTTTATCGGTACCGGGGATCGAACTCACGACTGCCTGCTTGCAAGGCAGGCGCTTATGCCGCTGAGCTAAATCCCCAGCCCGGGTCCACCCCTCTTTACTGCAATTTCCCCAAGCAGCAGGGAGTAGGACTGGCATGGTGGCGCTCAGCTGTGATCACAGCACTCAGGGAGGCTGACACAGGCAGATCCCTGGGTGTTTGAGGCTAGCCCCCGGTAGTAGTGAGTTCAGCTCTTCAACTACATGTCTCACACAAAAAGATGGGAGAAGGGGCCCTCGAAAAATCTGCTGCTTGCGGTATCTTGTGCTCTGGGTTAATGATTCAGGGGTGACAGTAGGGGTTGCAATGTAGATACCATTGTTGCCCCTGACTGATGTGTTTTGAAATTTTGTTACAGTTTTTTATTTTATTTTTCTCTTTTAAATAAAATGAATTGAAAAAATAAACTAAAATAAATCTGCTGCTGCTCGATTGCCTGGGGTCTTCCAGCCCCAGATGTGTCACTCACCTTTTCCATGAAGAGGCCTGGCAACTTCCCCATGGTCAGCAGAGATTCATGCGAATGTGAAGGCTGGAAATGACCCCTGTTTTCTTTTGTTTTACAGTGTGTGGCTTGAACCCTGGGCCTTTGCACTGAGCTACATCCCCAAACCTTTTTTAAATTTAGCTTTTATTTTGAGACAAGTTGCTAAGTTGCCCAGCCTGGGTTTGAGCTGGTGATCCTCCTGCCTCAGCCTCTGAGAGTGCTAGGGTAACAGGCCTGCCCCACCATGCCTGCATAACCACTCTGCCCACCCTGGGGATCAGCCAGGTGGAGCTACACCACCAGCTCTGGACTGACCAGTGGCTGGGATTTTTGCTCCGGAAAATTTGGCAGAAGATTATGCCTGTAACTCCAGCTGCTCAGGAGGCTGAAACAGGAGAATCACAAATTCGAGGCCAGCCTGGATAATTCAGCAAAACCCTGTGTCAAAAAAATAAAGGGCTGGAGAAGTAGCGCAGTAGTAGAGCGCCCTTGGGACCAATCCCCAGTCCGGAGGTGGGGGTCGGTGGGGGTAGCAGGAGGCCCAGAGGCCCTTTGCTCCCCCCCCCCATCAGAACACTGTGTCCATAGCCTGCGGCTGGTGTGGTGACGGCGCCCGCGCACAGTGCAGCCGCGGGGCGTGGCTCTCCAGAGTGGAGCCAGCCATGGCCGAAGAGGTGCTGCGCGGGTGCGGGAGACCTGGGGAGAGAGCTCGGGGGTCCCCGCGGCGGCTCATCTGCATCCCACGCCCCACACCCCACAGGTGCGGGCCCTGGGCGCGCCCACAGTGCAGATGCGACGGCCTGGGCTCATGCACGAGCCGCTGCGCACGCTGCGTAAGGCCGAGGGCGGCTGCCTGCAGGTACACGGGAGCGAGGGTCTTGCGCGGACACTGGGTGCCGAAAGCAACTGCGAACCCCAGCCCTGCGACTTCGGGGTCTCATCGGTCACTCCAGCCCATCCAGGGACATAGGGAGCCCATGGGTCCCCTCTCCACCTGGACGACTCTGCCTCCTCACTGCCAAGGGTAGTATTGCAGCCTCCCCTACTCCCGCCATCCCTCCAGGCCGTGCCCCCCCTCCCCGTGTCCCCCTTCCTCCGCCCTGCCCCGACCCTGGCCGTCCCCCCAGGCGTCCCGTGGGCACTGCACGCTCTCCCTGTCGCAGGTGGTGTCCGACTTCGACCTGACCCTGAGCAAATTCTCGCATGGCGGGAAGCGCTGTCCCTCTTCTTACAGTGAGTGTCCCCTGCCCTCCCTGCCCAGGGTGGGCGGCACGGCAACATCTAAGGGATAGGTGGAAGGAGTTTTGTTTTTCCAGATATTCTGGATAACAGCAAGGTCATCAGCGAGGAGTGTTGCAGGCAGGTGGGTCCCTGCCGCTGTGCGCAGCCCCCGCTCCCAGGTCCCGGTTTAGACCCTAGCGGGCAGCGCAGACACCCTAGGACCCGAGGAAACCGGTCCTTTTTGAAATTGGTGGCGTCAGGCCTACATGGTCCTTTCCTATTGGGTACTTTATTTTTTCTTCTCTCCAGGGGTTGAGCTCAGGGCCTTTGCGCTGAGCACCTTTTTATTTTGTGCTGTGTCTTGCTGAGTTGCTGAATTCCCTAGGATGGGCTCAAGTTTGGTAGCCTCCTGCCTCAGCCTCCCAGAGTGCAGGGGTTACAGGTACACGCCACCACACTTGCTTGGCTAGATGTGGTCTTTTCTGTTCGTTTGTTTTTGAAACAGGGTTTAATCTTCAGTACTGCAAAAAGAAAAAGAAAAAAAAAAAAAGCACGAGTTCGGTGTGCACCTTTCCTTTTGTTTTTGTTTTGAGACAGGGTCTTGCTGTGTGGCGCAGGCTGGCTCTGGACTCTCAGTGGTCTGACCACTGCAAAGCCACTCTGAGCAGGATTTAGAATTTTTTTTTTTTTGTCTTTTTTCATTTTTATCGGTACCGGGGATCGAACTCACGACCGCCTGCTAGCAAGGCAGGTACTTATGCCGCTGAGCTAAATCCCCAGCCCCAGGATTTAGAATTAATCACTTGGTTTTCTGTTTCCCTATGAGTCCTAGGCCGAGGCCCCTTGTCTGGGGACAGGCAGTGGATTCACCGGTAAGCCTCTGTGAATCGCTGGTCTCGGCTGAGGCCTGCAGTGTGCTGTGAGGCTTGATGTCTCGGAGGACAAGACAAGGCCACAGTGAGGACACCTGCCCCATTGATTAAATAGGGACTGCAGCTGCGGGCATCTCACCCCTGTGACAGTGAATGTAGACCAGAGGTCAGGCGGGTCTCCTAAGAGCAGGTCACTGCTTGGAGTCTTTCAGTGACTCCCAAGGTCCTACACTTTAAGCTCTTACTTAACTTGAAAACCAGATAAACAGGGGTAGCCCAGAGAAGTTCTTTGTCTCAGCCTCCAGAGAATCTCAGAGTCTGCTGGAGGGTTTTTATCTTCCTGGAGCCCTGAAATCACATTTGTCTCATTGATTTAAGCCTTCACTCCTGCCTTGTTTGTGATAGTGATCCTCCTGCCTCAGCCTCCCAAGTGCTGGGATTACAGGAGTGCACCACCATGTCCAGCCCAATGTTCACTGTTAACACGAATCTAGAGCTGCTCAGAGGGGAAGTGTTGGTCCTCACACAGTCTGGCCTGCGCCCTGGGAAGCATCCACGTGTGAGAAACGCTGCAGTCTGCAAGTCCAGTGACATCATAAATCCCGACCCATGGGAGGAGTGAGCCCTTGTCTCGCTTACTCTTAGAGCCCATGGTTGACTCGAGGGGTCCTGGCCCACTGGACTTCATCAGGTGGGCAGAACTGAGTCTGAAAAGGATTAAGGAAAAACTTGAGACTTGTAAATGGTACAACCCCAGGCAACAACTTGGAGGCGTGTGCTCCTGCCTGCAGTTGGGTTTGTTTCGTTTTTTTCTCGGTGCTAAGGATGGAACCCTGGGAGACTGTACCCCTGAGCTACATCACCAGCCCTTTTTATTTTTATCCTGTCTTGCTGGGGACTGAACCAGGCTCTTGAGCAAGCTGGACAAGCCCTGTGCCACTGAGCTCTCCCTGGAAGCTGGATTTTTTGTCTGAGATCTCACTGTGCTGCCCAAGCTGCCCTCAACCCCGCAAACCTCCTGCCTCAGCCTCCTGAGGAGCGGGGATCACTGGCCCACAACATGAGGGCTGCCGGTTTCCGCTCACGTGTATGGCTTTTCCCCTGTGTCTGTCGCACGCAGCTCACTGCGCACTTTGACCACTACTATCCCAATCGAGACCGACCCGCAGCGGCCCGTGGAGGAGAAGATGCCCCACATGGTAGAGTGGTGAGCCGCCTGCGGATGGAGTGGGGGGCGGGCATGCGCACTCCTACATTTCTGCAGCTATCTCACCTACCACTCCTGGGCTAGCAGTGGGACGGGGCTGTACGGCCGCATCCTCCCAGGACAGAAGGCAGAGAGCAGGAGCCTGGGTTGGAAAGCAGCCCAGCCCTGAAGGACAGGGCCTGGTCAGTGGCACAGACATCTGCAGTCTTCCCCAACCTTCCACCCCATCCCACCTCGTGGTTACCTCCCTTTTGTTGCTTTCCCTCCCTGAGTATCCCCAGTGCTGGGGATTAAACCCAAGGCCTTTGCACTGATCGACATCCCTGGCCCTTTGGTTATTTTTAATTTATAGACAGGGTCGCACTGTATTGCCAAGATACTCCAAGCTTGGCTCAAACTTGAGATCCTCCTGCCTCAGCCTCCCTGAGTACTAGGGTTGTGATGTGCCCTGTTCCCTTTAAAGATGGCCAGGGTCCCTTCCGAGGGGCCCACCTGTGGTCAACTCCTGAACATAGGGCTGGGTTGTGACCCAGGTGGACCAGGGCACACGAGCTGCTGTGTGGACAGAGTATTTCATGGCTGCAGATCGCAGAGGTGGTCAGGGAGTGGGGCACGATGCTCAGGTGAGCTCCACTGGGACCAGAACTGGGGGGCAGAGGGCAGAGTGCTGGCTTTATCCCAGCACCCACACAAGAAAAGCTGGCCTAAAACTTCTGTTCACCCCTGGGAGGCTGGGGAACAGCCTGCCTGGGGCTCCATGGCTGTCCAGGAGTGGAGTGCCACTAAACACCATTTGCCAGCATTTCCATTTGTGAGTGAGGATTTGGCTAAGTCACAATGTTGCCCAGGCTGGCTTTGAACTTGTGACCCTCCTGCTTCAGCCTCCCCAGTGCTGCCATTACAAGTGTACACCACCACGCCCAGCCTGTCCACCTTTCTTGAGCAGGGCTCTGTGCTGGAGCCTGCTTTGTGACAATGTCCCACTACATAGCTCAGGGTGGCCTTCGGTGGCTTATGAACTGGGGAGGCTGAGGCAGGATGGTTGCTGAGTTTCATGTCAACCTGAGCTACCTCATTAGACCCCTCATGAGAGCATAGTAGCAAGGACAGTGACACACAGAGCCCTCGTCTTGCAGGGAGGGCTACAAGACCTTCTTTGACACACTGTACCAGCATGGCGTCCACTGTTCATCTTCTCTGCAGGTATCGGTGACATCCTGGAGAAAGTGATCTGGCAGCGGGGCACGCTGCACCCGAATATCCACATCCTGTACAACTACATGGACTTAGGGGATGACGTGAGTCCCTGCTTGGCTAGGCAGGCAGGGTGGGGACCCACGTGGCACTGTCTTCCCAGCTCCGCCTCTCCAGGAGGACCAGGGTGGTGGCCCAGGTCATCTCTGCTTGTGGTCGGTTGGTAATGGTCACTCTCTGAGGCCTCCTGCTGGGGTCCTGGTGTGTAAGCAGCCTGGCCCATCCCCGGTCCCCAAGAGCAGGCCATCACTACTGGGTGCGAACAGTGAACCAGCCTGTAACCCCAGGTATGCAGGAGGCTCAGGCAGGAGGATTGCCAAGTTCAAGGCCAGTCTGGGTAGTTAAGCAAGACCCAAAATAAAAAATAGACAGTGCTGAGGATGAGGCTCAGCAGAACTCTGCAAAAGTCATGCTAAGGTTATCTAGAAAAGCATGCCGAATCCGGCCACTGGGTGCCCACCTTGGCCTCCTGTGCAGTCAAGGCACTGTCTGAGCCATTTTGGGTCCTGTCCCTCTGTGGTGGACAATGCATGGCCAGTACCACATGGTCCTTGACCCCCACCCTGTTCCCAGCTCTCTACCCAGGGGCTCCTGCAGGGGTTCAAGGCCCCGCTCATTCACATCTTCAACAAGAACAGCGCTGTGGGCAGCAGCGCCAATTACTTCCGGCAGCTCCAGGGCAGAACCAACATCTTGCTGCTTGGGGACTCCCTGGGGGACCGCAGCATGGCTGACGGGGTTCCTGGGGTGCAGGACATCCTCAAGGTCGGCTTCCTCAACGACAAGGTGAGTGTGGCTGGGCGGAGCCTGAGGGCCTGCACCAGAGTGCTGGGTACAGCCAGGGGCACCAGCCAGATTCAGGCCACAGGTGACCTTGTGGAGGACCAGGGCGATGGCCAGTTACCCCACTGGCACAGACTCGGGGGTGCTAGCGCTCCTGCAGGTACCAAGCAAAGTCCAGATGACGTCCGTCTTGGGGGCTGGGGTTCCTGCTGTAGCCTTCAGGCTCTGTCTGAGGGTCGGTTGTGGCAGCCCTTGCCTGCTGCCTGCTGGCTGTGTCTCACAGCTGGACCCTGTAGCCCTTAGGCAGGCAGTGGAGTCAGGTGACCCACCATCCCCAGGCCAGGGTGGGCACCCTGGGCACTGTGTTCCTTGCCTGCAGGTGGAGCAGCAGCGGGAGCGCTACCTGGAGGCCTATGATGCTGTGCTGGAGAGTGACGAGATGCTGGATGTGGTCAACGGGCTGCTGCAGCACATCCTGTGCCCAGGGGGCCACGAGGACACGCCTGAGCAGGTGTACCACGGCGCCCAAGCACATCTGCCTCCCCTCCCTCTCCCTCCGTGTCTCCTGCCCAAGACCCATGTGGGGCGACTAGTGGAGGCTTTTGTAAAAAAGCCGCATTTCAGCCCAATAGAAGGGCACACAGCTGTGAGTTAAAACACGCTGCCCTAGAAAAAAATAAAAGCTGTGCCGTCCGGTGGCCCTGGAACCTTGGAGGGGCCTCGGTTCCTTGGAACAGAGTTTGTGAACCCAGGAATGTGTGCTGTGGTTGGGGGGGGTCCAAACCAGAAAGGGGCGACTGCCTGTCAATGACACAGCCAAGCCAGGCATCCGCCGGGAAAGGTCTGGTTTGGGGGCCAGGTCTGTGAGCCCCATCAGGGACCTGAGAGGCCCCGCCCTCCTCCTCCTGTGTCCTGGCCAGGGCCACTAACACATGACCAAAGGCCACAAAGGATCCAGGGGCCCAGAGGAGGTAAAAGAGTGATCACAAAGGGGTGGCCTACATCCTGGATCTGGACCACGGTCCCTGCCCTCCCTTGGCTTGGAGACCCTGATTCTCTGCCCAGTGCCACCATTTTAGAAACACAGCCCCCAAGAGAGGGTCCTCACACCTGCTCTGGAGGCAGCGGGCTGGAGGAAGTTAGGTCCCAGGGGTGGGAAGGGGAGGGAGACCCCAGCCCCTGAATGCCTGTGGGTGCCTAGACCCTTGCCGATTGTTTCCTGTCATCCTGGGATGGGCCCAGGGTCTGCAGCACCGTAGGCCAGTACTGTGCCCCAGGAACCATGGCTTTCATTCGGAGACTGGGTCTCACTAAGTTTTCCAGGCTGGCCGTGAGCTTGTGATCCTCCTGCCTCAGCCTCTCGTGGCCACGATGTTGAGCAGGTGGCTGGTTCAGGGGCACCTCCGAGAGCACCAATGCCGGGGCTGGAGCTAGTGAGGAGTGGTTCTGACCTCAGGGTTCTCCTCACATCCACTGCTTTGGTCCAAGCGGTTCTGTTGGGCTTCGGGCAGGGTCACCACCTGAAGCTGGGTGTGAGGCCACTCCAAGTCTCTAGGAACCTGGGTGCCGCGGGTAGGGAGTTCCGACTTCCTGTGTCGGCAGTCATGGCTCTCAAGAGCCTGTGTGCAGCTGGGGGCAGGTGGCGCACACCTCTAATCCCAGCACTCTGGGAGGCTGAGGCAAGAGGGTTGTAAATTAGAGATCAGCCTGGGCTACCTGGCAAGATCTTGTCTCCAAAACAAAACAAAAAAAAAGTGCTGCATGTTCACTTTCTGTCACTGTAACAAAGGACAGGAGACAATCAGTTTAAGGGGAGGAAAGGTTTTATTTTTGTGTGTGTGCCAGGGTTTGAACCCATGACAGTGCGCTTGACAGGCAAGTGCTTATACCTGCTGAGCTAAATCCCTAGCCCCAAAAGGACAAAAGGTTTATTCTGGCTTGGTTTTGGTGGTTCTGAGTGAGGAAGCTGGTTCCCCCATGGCAGCTGTGAGAAAAAGGGAGAGACCAGGTCCCAGGATCTCTGGGACCCCAGTGCCCTGACCCTCCCCAGTCCCCTCTCAGTAACCACACACCAAGGACTGAGCCTCACCCCCCAGCTCTCAAGGTGGGGCGTCTGGAGCAGACACAGCTTGAACCTGGACTGGGGCTATAGGCAGCTGGGCGCTTGGTTCCATCCCAGTGCTGCCCATGGTCGTGGCAGAGTCCAGGCAGGTGTCGGGGCAAGTGCCCTGATCCCGAGACACTGGGGCTCTGATCCCTGTCCTTTGGCAGAGGCAAAAGAGCTGCTGACACCCAGTGACCAGGAGCAGCCCAGGGACATGTAATTGCTGTGTGGCTTCTTCAGTCCCTGAACTTCCTACTTGGGGTTAGGACTGTCTTTCCTGGTCATCAGGACAGTGAGGGCACAGGGCCGCCTGTCCATGCCACACCTGCAGGCCCCATTCTTTGGTCACTGCCCTCAGCAGCCTGGGATAGGGCTCTGTCTGGAGTGGAGGAGGCTCCAGCATCGGCCTGGTTTGTCTCCGATTTCTGCCCCAATTTTTGGGTCAGAAGAGCTGCGGATGGGGCTGAGGGTTTAGCTCAGTGGTACAAGTGCCTGCCTGGCAAGTGCGAGGTTGTGAGTTTGGTCTCCAGTACAAAAAAGTACTTCGGAGGGCTGGGGATTTAGCTCAGCGACATAAGCACCTGCCTTGCAAGCAGGCGGTCGTGAGTTTGATCCCTGGTACCTATAAAAATGAAAAAGACAAAAAAAGAAGAAGAAAAAAAAAAAAAAAAAAAAGTACTGCGGCCCATGCCTGTCCCGCCAGCACTCTAGAAAGCTGAGGCAGGAGGGGTTTTTTTGTTGTTGTTGTTGGCTTTTTTCTTTTAGTGTATTTGAAGCAGGGTTTCACTGCAGTTTCAGGCTGGCCCTGAACTCACTTTGTAGCTTAGGCTTGCCTGGAACTTGCAGCAGTCCTCCTGCTTCAGCCTCTTGAGTGCTGGGATGACAGGTATGTGCCACCATGCCCAGTTAGGATAATCTTAAATTTGAGCCTGGTGTGGGCAACTGAGTAAGACCCTGTACAACATAAAACATAAAGGACCAGGGATGCCCCGGCCCTGGGTTCGGTTTCTGGCACTCCCCACGTCTGCTCCCCAGAGACCACCTTAGGAGACCTGTGGCCGAGCCTTTTATTTGTCACGGGGAGGGAGTGGACAGTCAGCCCCCGAGTGTGCAGAGCTGGTGGAGGTTTGTCCCTGCCCCGAGGCCGGCGTGCCAGCTGTGTCTGCCGCACAGGCGCCTTTCTGGGCTCCTGCAGGTGACAGTCTGGCTGAGAGGGGAGGATGAGAGGTGCGGGTCCCAGCCTGGCCTGTGCCCTGGAGGAGGGGAGAAGCGAGGGGCTGGCTCGAGCCCAGCAACCCCTTCCCAGGAGCCAGGTCCCGGGCGCTGTAATGGGACAGGAATGAATGGGGTGACCCACAAAAACACAGTGTGGCACGCAAGACGGCCAGCCCCCCATAGCCACCCCGTGGGCTGTAACCCTGCGACTTGGGGCCAGGGCTCATGCTGCGCTGTGACCAGGCCCCCAATTCGCCCCCCTCCGGGTCCCTCGCAGAGGGGCGCTGCAGCAGGACAGTCCCGCTGCCGCCGTCCCCCCCGGCCTCAGAGCTCCTCGTGGACGCGCTCCTCGTCCTCCTCCGACTTCAGCTTGAGCTCCGCGGCCGTGATACTGCCGTCCTGGTCGCGGTCCTGGTTCCGGAACATGTCCCCGATGGTCTTCTCGGGGTCCTGCCCGGGCAGCAGGCGGCCCTTGCCCTCCTGCACCTGAGTCTTGATGAAGACGGAGAACTGCGGAGGGGAAAGGTGTGGGTGAGGGCTAGAGGGGCCACCCTGGGGCGCAGGGTCTCGGGGAGGCCAGCGAAGAAGGGCGTTCTTTCCCAAACCGATAGGGAGAGGCCTCCCGGGCGAGGCTCTAAAGATGAAAGGCGTGGTCACGGGCGTGGCACGGGGAGGGCGTGGCCTAGTGAGGCGCACAGGGAAGGAATGGATTGGACTGGGGGTGTGGCCTGTGGAAGAGGCTGGAGGGCCGTGTTCCAGGGCTTTGAGGGCGTGGCCTTGTCAGAGGGCACCGTCCTGGCCTGGGCTGTGGCAATCGGACGGGAACAGGGCTGTACACAGGAAGCACCAGCAGGCTGGTGGCTGAATGGGTGCGTGGGCGGCTGACAAGGATGGTGGACACTGATCCGTTGCCCGCCATGAGACCTCGCGCTGGCCGCCTGGCCTGGCGGTGGCTGAGCTCCTGACCCACCTCCTCTGGCGGGACCTCTCCATCCTTGTTGAGGTCCATGTCTTCAAACAGGCTGGCAGGAGGGTCCTCGTGCCACACGAACAGGTAGCCGTCAGGCAGCCCGTCCTCCCGGGACAGCAGCTCCACCTCGAACTGCAACACGGCACTGCCGGGCACCCCGCGGGCTAGGGGTAGGGGGGCATCAATGAGGCCGCTGGAGCCCAGCCTGTGTGAGGGCCTCAGTCTCCCTCCTGGGACATGGGGTGTTTACATAACCGTGCAGAAGGCTTCCCTGCCTCCCCCACCCACAGTCAGGGCCCACGGCCCGCGCGCCTCTCACCTCCGCTCTCACCGTGCGCCAGGTGCGGGGGCACCACCAGCCGCCGCCGCTCCCCCACACACATGCCCTGCAGTCCCCTGTCCAGCCCCTCGATCACCTTGTTGGCCCCCAGCGTGGCCTCCTGGGGGGCCCCGTAGTCGTGGCTGGGGGAGGGTAGGTGCCCTGCTCAGTTAGGGCCCAAGACACGCCCACAATTCCAGAGCCATCCTCCCGCAGCCCAGCACCCCGCAGAGGCCCCAGGGTGTAGACTTGGGGTCCCTGCCTCCTGTCCCTGCCCCTGCAGGGCTCCTGGCCCATCCTGCTGTCTCCTCCTCCCTTCCAGGCAGAGGAAGGAATCTCGTGCCGCCCACTGGGGGAGGCCTGACAGGGGACCCCGACCCACGAGGAGAACAGCCTGGTGCCGTCCATCAGCGAGCAGTTGTAGTGGTAGCGGATGAAGTCCCCGAGCTTGGAGGTCTCGTTGCAGGGCTCCGCAGGTCGGGACAGGGTCTCGATCCCCACGGAGTCCGTGGGGTTGTGGAAGTCAATGACATGCACGTGGAAGACCAGCACCGCTGAGCCGGGGATCTTGTTTCCTGAGGCCAGGCGGGGAGGGGTCAGTTAGTTGTCTCTGGGGTGACATACACCCAACCCCTTCTACCCTCACCCTGGGGGACCTGAGTAAGAACAAGGTGCTTGCAGTGTCCTGGGGTATTTTGTAAACCCCAAGGACTGAGCTGGCTGACCAGAAGGGCTCTCAAATCCAGGCCTGCAAGCCTGCAAGCCCAGCACTCAGGAGGCTGAGGCAGGAGGACTGCCAGGCACTGAAGGTTAACCTGGGCTACGTGAGTTCAAGACCAGCCTGAATTGCGTTGCTGAGACCCTGTCTCAATTTTATTTTGTTTTATTTATTTTGAGACAGGGTCTTGGTATGCCATTCAGGGTGGCCTTGAACTCAGTAGCCCAGGCCAGTCTCAAGCTCACACTGACTCTCCTGCCTCAACCTCTGGAGTACTGGGACCACAGGCGTGCACCACCATGCCAGGCTTAATTTTTTTGCTCTTTTTTGTTTATTAGTTTGTTTGGGATCCTATTTCAATTTTAAAGAAAGAAACCCAGCCCTCTCTGCTCCAGGGCTGTAGGAGGTCTACCAGCCACTACCCCTGCTTGTCTGCAGGGGCAGGCTGGTGGGTAGGTGGGGGTTGTGGGGGGGGCGGGGGTCAGGGGATCCAGGGCGCCCTACCGGTGCCGTTCTCCCCGTAGGCCAGATGTGGGGGCACGGTAATCCTGCGGCGCTCGCCCATGCACGCACCCTGCAGGCCCTGGTCCATGCCGGGGATGATGTACCCTTGCCCGATGTAGGTGTCGTAGGTCTGGTTTCGAGAGTAGCTGTGACAGAAGGCGGAGCCCGCGAGGAGTCAGCAGCCCCCCCCCCCCCCCACCCAGGCCCAGAGGAAGCGGCCCACCCTCCCCAAGCGCTCGGGACCTGGAGTCGAAGGGGGTACCGTCCATCAGGGAGCCGTTGTAGTGATACCGCATGAAGTCCCCAGAGGCCGCCTTCCGCTCGCAGTCGGCAGGGACCTCCAGCGTGTCCACCTGGGCCGTGTCCTTGGGGTTGTGGACATCCACCAGCAGGACTTGGAAGACCAAGGAAGCCTGTGGGGGGATTACAGTCCCTGGGGCGGGGACAGATCTTGAGTCAAACCAGCAGGGAGCAAACCAAGGCTCAGAAAAGCTTCCCACAGTCTTAGCTCTGGTGCCTTCTAGAGGTCAGAGGGGTCCCCGGCCACCACCAAGTGAACACAGCCTGTCAGAGTCAGAATAAAGCTGCCCTGCTTTCGGAGGCAATCATCTAGGGCTGCATTTCACCTCTACTTGCCTCCTTGGCCGGCAGGAAGCCCTTTCGCAGTGTGCAACCGTGCCCTACCCGCCCTTACCGTAGCCTTTCTCGCCATATGCCAAGAACGGAGGGATGGTGACTCTCCTCCTCTCTCCAGGACACATGCCCTGCAGCCCCTGGTCCATGCCCTTGATGAGCCAGCCAGAGCCCACGTAGGTGTCATAGGTGCCGCCCCGACTGTAGCTGCAGAGACAGAGGAGCGATGCTGCGGGCCCCTCCTCCTCCCCTGCCACCTCCCCGCACCGCGCCTGGGCCCCCCCACCCCCCGCACCCGACCCTACCTGCTGTCGAAGGGCGCCCCGTTGAGCAGGGTGCCATTGTAGTGGTAGCGCACGAAGTCGCCGTCCTGCACCATGCGCAGGCAGAGCGGCGGCCGCAGGAGGACGCTCACCTGCACCGTGTCCGCCTGGTTCCACACATCCAGCAGCACCACGTCGAAGTACAGGGTGGCGTCGGGGGGGATGAGCCCCGCTGGGGGGGAGGGGCCAGAGGTCTGGCCCGTCCCCCTTAACCCCGGCCCTCCTCTTCCCTGCCCCCCCACGCATCTCACCCACGCCGATGCTGCCGTAGCCCAGGTGCGGGGGCACCACCAGGCGCCGCCGCTCGTTCACGCACATGCCCATGAGCCCGCGGTCCATGCCGGTGATCAGCCGCCCCACGCCCACTACGATGGCCACCAGGCTGCTGCGGTCGTAGCTAAGGACAGAGGGGACCGGGTAGCTGGGAGACCCAGGGCCGAGGTGCGCTCCCCTCAGCCGTGGGTCACGCTGCACATAAGCGCACTGTGCCTCCTGGAGCGCGGCTGGCCATGCTGTCCCCCCACCTCGCGACACCTCGGGAGCCCGGGCTTTGCTGGGGTGCAGGTGGGATGGGTGGCGGATGGACGTTGATTGTGGTTACCGAAACGCACAAGCGGGCCGAGCAGCAAAATTTACTGAATTCCTACCACATCCGGAGTCAATGCTTGGCACTTTACCCCTGCACCTTTTAAAAATCTTATCTGTTTCCAGTACCTGGGGTTGGAACCCTGGGCGTTTACACTGAGCTGCAGCCCAAGGCCTTTTTTGGGCTGGGCTCAAATTTGATATTCTCCTGCCTCGGGTGCACACCCGGCTCACTCCTTACCTGAGTGAAGCCTCACAGCCAGTTTATTGTTTGGAGGAGACCAGAAACCTGAAGTTGGCCTTCCCCACTCACATGGCTCCATGTCATCTGTGAGGTCCAGGGCCCAGATGTTGGCTGTGGCCCCGTGAATTCCTCAAGGGAAGAGGAGAAAGCAGAGCCGGCCAAGGGTGAGCCTGGGGCTGGGGTCAGTCTCCACCCAAGAGGCCCTGTTAGTTGCCACTGCTTTTGTCTGTTTTTGGTTGTCTGTTTTGAAGTTTTCAGAAATAAAGGGAGGATGCAGGCTTTTATTTAGATCACAGGGGACCACAGGCCAGATTTGGTGATGGATGATTTCCAGCACTCAGGAGGTTGAGGCAGGAGGATGGAAAATTCAAGGCCAGCCTGGGCTCTAGAGTGAGACTTGGCTCAAAAGCAAAACAAAACAATGAATGGGAGAGGTGAAGAAAGTTTTCAGCCAGGTGGATAGTGCATGCCTATAATCCCAGCACCTGGGAGGCTGAGGCAGGAGGATCACAGATTCAAGCCCAGCCTGGGCACTTTAGCAACTTAGTGGACTAGAAAGAGGGTGGGGGGGATGTCCCAAGTCAACTCGTAAGTGCTGGGCCCTAGCTGCTTTGTGCTCCAGGGTCCCCAGTAGGGAAGCTGCCCCCACCCAACAATGGAGGGCTCTGGACTGTGTTCTCAGCTGATTTATGTCAGTGCTGTGACATCTGGGCAGACAGCTGTCCCCAGCCAAGGCTACCCTGCCCCGAAGCCCTGGGACATCTCAATCTAGCCTGAGCAAGCCAACCCTGAAGCTCAGAACCTGCAGCCACTGTCCAGAGTGTGGCCTGGATTTGAACCCAGGGCCTTCACTCAGAGCTTTGTTTTTGGGTACCATGCCAGGCAGGCATTTATGCCGCTGAGCTGCATCCCTGGCTGCACTAAGATGCTCGCCCTCCACACTGCTGGCTCTGAAGCTTCACTTCCTAGGCCCGAGGGTCTTGGGGTGTCAGGGTCCGTGTGGGAAAGTCTGCCCCCCGGAAGGCACAGTCCCACCTAATCCTCACTGGCCACAGCCATCAGAGGCCAAGACTGGCAGGCCGGGCAGGTGGGGCTAAGGTGGGGGAGGTGTGCAGGGTCTCTGTGGTAGTCTGTGTGCCCATCTGACTGTGGGACATGTGGGCAGCCGGTGGGCAGTGGTGCCACAGTGCTCTGCTCACCCAGCTGCATCCTGCTGTCTGCTGAGTCCGCCTGGTGTGTCCACCCTTCCATACACAGCATCAGCCAGGCGCAGGATGGGGGCCAGGCAGGACCCAAGTACCCACAGGGCTCCGAATAAGGGCAGCAAGGGTGGAGTTGGGGCTTGGGAGTTGGGTCTGGAGGCCCCTCCCCCATGCTCTTTGTGGTCAGGGAGTCACAGAGTGAATGCTAGGATGTAGTGTACAAAGGGACAACAAACCGGGCATGATGAGGTATGCCCCCCCCCCCCCGCCATGATCCTAGCACTCTAGGAGGCTGAGGCAGGAGGATTGTAAGTTAGAGTACAGCCTAGAGCAATTTAGTGACCTAGCAACATAAGCAGAGTCAGGAATGGAGATCAATGCCCAGGCCCTGGGTTCCATGTCCAGTAACACCGAATGGGGGAGGGGCAGTAAGGGAAGGCCCTGACCAGAGTCGGCATCCAGGGTGCCCCTCCTTACCTGGAATCAAACTTCTTGCCATCCTCGAAAGTTCCGTTGTAGTGGTAGCGCACAAAGTCCCCCATCTGCACCTCACGGGGACAGGCCCTGGGGATGTGGTACCGCTCGATCACAACGTCTTCCAGGGGGCCTCCGGCTGGGCTGGCGCGGCCCAGCGTCCTCCCCATGGTGTGCAGGGCCAGCAGGGCCTGCAGCAGGGGCAACCGGCCAGGGAGTCCCGCGTGGAACATGGTGCCGGCGCGGACGGACAGAGCAGAGGCCGAAGCCGCGGCCTCCCCTTCCCGGGGATAGCTCCCCCCCTTCCTGTCTCCCACCTCCACCCTGGCCAGTCCACGTGGAAGGGGGGCTGGGGACACTGAGCTGGCCAGGCGGGCGGGGTGCAGGACTGGAGGGCGGGCAGAGTCCCAAGAATGCGCCGCAGGAACCCCGCCCCTCGGGTCCCCTAGGTCCCCAGTTCCCTGGGGCGGAGGCTGGGCCGAGAGGGAGGCGGGGAGGGAAAGATGAGAAGCCGGGCGGACACCAAAAAAAGTTAGCTCAGCGCCCTGTTCCGGACTCCTCCGGTCCTAGAGCCGGGCAGGGGCTTCGGTGGCTTCCGCTGACCCCAAATCCAGGCCCCCTGAGGGTGAGGCCAGGCCGCGTTTCCGCGCCCCGCCCCGCCCCACAGTGCCTGGTCGCTGGGAGATGGTTTCGGGGGTCGTGGGTCCTGGGGATCGTGGGTGGCGGGGGTTTTGAGGGGTGCGCCTCTCGGGCCGCGTGGGGTACCAGGACGGGGAGGGGGGACAGCCCAGGTGGCCGGCATCCCGGGTCCGCCTCCCTCTGCACCCCCGTGCTGGGGGGCGCTGGCCATGGGGAGGGGTTTGGCGGGCTGTCGCGCGGACGTGCAGCGAGCCCCACGCGCTCTCCATCTACAGGGAGCACCCGCGATTGGGCGTCGGGGAGTCCGAGCCTCAGCCCGGGAGGGGGCGTGACCCGCGTGGAGCCTGGCGCTAGGACTCGGGGCGACGGTCCCCGGCCGCTAGAGATTGGGGAGCACTGGGAGAGCTCGAGGTAGGGGACCAAGGGAGCGGGCTCGTGTTCGTGCGCGGCCTCGTGCGCGGCCATGGCGGGCGAGGCGCGCGCAATGCTCAGCCTCTTGCTCCCGCTGCTGCTGCCCCCGCGGGGCGCGCGTGCGCAGTACGAGCAGTACAGCTTCCGCGGGTTCCCGCCCGCCGCGCTGGCGCCGCTCGCCTCCGCCTACGGCCGCGCGCTCGAGCTGTACGAGCGCGGCGCGTGGCGCGAGAGCGCGCAGGGGCTGGAGGCGGCGCTGCGGCTGCACCGCTTGCTGCGCGACAGCGAAGCCTTCTGCCACGCGCGCTGCGGCGGCCCCGGCGACCCTGGCGAGCCCGACGGCGACGAGCCCTGGGCGCAAGAGCTACGGCTCTTCGGCGCCGTCCTGCAGCGCGCCGCCTGCCTGCGCCGCTGTCAGAGCGAGCTGCCCGCCTTCCGCGTGCCCTACCCGCCGCGCCAGCTGCTGCGGGACTTCCAGAGCCGCCGGCCCTACCTGTACCTGCACTATGCGCTCTTCAAGGTGGGCGCCGCCGGGAGGGCGCGCGGGTCGGGCGCCCGGGGTGCGCACTGCGCCCCGCTGACCGCGCCCCCCCCCCGCTGTGCCCCCCCAGGACGATCGATTGGAGAAGGCAGTGGCCGCAGCATACACCTTCCTGCAGAAGAACCCGAAGCACGAACTGACCGCCAAGTACCTGGCCTACTACCGGAGCATGGTGGATGTCGACGATGAGTCCCTCACCGACCTGGAGGCCCAGCCCTACGAGGTGTGGAGCTCCCGGGGCTCAGTTCCTGCTTCCACCCCCAGGGTGTAGAGGAGGTGTTGGGACCCCCCTGACCTCCTTACCCCCCAACCCCCTGTCTAGGCCGTGTTTCTCCGAGCCGTGAAGCTCTACAACAGCGGCGATTTCCGCAGCAGCGCCGAGGACATGGAGCGGGCCCTGGCCGAGTACCTGGCCGTCTTTGCCCGGTGTTTGGCGGGCTGCGAGGGGGCCCAGGAGCAGGTGGAGTTCAAGGACTTCTACCCAGCCATAGCAGGTACAGGTCTCTGGTGGCCAGAAACACCCCGGTGTGAAGCAGCTGCGGAGAGCTGGAGTGGACAGGAGGCAGGGCTCAGGGGTGCTGGGGTGCAGGGCCTCCCAGAGGGAGCTAGGAGGGTGCCAGGCAGACCCCCCCGGAGTGAGAAATCCCACTAACCCGGACACTCAAACCTGCGCCCTGTCCTCGGCGCAGGGCTGCCTTCCCCCAGCATGCCCTCTACTTGGGATGAGGTTGCAGGGTGCCCAGTGTGTCACCCACACTGTTCTTGTGATGACCCCTGTACTTCCTAAGGCCAGGAGGTGGGCACAGAAGCTGGAGCTGGGGTCCAGTCTTCTCCTGCAGTGCCCCCAGCCCCATCCTGTCCCCCAGATCTCTTTGCAGAGTCCCTGCAGTGCAAGGTGGACTGTGAGGCCGATCTGACCCCCAATGTGGGTGGCTACTTCGTGGACAAGTTCGTGGCCACCATGTACCACTACCTCCAGTTTGCCTACTACAAGTGTGAGCTGGGGAGACGGCACAGGACCTCCCAGAGTCGGGATGCTGCCCCCACAGATAGAGGGGCAGGGGCAAGCTGTGTGGGAACTTGGGAGCCTCTTGCCAACAACTAAGTGCTGGCAGCTTACGGAGCCCTAACCACACTCAGCCCTCTCCCCACATCCCTGGCCCACTTTACAGATGGGGAAGCTGAGGCTGGTAGATGGCAAAGATCATGGCTGCTGAAAAGCCGAGCAGGAGGGACAGCTGGGGCTCAGGCACCAGGGTTCAGAGGCTGCAGCCGAAGTGGGGGACCACCAGGGGGGTGCCTGGCAGGACCCTTGAGAGACCCCCATGCTTCAGTGCCATCCTCCCCCAGCTGCGCTGGCCGGCACCAGCTCCGAACCCCTGGACCACAGTTTGTAAAATGAGGGCGGCGGGGAGTGGGGGATCAGCAAGCCACAGGGTGCCTGGCACTCACAGAGATGAGCAGTGTCGGCTGTTTGTGCTGCTGGGCGGTGACTGCTGGCCCCGAGGGCCCGTGGGGCGACTCCTCACTGTCTCCTTGCCCGCAGTGAATGACATGCGCCAGGCCGCCCGCAGTGCTGCCAGCTACATGCTCTTTGACCCTGGGGACAGCATCATGCAGCAGAACCTGGTGTTCTACCGCTTCCACCGAGCGCGCTGGGGACTGGAGGACCAAGACTTCCTGCCCCGGGAGGTGGGTGCCACCTCTGGGCTTCAGGGCAGGGGAGGAGTACCACCCCAGGGGGTTTAGGGACCAGCTCTGCAGCTGTGTGGCGGGGGCGTGATCACTGGGGAGTATGTGTCACTGAGTGCCCTAGCCTGTTTCCTTGAGGATGGCGGCCATTGCCGGTGGGTCCTGGCACTCTGTCTCCCAGAACCCCGATGTTGGAATCCTCCTCAGCCCAGAGCTCCTGTGGCTCTAACTGTATGACTGGCTTGAGAGCTGCCACCTCGGCCTGGTCCCCGAGCAGTGAAGGGCATCGGGGCCAGGGCACAGGTCCCCTCGATGTCCTCCCTGTCTTCTTGACCACGGGACCTGACCTGCTCACCATACCCTCCCGCCCCCAGGAGGCCGCACTCTACCACAACCAGACAGCCGAGCTGCGGCAGCTGCTGGAGTACACGCACACACACCTGCAGGCTGATGACGAGGTCAGCGTCCCCGGCCTCTGCCCTGCTCACCTTGGGGTTCCCAGGGCCCTGGTTTGAGGCCCTCCTGTCTCCAGCATCCTCTGAGGCTCAGTGGCAGGGGCCTAGGCTGCCTGTCCCAGTCCTCATCCATAGCAGGACCCAGGCCAGGAGAGCCCCCAGCCCTGGTGTGCGGTGTCAACTCTGGCCCTCTCGGCCACTTGGCTCCGGGCTGGGGCAGCCCTACTCCACCTCACCCCAGCCCCCAGCATCTGAGGGTGAATGAGCTGATGATGACAGGCAGGCACGTGTGGCCCCAGGCGGGGATTCTGGTCACACCAGACCCCACAGCTTAGCTCTTGGTGGCCTCAGGGGACTCTTAGGTAACATCTCCACTTCTCTATCCACCCAAAGGGCTATAGTGCCCAGCTCATTTTGGGCTGGTGAGAGATAAGATCAAGATTATAAAGGACATGGGGCCGTGGTGCTACATGCCTGTCATCCCAGCATGGGGGGAGGGAGGGGAGGCCGAGACAGGAGGATACAGGTTTAATCCCAACCTGGACAATTTAGCAACTGGACTCAGGTCTGGTTCTGGAGAGCTCAATAGGAGCTGTCCAGGCTGGGGCAGCATAGAGTGCTTGTGGCCAGGGCCGGTGCTGACAGTCACAGGGCCAGACGCCCACATCATTCTCCAGTTTGAGTTGACCATGGAGGCCACTTTGGGGACCGGGATGGAGCAGGGGTGCCTCGGCTTTAGGGGAGCCAGGCTGGACTTGGTCCTGCAGCAACTCAGTTTCACCCCAACCTGGAACCTTCTAGATGGAGCTGCAGGAAGCAGAGCCACCAATTGAGCCCGAGCGGCCCCCATCGGATGCAGAGTTTGAGGGTCCTGGGGACTACGAGGAAGGGCTCTATGCGGACTGGTGGCAGGAGCCAGATGCCAAAGGGGATGACGCCGAGGCTGGTGTGTGCTGGGACCTTCTGCTGGGGGTTTTTGGGCTCTCAGCAGCCTGGTCCTAGGGAGACCTGTCCCCACCTCCTCCGGCAGGGACATTACCTGTGCTTCTGCTGGGCAGGCTGGGCTCAACCTGCACCTTCCTCCCCCTTTCAGAGCTGGAGCCTGACCTGGCATGAGGAATCCCCCGGGGGGGTCACCACACCCCTTGAAAGCTCAGGAAGCCCAAGTGGCAGCCAGGACTATTTATGAAAACCTGACCGTGGACACAGCTGGCCTGTCTCCAGTTGCAGAGCGCACTGCTGCCTCCTGTGTCCAGAGCACAGGACCTCCCTGGGCCATGGGCAGGGGCCAATGGGACCAGGTCCTCCTGCTTCCTAGAAGACCTCCTGCAGCAGTCCCCGCCCGAGTGGCAAAGGGACACCGGGGCTGAGCAGCGCAGGAGCAGGCGTGCGGGAATTCCGTGTAGACATGGGTGCTCAATAAACGCTCACTGTGGGGCAAAGGGGAGCGTCTGGAGTCCAGGCCCGGCGGGGAATGGATGGGACTGGACGGCCGGGCTGGGAGCGGTGCGATCTCGGACCGGCCAGCAGAGGGCGCAGTGTCCCGGAGAAGGCACGGGCCCAGACTCCAGGGCGGGTTCCGGTTCCTCCATGGGCACTGCACCCCTTGGGGCCGTTAGGGTGCGATCGGGTGCCGGCAGTTCCCGAGGACCCCGCGCCCCCACTGGACCTCTCCTGTGCCGGGGACCCGATGCCCTCGTCTGCCGCTCTGCTGACAGCGCTCCGCGCCCGGGTGAGGCGGCCCTGCGCACCCCGGTCCCCCAAGGCGACCCGGCCTAGATGCGCTGCCCTAGAGCTCCAGCCCTGGGGTCCGGCGCCGGGCGTGGGTCCGAAAGTGCCCGTGGGCGGCGCGCAGAGCCCCGGGCGCCCACGTGTGGCGGGCGTGCGGGACTGCGGATGCCCGTGCCGGCCTCGCTGGGGTCATAGAGGGCGCGCCCGGGGTGCTGGGGTGCACTTCACGCGGCGGGTTGAACACGCAGTTGAACATCCAGCAGGGGGAACCGCGCAGGGCAGGCACCGCGCCCTCGGGGCTCGCACCCCGCGGGACCAGCTAAAGTCACGGGGATCAGGGATTAGGGCCAGGAGGCGCAGGGCCGGGGGCGGCGCGAGTGCGCGCCAGCTGGGTGCACTGTGCGCGTGCCCGTGTATGCTGGCTTCCCCGCTCCCAGCTCCCTTTTCTCTGGGAGCCACTGGCTCCTCCCTGCTCTCCTGGTGCCAGCGTCGCCCTTCCAGGTGGCTGGCAGAACCGGTGGGGCTGAGTCCCCAGCCCCACCGCCTCAGCCTCCGCCTGAGCCCCGCAGCGGGCTCCCACTGCTCAGGCGCAGGCTAGGGCGGCTGATACGGGACACCTGTCTGTGCCCTGGGCCCACAGTGTCACCTCCACTCCCCACTTGCGTGTTTTTAAAATGTTTCCTTTTTTTTTTTTTTTTTTTTTTTGAGACAGCGCCCAGAGCTCTCGACTTTTATTTTCTTCAGCTCTCTCCGCTCCAGGCTGGAAGCAACTTGTCTAGGGTTCCCTGGAGGAACGCGGGGGGTGGGGTGGGGACTAAAGCAGCCAGGAGAAGTAAGGAGGGGAGGCCCCAGGCTCTGGAGTTGGTGTCCCTTGTGGAGATAAAGCCCTTTGACCTTCACTGTCACCTGACCTTAGGGGCCTAGGACGGAAGTGTTGGGGCCACTTAGGATAGCAACTTCCACCTGTGGCTCTTGTCTATCATTCAAGGATTGGAGGCTGAGGCAGGAGGATCCCTGTGAGCTCAAGGCCAGCCTGAGCTACACGGGGAGACCTTGTTCCACCCCCCAAAAAAGACTGTCCAGCTCACACCAGGCCAGAGTTTCACCGAATGGGGTCCTGACAGAGCCAAAGCCCAGGCCCCCCTAGTCCCCTATTTTGTCGTCTCCTTCCGGCCTCCTTCTATGCCTTCTCCAGGACAGCTCTGATGGACATCCTGGTGCACTATGGGGACACTGACTCCGGAAAGCCTGAGTTGGCATTCGGGGCTGTTGTGACCCTGCCCCATTCTGGCCTCGACAGGTCCCAAATGACATGGGGTTAGACAGGAGTACAATTGCCCCAGCCTAGACCCCAGGCCTCACCAGGGATGCATCACCCCTAATCACCTGCTAACCCCAGCCCTGACCAGCACAGCTTGGTGCCTGAATGGCATCTCCTCTGCCCCTGAATGCCAGTGATACAGGGGGGAAACTGAGGGAGGATGTGTTTGTTGACTGACCCCTCCTCCCCAAAGGCATACTTGACTTTTGACCCCTGGAAGAACTCACTGTCTTAGATCATTAGGTCCAGGGCAAAGTGACAGTGTCCACTGTGGGTCACCTGTCCCAGTTTTCTGCTCAGAAGAAGAGCAAGAGCTTGTGCTCCAGGCAGAGGAAGAGGCCTGAGGGGCCTGGGAGTCCCCTTGGCCTTCCTGGAGGACGGGCCTGGGAGGGCCGGAATTGAACCTGCTTAGGTGGGGAATCAGGCAGGCCTTTCTCCCTGGCCTTGGAGGGTGTGGAGGAGCAGGAGTCACTTGAGGGACCCACAGCCAGAGGATTCTTTATTGCTACCTCAGCCTAAGCTGCACCCGGTCCTGCAGAGTCATCAGATTGCCAGGTTGGGTAGGAACCTGGGATGCTCCTGCCTCAGCCTCCTAGAGTGCTGGCATCACAGAAGTGTCCTGCCACACCTTGCTCTCCTTTGAATTTTTTGCCTTTGAATGAAGTTATATACTGTCACAGAACTGGTAGGACTGAAGCCAGAAAATACCTGTCCTGTGACCTGGGCCTTCAGCAGGGTTATTGGATAACCCTTTTATTCTTTTTACACTGCTATCCTCAAGAATGGAAAGTCCGGGGCTGGGGATTTAGCTCAGTGGCATAAGCGCCTGCCTTGCAAGCAGGCAGTCATGAGTTCGATCCCCGGTATGATAAAAAGGAAAAAGACAAAAAAAAAAAAAAAAGGAATGGAAAGTCCCTGGCCTTGGAGCCTGTCCGGCTTCCCCCCACTGCCAACTTTGGGTTCCTTGCCAAGGGACCCCCCCCCCAGCCTGGTCCCAGCCTCCCCTCCCCCACTGCCCGTCCACCTCTGATGGAGCCATAAATTACCCATGAGCTGTAAGTTGGCTGCTGCCTCCAGGAGACTGAAGTGCTGATGAAATATTCAAGAATCTCAGCTCTCAGATTCCCTCGGGCCTGGGCGGACTAGGCTGGGTCCCTGTGCTCCCCAAGTTCCCACTAAGGTGGGGATGTGGGAGATGGGGGAGGGGCAGGGCGGATACTCCCTCCCTCCCATTCACTAGGGTGGGGGCCAGGGGCTTGGAGGACACAAGCCCCAAGCCCCGCAGCCCTGGTGCAGTCCCCGAGGAGGGGTGCTGGGCCCTGGCCACCCAATGCCTGAACCCACCCTAGGGGTTCAAGTCTCCGATAAGCTAGGAGGTCACTTTGGTGGCCTCAGAGAAAAGTCCCTGTCCTGGCTGGCCCCAGCCTCGGTTTCCCACCGTGTGCAAGGCAGAGAGAATCTGCTGTCCATGCGTGCACGGGTACATGCGTGTGCCAGCCTGTGTGCCACCTGTGGGAAGCAGGTTCTGTCTGGGCAAGCAGCTGGTCGGGGAGGGTGGAGGGCGGGGTGGCCCAGCTGCTGGGCCAGGTGGGGCCCTTGCTGTGTCAGCCTGCACTGGAGTTGGAGTCACCTGGCCACCACAGGAGCCAGGTGACTCAAGGTGGAGGTCTTACTCTCTGGCCCAGCAAAGGCTCAACAAAACCACTCGGGGTGGAGGAGAGGATGGGACAGGAAGGAGGACAGGCTGCTTACTGGTGGACCCAGCTCAGAAAACAATGCTCCTATAAAAGCACACCTGTCATCCCGGCACTTGAGAGGCTGAGGCAGGAGGATCCCCAGGAGTTCAAGACTAGCCTGGGTTACACAATGAGACCTTGTTTGAAAGGCAGAAAGAAATAAAAGCAATAAATAAAAGGAATAAAGAAATAAAAGGAAAGAAGGAAGGAAGGAAGGAAAGAAAGCAAAAAGGAAGAAGACCATACTCCAGATGGTGCCAGCCTGTGCTGGGCTCCCCAAGTCCTGGGCCTGTGCCCCAGGCCCTGTGGCAGGCATGCTGTGCTCCACAGGAGCCCTGTCCCCGCCCCCTGTGGCGTCTGCCTGCACTATTCCTGGCCTCCTATCTCTGTTTTCTGGTCGCTGTTTCCCTCCTGGCATTCCAGCCCTGCCCACACGCTGCAGGGCATGGTGTCGCCGGGCAATGGCAGGGCGGCAGAGCTGCCACCTCTGTAATTAGGCGCCCTCCCTGGTTGGCACCCACCTCAGCCTCTGGCCTCTGGCCCTGGACAAAGGGCAGCAAACAAGGTCGCCCCACCCTGACTCCCTCCCCTCCAGCTACTCAGGTTCTGCCCAGCCACTGTCCTCCTGGACCAGGAGACGCGGACAGCAGGGTGGGACAGGGGACGCTGGGAGGCCCTGCACTGGACCTACAGGAGTCCCAAAGAGAGTCACCCAGCTATGATGTCAGGGCTGCTGCAGGGCCCAGTGGGCGTTGCCTGCCCATTCCCTCCAGGCTCCCTTGCACCGAAGGTGCCCAGTGCACACACAGCCCAGTCCGCCTGGCAGGAAGTGACCCTCGGCCACCCCTAAGCTGCCCTCACCTCCTCTGGCCTAAGTGTGCCCAAACCACCCTGTGCTTCCAGGAGGCCTAAATCCAGGTTAGGGTGGGCGAGGGTTCCTAGGCCTCCCAGTCCTGGTCCCCATGGGGTCCAGAAGGTTCCTTCCCTAGGCGGTGTGGAGGGTCAGAACCCAGGAAGACCAGGGCAGGAGCCTTTTAGAAGACAGGGCCTCGTACAGAGGCATCTGTCCCAGGCCTCAGGTGCCTCTCCCATGCTTTGTGGTGCTGGTGGCTGAAGGCAGGGCCCTCACACTGAGCTCATTGTGACATTTGTTTTATTTTGGGACAGGGTCTAAGCCTCCCACACTGGGCTGAAACTTGTGATCCTCCTGCTTCAGCCTCGGAGAGTGCTGGGATGACAGGTGTTGGCCACCTGCTTTGGGGAACTTCTCAAGTTTTTGCTGGGCCTTTAATTTGACTTCTGCTGGTTCTCCTTGTCACTGCTGCAAAGTCAAAGGACAAGCCCCTGGGTGTCACCAGTCTGCAGTATGGCCAGCTGTCCTCCCCAGAAGTGGCCATGCCTAAGGCTGCCTGAGGCATGGAATGTATGAGGAAGGCTGTGTGTGTGCGCATGCACACATATGCATATGTGCACGTGCATGTGCACATCAATTCCATGGGGCCAAATCCCATATGGGGGAAGGGCATCAGCCTAATGATTCACACACAGCAGATTCGCTTCCAACCCTGGCATGGAGAAGGACAGGTGTGACCCAGGTGGAGGAGGTGGCTGGCTCTTCTGGACACTGGCCAATTGTCACACACCTTCCCTTCACATTGTGCAGCCCATCCTGGGCCACCTCCTGGCCAGTCCCTCTGGTGGGGCAGCTGGGAAATTGGTCACTAGAATCTTTCTCTGCCTCTGAGGCCCCAGGCAACTGCAAGGCTGAGTGACCTCTGTGTGTTCTTGGTGGCCTGAGGACACTGTCCCTGAGGAAGAAAAATGAGATTCAAGTGTAGGGCTCTGAGCTGAGTTGATCTGAGGAGGAACTGACCGCCGCTGCACAGGGCAGCACGGGCCTTCTCTGATGGGAGGTGGACAGCTTCCTTTTCTGGAGATTGGGCACTCAGAGGCATCCTTGCCTTTAAAGGCTTGCAGGCAGGGGACTGGGCAAGGTGGCCTGTGGCCTTTCCCTCAAGGCCCAGCCATGTGTGTCCCTGGCCCCATGAGGAGCTCAGAGGGTGACTGGAGGAGAGAGAGCTCTTTCTGCCTCTCACCTGCACCCACAGACACAGCTGCCACTGGGTGCTAGGCTGGGGCACGGCAGGCACGGAGACGTTGATCTGAGGGTAGAGACAGTGCTGCTCTCTTGGTGGAGGCCACTCAGAGTCTCCACCCTGGCCCAGCCCGGAGACTGGCTTTGGAGCTAGCGTGCTGGAACATGTTCTCATGAGGACCTGTCTGGGGACATTCAAGGGAGACTCACAAGAGGGCTGATTCTGGAGCCTCATTTCTGTACCCATCCCACCTTGGCCCCCACCCTGGCTGTCACTGCTGCCCCTGCTGCTGAAATCAGGAAACTAGGGAGGAGTCAGGGGCTGGGAGGAACAGGGTACAGCCGGGTCAGAAGGCAGGAGGGGTGCAGGGCAAGAGGAAGCTGAACCCTGGCCATGGGGGCCCAGGAGGACAGCACACTTTGTCTGGCTTTAGCTGTGGGCTGTACATAGGCAGACAGCAAACAGGAGCTGGGCAAGGGGACGTGGGCCTGGTGTGGTGGCACATCACATGCCTGTGATCCCAGCCCTGGGGAGACTGAGGCAGGAGGATCGACGTGAGTTTAAGGCCAACTTGGGCTACAGAGGAAGACTCTGTTTCAAAAATTAAAACCAGAAAAAAAAAAATTAAGACCAGAAAGGATACCCAGGGAACCCGAGGAGATGGGAGTCGGAAGGAAACAGAGGGAGTGGCCTGCCAGCCTGGTGTTGCTGTAGCCCTTCAGAAGCACAACTTCAGGAGCACACAGGTCCAACCTACTGTTGATCTTTTTTATGCTGAGGAATGCAGTCCAGAGCATGGCCACGGTAACCACCACCTGGCACGGCACGCAGTCTTCCTCTGAGCTGTACAGCTCTTATTTACTTATTTATTTATAGGCAGGATCTTGCTGTGTGGTGCAGGCTGGCCTTGAGTTCACCATATAGTCCAGGCTCTGATCCTCCTGCCTTGACCTCCTTCTTGAACGCTGGGATCCCAGGCCTGCGCCACCATGACAGGCTATAAAGCTTTTTAAAGGAGAAGCCTTCTGTAAACAACCATTCCCCACACCCACACACAGCCTCTGGGAGCCCTGTGTAGATTCTCCCAGTGCTGAACGAATGGATCCCAGTGGGGCCCCTGGCTCCCTAGGCAGCCACCAGCCGGACCCAGGTCCCCACTGAACCAAGGTCTCCACCGCATAAAGGGACAGACTTTCCTGCCTACCCCTGCTGGATTGGGAAGCTCTTTCTGGTGTCTAACCAGGCCCTTTCACTGCGGAGGAACTGGTTATCTTGCTTCCTTTGTGCTCTCTTTTCTGTAGATCTGCTGCCTGATTTCTTCCCAAATCTGCTAAAGCCTCTGGACACCCACACTTTGTCCTTGGACCCAACAGCTGCTCCTCTGCCTCTGCCTGGAATGTGGATATCTTCCCTGCTCCTTCCTTGTGGCTTTGACCTTTTGGCCTGAGCTCTTCCTCCAGAAGGAATGCTGAGTTTGGTGGGACCCAGCATGAGATGAAAGGGGTGTGTTGTGTTGTGTTTATTTATTCGTTTGAGTGCCCAGGGTTCCATCCAATGTCTGGCCTCACAAGATACTCCTGCCCTAGCCCCCTGAGTAGTTGCAACCACAGCCATGCCTCGAAGGACCCAGTCCCTCTAGATTCCTGACCTTTCTTAACTTCAGTTTCTTCATTTTCAAGCCAGAATGGTTTTGTTGCCTTAACAGTATTTCACAATTGTCATGTGAACCTAAAAATCCCTACCATTCTCATTAGTTTAAATCCTACCATTTGGCAGGCAGGTGGCTTCCCCACCCTGGAAAGATAAAGCTAGTGGAGCCGCTCCACCTACGGGGAGAAGAGGGTGACGGGCCTAACACCGGGGAGCTTTTAAGTTGCAGGACCCAAATACGGGCCTTCTAATTCTGCAGGCCAGGGGCGCCCATCTTTAATGGGGTGAGGGCTGGGGGGGAATGCAGCCAACTCAAAGCTTGTGAAATGCTTTCCAAATGTGTTGATATCACTTAGGGGCACCGATGAATAAGCCCAAGAAGCATCACGCCTGACGCTGAGCTGGCTGACCGGCGAAGGCGTCGGTCCTTTCCCACGGCGCACCCTGACTCACCTGTTGGACAGGTAGGGGGAAGGGAACAGTGAGTTTTACCTGCTCAGAGCTAGGGTGGGGCAGGACACACCCCGTCACTTCCATTGGTCTTTTCTATTGTCTTACTGACAGACCCTCGTCCAATCAGGGCGAAATAGTTTTCTATCTACCAATAGGCACAGAGTAAACCTGGGCCCTTCCTAATGGAATCCACCCCTAGAAATGATTGACACTCCCTGAGGCCAATGGTGAGCGCATAAATAGAGGCGGCCGTGGTAGCAGAGCCGGAGGGAGGCTCCACCCCACGGTGGGACTCTTGGGCGACGTAACCAATGAGCTCGTATCAGCAGGTGGGCGTCCCCATAGCGGGCGTGGCTTAGAGGGGCTGAGGGGCGTGGCTTAGCTGTCAGGTCCCCTCGCCTTTTGTTCGGTTACTGAGTTGCTGTCTTGGTCAGAGCCCTGAGCAGCCGCCGCCCGCGCGCCGACCCCAGTTCCCTGCCCGCGCCGGTCCCCACCCCGCTAGACTTCGACCCGGCCCGGCCACACATCCAGGTGCGGAAGATCGGGGGGGGGGGTCACAGGAAATGCGAGGGGCACAGAAGGGGCAGCAATAGGCCCAGGAGCCGGGGCCCCGGGTCGGGGCAGGTGAGGGGGGACGGGAGCGCCCCTTTGCCCAGTCGGCAGGGGGCGCGCCGGAGTCCTGGGTGCGGCGCCGGGGAGGGGAGCTTCCGACAGAGGCGCCGCCGCGGGTGTTCTCGAGCCGCGATCGAGCGGGGTGGCGGGAGGTGCCCGGTAGGTGCGTGGGGAGCGCGCCAACCCCATCCTGGGGGCCTCGGAGTCCGCGACTGCGGGCACGCCGCGTCCCTGACTCTGCCTGCGCCCGCGTTCCGCCGCGCACTCCGCCTGGGGACCTTGGGGCCCCGGTCTCCACGGGAGATTGGGGGAGCAGTACCCCACCCGCGTCCTCCCCGGTACCCGCCCTCTCGGCTCCCCCAGGGCAGGGTGCGGCCCTATTGTCTGCGCCGGGCACCCCGGTGAAAGGCAGAGCCTGGTCCTGGCGAGCACCCCACCTGCGGGCAGGTGAGCAGGTGAGGGCGCGGCCGCGACCTCCTGGGCGGGAGGTGGCGTGCTGGGGCCGGGTCCCTGGGCCTGGGGAGCCGACGATGCACGCGTGGGAATTCGGGGTCCCTTGCCCGGGGCCGCAGGGTGGAGATGGGAACTACGAAGCCCTCTCTCCCCAACCTCTGCAGGCTGGAAAGTCATCCCGAACAAACTTTCCACCAGGAAGTGCCCGTGCCGCGCTCCCTGCGGCCGTGCTGTCTCCTGGCCCAGCTTCCTGCTGGATCAGGGTCCCCGGGGAGCGGCGCCCCCTCCCCCGTCTCGCCCCGCCCCCACTCCATCCTGTTTGCCGGGCTCTAGGGATGGGGTGGGGGGAAGCGAGGGGAAGCGGCATCTTCCTTCTCTTCCTGCCTCTGGGGACCACCACACCCGTTCAGACCCGGCTGGCCAGTGGCTCGGTCCTCCGGGCTCGGCCCTTTTCCCAGCCCTGGGGGTGGAGCGGGGCGGAGCCAGGCCTGTGGGGGCTGTGAGGGGGCGCGTCCTCTTGTTTTTTGGGGGTTCTGTGCCCCTCCCCTACATGACCCCCGGACCGGGAGTTGAGACAGAAGATCCGGGTGCACCAGCCTTGCCTTCTGTTTGGGCTCAAAGGATGAGGGCTCTTTGGTTCTTTTTGGAGGCTTTATGACCCTATCTCCACCCGCGCTCCCCGGGGAAAGTGGAACGCGAGGAGGAAGGCTGTCGCTGCCGGGTGCCCCTGGGCGGAGCCGAGGTGGCGCCCTTCGCCCTGCCTCCGGCGTCCAAGGAGTCAGTCTGCCTTTGGGCTGGAGTTGGGATTCCCACCCAGCTGGCTACACTGGTTTTTGGAATTGTGGTCTGCAGGCAGGATTTGGGGCCCGGTCTCCTCCGGGAATGAACAGAGCTGGAATGTTTGAGCTAGGAGTTTCTGCCCTGTCCTAGACCACTTGGAAGACGGGGATTGGCCCTGCTGGCCCTCACTGGGCTTTAATTTATTTTCCTGGTGGAACCTAGGGTCTCATGCATGTTAGCCAAGCACCCTACTACTGAGCTACAGCCCAGCTCTCAGCTTCAACTGTCTTCCTTGTAGGTGAGAAAGTGGTTTTAGGGCGTACAACCCCTTGGGGCACCCAGGGTGACGATCTGGCTCTGCCCCTGAGGTGGGGGTGTTATTGAGTGCACCTCTAGGGCGACTGGGGGGTGTGTGCACCCCCCTCGTGTTGAGTTAGGCCTGAGCAGCCTGATCCCGTCCCCTAGAGCCTGGGTTGGGGAGGTGGTACCCCCCTCCCCGCCTTCAAGCTTGGCTAAATGAGGAGTTAGGCTGGTCCAATCTGTGACACATATGCTGAGACAGTGTTGCCTGCAGGCACCCTTGAAAACTGGCCAGCGGCTGGACGGGGCAGGAGAAGGTACAGTCCGATTAGTCACCACTCCCTGACCAGGCCCTGACTTGGGTGATGCTGCCTCCGCACCCCAGTTCCACCCTGAGCCTCTGAACCCAGAAGGTTGGGCAGGGGTGGCAGCCTCTTCCCTTCTACAGCCCCTGGGAGGGGCCCTGAGCATGAGCCACTGTGGCAGAGCGGGCAGCCCTCAGGATGTAGGTGGGACAGGGTCCCGTCTCTGGCCTCATCACTGGGGGGCCTGACCAGGGCCTGGCACCTCCAGGAACCTGCCTATGGCCAGTGAGACCCACCAAGCTGATTACCTGTGAGGCCTGGGTGGTGGTGGCCTGGCATCCAGGGATTCTGTGGGTGCTGGGCACTTCACATTTTGCTTCTCTGGCACCATGGCTGCCCACAGATGCAGGTAGCACTGATTGCTCTTTTGCCCGAGGTGGTATAGGACCTGGGCACCCAATGGAAGCAGCCCTGCTCTTTCTGAGAGCCTGTGCAGGGGCAGCAGGGGGCAGTGAGGTCAGGGTTGGGGGTGCAGTGTTCCAGCCCCCCCACTCTGCAGACCTGCAGCATGGGGCCAGGGTACCGCCCCAAGTCAGACCCCAAAGGTGTGAGGGGGCTGTCGGGGAAAGTGAGCAAGGTCTGCTGGGTCCAGCATGGCTTCCTGGGTTTGTTCCTGACAGGAAATGGGAGTCCCCAGCTTGTTGGGGCTGATCCCGAGTATGATGAGAATGGAAGTCAGGTTTAGGCCAGGCCATGCTGCCCGCTGACCTTGAGGGGACCAGCCATTGTCGTGTGTTGGGGTCCTCAGGGTGGCACGAGGCTCCTGATGGCCATGGAATGGGGGTTTCCTCCGGGACAGGAGGAAGGGACAGGAGGAAGGACTGCCTGGCTGCTACAGACACTGACTATGTATATAGAACTCAAGATCCTCCTGTCTCAACCTCCTGAGTGCCGGAACTACACACCCAAGAGCAGAGAGGAGATGAGCTGCAGGACTAGAGGCTGCAGGGGCCACCCTGAGGCCTCTCCCCTGGTGAAGGAGATGGAAGTTGCCACCCCATTTCTCAGCGCCTCCCTGGCCGGGGCCAGTGGCCAGAGGTGGGGTGGGGCAAGTGGCAGTGGCTGCTTGATTGTGGGGGACCCCCCTCCCTTGATTGAAAGAGTTAATGTCTGGTCATTGTAAAAACACTGAGAGTGGGGCTGGGGATTTAGCTCAGTGGCATAAGCGCCTGCCTTGCAAGCAGGCAGTCCTGAGTTTGATCTCTGGTACCGATAAAAAGGAAAAAGACAAAAAACAAAACAAAACAACAACAACAAAAAACACTGGGAGAGTTGAAAAAACTGGAAGAAAATTTCTCCATAACCCAGACTCTATAGAGGGTAGGTGTCTTCAGAGCCTTCTTCTTCAAGCTTACTTACTGTGTTCTGTGAAGTTCTTTTTGTTCGGTTTTCTTTGTGTTTTTTTTGTTTTTGTCTCACTATGCAGTCCAGGCTGGCTTGAACTCTCTATGGAACCCAAGCTGACCTTGAACTTGGAGTGATGCTCCTGTCTCAGCCTCCTGAGTGCTGGGATGGCAGGCGTGCCCCACCACACATGTGAATTTTTAGCCAAGCCTCCTTCCAGATCAGCCTAGTCTGAGGGGGACCGGGCCTCTGTGTCCCTCCCTGTCTTCCTGGAGAGGGGCAGCAGCTGCCATCCTCAGGAGTGGTGCAAGCTGGGGTTCCGTCTATACTGCTTTTGGCACCTGGGGTTGCCGAGTGTGAAGCCAATGGTGTCCCATGTGTGGGTTGCCCCCTCGCTGCTGTCCCTGGCTGGGCTGGGCATCTTTCCAGCCCAGGAGCTGCTTTGGCTCTCCTGGGAACCCCACCCCCCACTATGTCCCCAGTGGGAAGCCTCCATCCTCTTCCCCTCCCCCCAGTGTCCTGCCATGTGCTGGCCCTGCTGCAGACCGGAAGGGAGGGACAGCCTGGCTCTGGAAGCCCCTAGTCTTCTCTGTCCCCAGCGCCTACCCCAGGACCCCAGGCTGCAGTGGGATTGGGTGCTGGGAACACAGCATGAGGCAGGGCCAGGCCCCCAGGGAAGCGGTGACCTCTGTCCCTGTCCCGGTTGTTTGTATCTGGGCTGCTGTGTGGAGAGTACTGTCTGCTACTGACCACTGGCTTAGAAAGCAGCAGTCACCACAGAGGAGCACCAGGTGTCCCAACTCAGGGACAGTGGCCTGGGCTTGGGAGGCGGCTCCTCCACATTTTCCTGAGGGTCACGGGATGCCTGGATTCTTCCTCTTGGCCACTTTGCGGCTTTTCCTGTGACAAGTATCCAGAAGGCCAGCTCTGCCTTTCTTCCTTCCTTCCTTCCTTCCTTCCTCTTTTTTTCTTTCTTTCTTTCTTTCTTTCTTTCTCTCTCTCTCTCTCTCTCTTCTTTCTTTCTTTCTTTCTTTCTTTCTTTCTTTCTTTCTTTCTTTCTCTCCCCCCGCCCTTTATTTTTTTTGCTATGAAATCTTCCTGTGTCTCCTAGCTTGACTTTGAACTCTCAGACATCCTCCTGCCTCAGCCTCCCAAGTACTGAGATCAGGGGTGTGTGCCCAGCTGGGTTTAAAGTCAGGGCTGGGCCTAAGGCAAGAAAGGGGTGGGGCCGCCTCCTCACTGCCATCAGGACTTGTCCTCATGGTGGACCGCGGTGTCTGTCTGCCCTCTTCTTGTCTTGACCCAAGGTTGGCTTCTCCTCCCCTGCTGCACAAAGCCCGAATTCAGTATCTGTCTCTGTCCTGTGGGGCTGGGCTGGCGGACACTGGGCAGGGCATTGTCAGGGGTGTCATGGATGCTGTCCTGGGCTGTGGACTGAGAGGGATGACAGCAACCTGAGTGCGGCCCTGGGTCCTGAGCTGAGCTTCCGTTTCTCATTTCTTGGAAGCCTCAGAGCCTCCCAGGTTCTCAGGGGAGCATCTGGGAGAGCAGAGGGGCCTCAGTTTCTCCACCTAGTAATGTTGACCCGACCTGGTGGTGCACACCTGTCATCACAGCACTCTGGGAGGCCGAGGTAGGAGGACTGCAAGTTCAAACCCAGCCCGGGCAATTTAGAGACAATGTCTCAAAATGAAAAATGGCTGAGGGATCCCCAGGACCCCTAAAATAAAAGCAGGGTGGCTGCCAGTGTGAGATTAATGAGATAATAAAGCCCAGTGGCCTCCTTCCCTGACCCCTGCATCGCCCTCCGCGCTCCCCGGCTCTGTCATGCTGGAGGTAGGCTCCAGACCCTGGCTGCTGGTGTGGCAAGGGTCTGCCTGGCAGCTTGGGGCCCAGCCGTCTGGTCCTAGGATTCAGCCCTGAGCCCTGAGCTGCAGCCCCAGTTCTTGCACACGGTTTTTAGTTTGAGACAGGCTTTGGCTACCTTGCCCAGGCTGGGTTTGAATTTTTACTCTTCCTGCCTCAGCCTTCTAGAGGCCCTTAAGCAGGAGGCTGGTCCTTGATTTAGGGGGAGCCCCGTCTCCTCTGGCTGGGCCCTGAGGATCAGGGTCATTTCCAGTCAGGGCAGGGTTGAGGCCAGGGCAGGAGATGGCCAGTTGGCCCCAAGCCCCCACCGTGGCACTGCGGGGTCAGGGTACCCGTGCTCATGGTGTCAGCATCTCTGTATGCTTGGATGTCCAGTTTTCTCCACTTTCCCCGTGGTGGCTCTCGGGACCCACCGTGGGACAGGGGCGCAGAAGTTTCCTGCCTCTGCCTCCTTCGTGGCACCTATCGCTGCAGTAGCTGCACACATCCGGCTGCTGCGGTCTGTCCCTCTCACCTCTGTTTATCAGCCCGAAACTCTGAGTCACTGGGGATGAGGGGTGGAGCCGCCTCTGCCCCTGCAGGTGTGCGGGAGGGCGGGGCCGGATTTAGTCACCTGGGGAGGGCGGAGCCTGCAGGACCTCCTGGCCTGAGTGGGGCGGGACAGGGCCACAGCTGCCCCACCCTTGCCTCCAGGTCCCTTTTGAAGTACCGGGGGCCACTCCTTTATGCCAGGGGGCTGGCTGGGCACCCCGCGTGTCTGTGTACCCCAAGCCTGCGCTCCGGGGCGCTGGGAAGGGACAGGATGCCTTGGCCAGGCCAGCTGAGTCTTCTGCCTCCGAGGTGCTTTCAGTGCCTGTCAGGATGGCAGCCATGGGACCCCAGTGGTCCCCACCCAGGAGGCCACCGAGGCCCCTGCACAGAGGCGCATGGCCCTGGTGCGGAATCGAGGTTGAGCGCCGCAGCCCCACCCGCCCCAGGGAACTCGGGAGGCTGGCGCCACCGCCTGGGAAACTTGTCGGACTGCTTCCCTGCCCCACCCCACATCCTTCCGCCTTTCCCAGGACCCTAGTGCTCAGGCCCTTCCTGTTCCTCCTGAGGGCCGGATGGACACAGGCACAGTTGTCTGCATCTGCTCTGTCCCATGCCCAGCCCCTTGGGGCACCAGGCAGGGCCTGCATCAGGGTGGGGGGACCCACAGGGCTGGGTGCTGAGCCAGGCTGACCTCCTGCTGCCCACCCTGACAGGACCCTGTCCCCACAGCGCCATGGAGGTGATGAACCTGATTGAGCAGCCCATCAAGGTAACTGAGTGGCAGCAGACCTACACCTACGATTCCGGCATCCACTCGGGTGCCAACACCTGCGTGCCCTCCGTCAGCAGCAAGGGCGTCCTGGACGAGGATGAGGTCAGCGGGCACCAGTACACGCTCAAGAAGACCACCACGTACACGCAGGGCACGCCCCAGGGCCAAGGTTCGCTGGGCACTTCCTGGGGTGCCGAGGGGATCCCCATCCCTGCTGTCATGGGCTGGGCGTTGAGTGGGGTTCCCAGGCTGGGCAGCAGGTGACCTGCATTCTGCACGAGTCTCCCATGGGTGCGCTGGGTCGGCCTGGCTGTGCTCTGGGGGGCGGGGAGGGGAGATCAGGCTGTCTGATTCCATATCACCCCTGTGGACAGAGGAGGGAGGAGGGAGCCAAGGCTGGCTCACTGGGTCAGGGCTATTACCAGGTTGAGTGAGAATATAGAAAAGTATTTAATCCACTGGTGGGCACAGAGTAAGGGCTCAAAAATGGTAGCTTTTTGTTTTTTTTTTTTTTTCCATCCTGGGCTTGAACCTGAAGCCTTGGCACTGAGCTCTAACCCCAGCCTTTTAAAAATTTTTATTTTGAAGCTAGGCATTGTGGTGCATGCCTGTAATCCCAGCACTCGGGAGGCTGAGGCAGGAGGATTGTTGTGAATTCAAGACCAGCCTGGGCTACACAGTGAGCTCAAGGCAAGCCTGAACTGCATGGTGAAACCCTGTCTCAAAAAGACAAAAAAATTTTTTCTTAATCTGAGACAAGGTTTCACTAAATGGCTAAAGTTGTCCAAGCTGGGCTCCAACTTGCGATTCCATATGTGGCCTTGAGTTCACTGTGTAGCCCAATCTGGTCTTGAATTTGGGGTGATCCTCCTGCTTCAGCCTCCCAAGTGCTGGTGTCACAGGTGTGTACCACCACGTCTAGCATGAGACTTTCTTTTGAGAGCAGGTGACAGCTACAGTGTGATGTTTCACTGTCCTAAGAACCCTGCAGGACAGGATAGGCAGGTGCTACATTCCCAGGGGGAGGCTGAGGCGATGGTGCCCCTTGTGGCTGGGCCCATGGTACCCTCTGCCCTGTGCCTGGCTTTGATCCCCAGGTGGGGGTGGATGGGATGGCTGTCCGATGTCCTGCCTCAGTCCCCTGCCTCCGCCCCCCAGGTGACCTGGAGTACCAGATGTCTACCACGGCCAGGGCCAAGCGTGTGCGGGAGGCCATGTGTCCAGGTGTGACAGGTGAGGATAGCTCGCTGCTGTTGGCCACGCAGGTGGATGGCCAGGCCACTAACCTGCAGCGCCTGGCCGAGCCATCCCAGCTGCTCAAGTCAGCCATCGTACACCTCATCAACTACCAGGATGATGCCGAGCTGGCCACGCGGGCGATGCCCGAGCTCACCAAGCTGCTGAACGACGAGGACCCGGTCCGTGGGGTCCCCAGGAGGGCAGGGCTATGATCCAGACCCCCAGGCACAGGCGGCTCAGGACAGGGGTTCCTCTGAACATCCTGTCCCCTCCCCGCAGGTGGTGGTGACCAAGGCGGCTATGATTGTGAACCAGCTGTCCAAGAAGGAGGCGTCCCGCCGGGCCCTGATGGGGTCCCCGCAGCTGGTGGCTGCTGTGGTGCGCACCATGCAGAACACCAGTGACCTGGACACGGCACGCTGCACCACCAGCATCCTGCACAACCTGTCGCACCACCGAGAGGGGCTGCTGGCCATCTTCAAGTCGGGAGGCATCCCTGCGCTGGTCCGCATGCTCAGGTGCCACCCCGGGGAGCCTTGAAGGCCCCATGGGAGCTCGCTTGGTTGTCCCAGCCTGTCCTCGTCTCCCCTGCTAGGTGCAGCTCCTGGGGTTCAGAGGCTTCCGCAGAGAGATTGGCCGTGTAGTCGGCACCAGGCAGGGGCATAAGTAGGAGTCGGGAGCCACTGGGAGAGGAGAGGAGAGGATGGGCCGCTGGGTGCCCATGTGTGTGAGTGCAGTTTGGCTCAAGGGGCCACAGGATCAAATTTTATTTAAATATCCAGCAAGCGGGGCCTGTTTGTCATCCCAGTGCACAGGAGGCTGAGGCAGGAGGAGGGCCTAGAGCAGCTGTGGTGAACTTGTGCTGCGGTCGGCTATTTGTTATTGAAAGCTCTAGAAGGTTCCCTGTCACTGGTTTGAGGCCAGCTTGGGCTACATAGTGAGATCCTGTCTCAAAATAAGAAAAGAAAACCCCAAAAGTAACAATGCCCAAGAATTATGGTATAATATTTAAGCATAAAACCTTACACAGCCATTAAAAATATCACTACTGGGGCTGGGGATTTAGCTCAGTGGCATAAGCGCCTGCCTTGCAAGTGTGTGATCGTGAGTTTGATCCCCGGAACCGATAAAAAAGAAAAAGAAAAAAAAAATCACTACTAAAACATTCCTAAAAATGGGCACACGTTTATGCTATGAAGTGTTCCTTTACTTGTTTTTTTGAGACCGTGTCCTGCTGTACAGTTCAGGCTGTCTGGGAACTCACTACATGGCCCAAGCTCACCTTGAACTCATGGCTACCCTCCTGCCTCAGCCTCCTGAGTGCTGGAATAACAGGGCTGTGCCACCGTGCCCAGCTATAGTATAATGTTAAAGTGAACAGTAGGATACGCCCTTAATATGTTACTCCAGCTATATTAACATTCCTGTAAGCCAGTGTGGAGGTGTACATCTGAAATCCCAGTACCCTAGGAGGCTGAGGCAGGAGGACTGAAAGTGTAGCCTGGGTAATGCTGTGACTTAGTGAGACCCTGTATCAGGAAATAACACAGCACAGGCACACAAAACAAACTTACACGTGGTGCGGAGATGACCAAATGTCCACAGTGGCAGTTTTGGCCTTGAGCTGCCAGTGATAGACAGTGAACACAGGGAGGAAATGGCTTGCAGGCTGGACGTGGGGGCACAAGGCCACAGCAGAGCAAGTGGGAACAGTTCACGAGTAGGCAAGGGAGTCATCACACAGCAGTGGCTTACTAGAGTAGGTTTCCTTCTTTTCTGAGACCGTCTTGCTATGTAGTTCAGGCTGGCCTCAAATTCTTAAGGACCCTCCTGCCTCAGCTTGCCAAGTGCTGTAATTACAGCACCATGCCTGGTATTTACACGCATGGTGCATGTAAATACAGCACCAAGGGTAGTTTGCCTGTGCTATTCTTTTTTTTTTTTTTTTGTCTTTTTTGAGACAGGGTCTCACTATGCAGTTCAGGCTGGCCTTGAGCTCACTTTGTAGCCCAGGCTGGTCTTGAACTCTCAAGGATCCTCCCACCTCAGCCTCCTGAGTGCTGGGATTACAGGCGTGAGCCAACCACACCTGGCTGCCTGTGCAATTCTTGCTGTCTGACTGTTTCCCTGGGCCTCACTTGTGCTGGAGCTGAGACGCTTTGCAGTGGGGGTGGGGCATGTGGGGCAGGGCCGGGCGGGACAGCTGGTAAGTGGCTGCCTGCCCACAGCTCGCCCGTGGAGTCGGTGCTGTTCTATGCCATCACCACACTGCACAACCTGCTGCTCTACCAGGAGGGCGCCAAGATGGCCGTGCGCCTGGCAGATGGGCTGCAGAAGATGGTCCCGCTGCTCAACAAGAACAACCCCAAGTTCCTGGCCATCACCACTGATTGTCTGCAGCTCTTGGCCTACGGCAACCAAGAGAGCAAGGTGGGCCCGGCCTGAGACCCCGCCCATCTGACCAGCACTATAGGTCCTGTCCCCTGCACCAGGCACAGTGCTGGGGCCAGGACCGAGGCACACCCCTGCCTGTTTCACTTGCTGTTTTAGACAGGGTTTTGCCAAGTGATGAAATTGCCTCATTTGGGTTTGAAGTTGTGATTCTCCTGCCTCAGCCTCCCAGAATGCTGGGATGATGGGCGTGTGTCCCCCTCACCCAGCGATTTATCCCTTTGGAAACCGAGCTGTAAGGGGCGTCCCTGGGCACACGGCTTTTCCCAGGATAGGAACGGTTTTCAATGGTGGAGCTGAAGACTTAGTGCCCCTGGGCTGGTGATGATGGACTGAGAGCGGCCTATATCTTGTTGAAAGCTCTAAGAGAAGCTGGCTGTGGTGCCGCACACCTGACATCCCTGTGTTTGGGAGGCTGAGGCAGGAGGACTGCTGGGAGTTCAAGGCCAGCCCCAGCTACATAGCCAGACCCTGTCTCAAAATACAAAAGGAAAGGAAGCCCACACGCAGCCTCGTTTGGCCAGCTCCTTGCCAGCAGCGGGCCTTACTCTTGTTTCAAACATTTGGATTAATATTGCAAACAATCCTCAGGAGGCTGAGGCAGGAGGATCACCATGAGTATGAGGTCAGCCTGGGCTCCATAGTGAGACCCTGACACCAAAGAAAAAAAACAACAAAATGGTTCCGGTTCTGTGGAGGCCGCCAGGGGGCTCCCCACTTGTCGAGGCTCATTCTGACAACCCACTACCCCTTCCTGTTCCCCTCGCCGTGCAGCTGATCATCCTGGCCAATGGGGGCCCTCAGGCGCTGGTGCAGATCATGCGCAACTACAGCTACGAGAAGCTGCTGTGGACCACCAGCCGTGTGCTCAAGGTGCTGTCCGTGTGTCCCAGCAACAAGCCCGCCATCGTGGAGGCTGGTGAGGACAAGGGGTAGGGCCGGATAGGGGCTGGGCCGGGTAGGGGCGGGGTTCTGGCCGCACCACAGGGCTGAGCCCCCACCCCGTGGCCCACCTAGGCGGGATGCAGGCCCTGGGCAGGCACCTGAGCAGCAACAGCCCGCGCCTGGTGCAGAACTGCCTCTGGACGCTGCGCAACCTGTCGGACGTGGCCACCAAGCAGGTGAGTGGGGCTACCCAGGGTGCAGGCATTGGGGCCCCCAACCCTATCAAGGCTGGGGAGGCAGAGGGAGGCTCGAGTGTCTTCCGGGTGGGCTTGGTGGCCGCTAAAGGACGACAGTCTGCATCTGGATCTGCACTGCAGCTTCTGGGGATGCAGACACCACGAGAAGGAGCCAGCTGGCAGCCAGGCCTGAGCCCCTGTACTTGGGCAGCTTGGGGCGCAGGGTGCACCCTGTGGCTAGGCTGGGGAAACTGAGGCTCCAGGGTGAGCGATGCTGACCCACAGGCGGCAGGGCTGGGATCCCCCTCTGCGCCATCTTCCTCAAGGCTGAAAGAAGTGAGGCTTCTATGTCAGGGGTTTTATGAAAGTGGATCTGACTTGGGGGGCGCTTGGAGTGCAGTGAGGGCCCAGGCAGGGGAGAGCTGTGGATAGTGGTCAGCTCAGCAGTGTCCTCCCAGCCCTTGAGGCTGCTGCCTGGGCCTGGTGAGGTAAGGGGGACCTGCAAGGTTGGAGGCTGAGAGGGAGCTTGGGCCAGGGTCCAGGCCTCCCTGTTCCCATGTGGGCAAGGCTGGCCCCTCTGACCTCAGTCTCTCACCTGCTCCCTTGGCTTCTGACACCCTCCCCTGGGTGCCTGGAAATGACCTGGGTTGTCGTTGGTTGTGGTGCTGTGTGTCTGTCTTCCCAGCACTCTGGGAGGCTGAGGCTGGAGGACTGCAAGTTTGAGTTCATCCGGGCCCCTTAACCCTGGTCTCAGAATTAAAAGTAACGAAGGGCTGAGGGTGTAGCTCAGGCGAAAGCCCTGCGTTCGATTCCCCATGCTGAGAGGAGGAAGATGAGGTCACAGGAGCCCCCACCCATGCCCACTCATGCACTGTCCCCAGGAGGGCCTGGAGAGTGTGCTGAAGACCCTGGTGAACCAGCTGAGTGTGGATGACGTGAGCGTCCTCACCTGCGCCACGGGCACACTGTCCAACCTGACCTGCAACAATAGCAAGAACAAGACGCTGGTGACACAGAATAGTGGTGTGGAGGCCCTCATCCACGCCATCCTGCGGGCTGGGGACAAGGACGACATCACGGAGCCCGCGGTGTGCGCCCTGCGCCACCTCACCAGCCGCCACCCCGAAGCCGAGATGGCGCAGAACTCCGTGCGTCTCAACTATGGCATCCCGGGCATCGTGAAGCTGCTGAACCAGCCCAGCCAGTGGCCACTGGTCAAGGTGGGCCCTGGGCAGTGGGCAGCACCTGCATGGGGAGCAGCCCTGGAGGGAGCCGGGAGGGAGCCCAAGACAAGGTAGCCTCAGTGACTCAGGCAACATCCAGAGAGTAGGCGGGGCTCAGGGCCGCTTCTGCTGACTGGTTTCCATAACGTGAGGGTGCAGGTAAGAATGGCACCACATAGCAGGTGTGGTGGCATATGCCTGTCATCCCAGCACTTGGGAGGCTGAGGTAGGAAAGTTGCTGTGAGTTCAAGGCCAGCCTGGGCTACATAGGTATTGTAAACCCAAATATCGAGTTCAGTCACCCAAGTATTATAATCCTCTTCCTAGTTTTCCTCACAATCCAAAAAGTTACATTTGTAATTCCATTGAGATGTCATTGGAATCCCAGCAAGTTAATTCCACCACCATCAATGCAACCCATAGCGAGAGTAAAGGCACCAAGACACCAAGACATGTTCCATGTTAAGGGCAGCCAAGGGGTCCTAAATCCAATCCCCATGAGGACAGGCAGAGAAAGGCCTCTTCAATCCTAGGCTTCTCAGGGCTGGGGATTTAGCTTAGCAGCATAAGCGCGTGGTTGTGAGTTCAATCCCCGTTTTCAATCCCTGGTACAGATAATAAAGAATTTATTATCTTGTGAAGAAGGGGGGTGGCTCAGGGATGACAGTGACAGTGAGGATGGGGGGGGGTTAGGTAACTTGAACTGGCCAGATGTAAGATTGACATCTGTAAATTGAAGAGATGAAGATATGCAGAAGGGTCAATTTACATAATCCAATTAGGGTAGCAGTGGAATTGTTTTGGGGGCTATCCCTTTGGTTTCTGATAAATGCAAACTCTGCCCTGGGGAGTCATAGCCTGCTATCTTGAGGCTCTACCCAGTTGACATTCCCTGAGCTATTTGCTCTAACATCACCGTGCTCAATCTGTACTATGGAGAACACATTCGAGGAAACAGGACTGTCTGATGGCTAGACTGTGCACATTAGCACCTCACCTCGGCTAGCCTTATTTGCAATGCTCAGAGCCAATTGAAAAGAAAAGGAAATATCCTAGCCAGCCTTTTACATATCAGTGTAAGGAAATGAGTCTTAAGTAATCAAAGTCACAGCAATTGTTTTGGATTCAAAGGGAGTCACTGGAATTGTCTCCCACAATAGGGAGAGCTTGTCTCAGAAAACCAAAAACCAAAAGGAAAAGAAACAAAAACAATTAAAAGAAAATGTAGCCAGGCACAGTGGTCCACACCTGTAATCTATCTAGCCTAAATTGGAGGCTGAGGCAGGAGAAACATTAGTTTATACAAGGCCCAGGCAACCTAGGAGACCCTGTCTCAAAAAACTAAAAAAAAAGCAAAACAAAACTAAAAACCCTGGGGGAGGTGACTAGGGTGGACACTCACCTAGCATGTGTGAGGCCCTGGCCCTGTCCTCAGTACCACAAAAGGAATCAGACAACAGCTGGGTGTGGTGGCTCACGCCTGTAATCTCAGCACTTGGGAGGTAAAGGCAGGAGGATCCAGTGAGTTTGAGGCCAGCCTGAAGTACGTAGCAAGTTCTTGTCTCAAAAAAGCCCAAAAAACCAAAACAAAAACGAATTAAAGACTGTGGAGGGGAAATTCGGCAGCCTGTGAGCAGCCTCTGGTCCTGCTGGATGGCCAGGGCAGGGACACTGCAGACAGGTGACAGGTGACACAACTGCCTCTTCTGCTGTGTCACTCCGGTGTCTCCCAGTTGATTTTAACCATGGTGTTGGGCTCCAAGCCCCGGCCCTTTAAAATTTTATTCTGAGACAGCATCTTGCTAAATTGGCCAGGCTGGCCTTGAGCTTGCCATCCTCCTGCCTCAGCACCCCTGCGGCTGCAGTGTGTGTGGGGTGGGGGGGAATGATGGGTGTGCCCCCAGCTGACTTTAATTTTGGCCCGTGCGGCTTCTTGTCTCAAGCATCAGAGATGACAAAGTGCTGCTGGAAGTCGGGGGGGGGGGAGGGGAGGATGGGCACACACACACACACACACACACACACACACACACACACACACACGCGACAGAACGGGAGGCGGCGACCAACCGCAGGGTCAGAACAGCTGGGGGCGGGGACATCACACAGCTCGTGGGCCTAGGGTCAGCAGAGGTAACAGAGGGGACTTCCACAGGCTACCATCGGGCTGATCCGGAACCTGGCCCTATGCCCTGCCAACCATGCGCCGCTGCAGGAGGCCGCCGTGATCCCGCGCCTGGTGCAGCTGCTGGTCAAGGCGCACCAGGACGCGCAGCGCCACGTGGCTGCCGGCACGCAGCAGCCCTACACGGTGAGGCCTCCCGCTCGGCTCGGCGCCCTGGGGTGGGGGAGGAGGGGCCTGGCGCCTGTGACGCAGCCCGCCCTGTGTGCAGGACGGCGTGCGCATGGAGGAGATCGTGGAGGGCTGCACCGGGGCCCTGCACATCCTGGCGCGGGACCCCATGAACCGCATGGAGATCTTCCGGCTCAACACCATCCCGCTCTTCGTGCAGGTGCGGCGGGTGTGGCGGGGTCGGTGCAGCCGGGTCCACCGAGGCTTTCGGTGCGCGGGCGCAACCTGGAGGGAAGTGAGGTTCAGCCTCAGACACTTCAGCTCTCTTGCGTTAGAGATGGCCTGTCACTTCTGCACTCGGGAGGCTGAGGCAGGAGGACTGTTAGCAGTTTGAGGCCAGCCCGAACTGTACCGTGAGACCCTGTCCAAAAAGTCCAAAAGCAATCAGCAAAGTAACAAACTGGCTGCAAAGCGGGCAGATCCCGAGCAGCGGCGGGAGAGTCTGCACCCGCGCTGGGCCCGCCTGGCACACAAGCGCCCCACTCAGGGAAAGGGCCAGCAGCTGGCCCAGAAGCACAGAGCTGGGGCCCCCGGAAGGCCGAGGCAGGAGACACCCCTGGAGGGGAGCCGCTTCCACCGCTGGAGTGGCAAGGAGGGGGCTTGTGCGTCGCCTGTAGCGTGGCCCGAGGGCCGCAGGCTGCACTCTCCCGGCGACCGGGGACCACTCGTCCCCAGATGGTTTTATTTCCACTTTGAGGCCCGTTCTGGCTCAATCCCCAACTCACCCAGGCGGAGCTGAGACCCGCCACCCTCCTGCCTCAGCCTCCTCGTTGCTGGGTGACAGGTGTGCCCGCCCACCTGGCTCCCCGCTGGCGGGTGTGGGTGCCCCTCGCCCTCACGCTGCCCTCACCCGCAGCTGCTCTACTCTTCGGTGGAGAACATCCAGCGCGTGGCGGCGGGCGTGCTGTGCGAGCTGGCACAGGACAAGGAGGCGGCGGACGCCATCGACGCCGAGGGCGCTTCTGCGCCCCTCATGGAGCTGCTGCACTCGCGCAACGAGGGCACCGGTGAGCGCCTGGGAGGGGGCGGGGCGGGGCGGGAGGTGAGTGGAGCTGGGGGCGGGGCGCACGCCTTGACCCAACCCATCCCGCACTGCCCCCTCCCCCCAGCCACCTACGCTGCTGCAGTCCTTTTCCGCATTTCTGAGGACAAGAACCCTGACTACCGCAAGCGCGTGTCCGTGGAGCTGACTAACTCCCTCTTCAAGCATGACCCGGCGGCCTGGGAGGCGGTGAGTGGGTGCGGTGGACGGTGGTGCAGGGTGCGCACTGCTCCAGCAAGTGCTCCACTTTTGGGGTGCCCCCTCTGCCCCGCTGTGGGCTGCAGCTTTTTTTTTTTTTTTTTTTTTTCTCGTTTTTACCGGTACTGGGGATCGAACTCATGACTGCCTGCTTGCAAGGCAGGCGCTTATGCCGCCGAGCTAAATCCCCAGCCCCCAAGCTTTTCCTCCCAAATTAGATCCAGTGTGGTGACTTAGCGTGGGTGGGGGCTGGGCTGGGCGGGGTCTGTGGTGACCCAGAAGTGATGTGCTTTTGCCCAGGTGAATCTGGGGACAGATCTGTGGAAGTGCGGGTTTGTTTGGTGTTTGAGATAGGGGCTCCCCACAGAGCCTGGGGGCGGGCCTTGAACTCCTGGCAATCCTCCCACCTCACCCTCCAAGGTGCTGGGTTCCAGGCATGCATCGCTGTGTCTGGGCTCCCGGGGTTTAAGTCCTCCCATGTCCCCGCAGGCCCAGAGCATGATCCCTATCAATGAACCCTACGCTGATGGTGAGCACCCAGGGCCCTGTGTGCCGGGAGGGGGCAGCATTGTCCCTGTGGGGGTTGGGGGTGGACAGTACCCAGGGGGAGGCTGAGTGTGAGGGTCCAACGCCCCTCCACCCGCAGACCTGGATGCCACCTACCGCCCGGTGTACCCGGGCGACGTCCCGCTGGACACGCTGGACCATCTGGACGTGGACGGCGACTACCCCATGGACCTACCTTACAGCGATGGCCTGCGGCCCCCGTACCCCACCTCAGACCACATGCTGGCCTAGGCTGCTCGCCCTTCATGCTCTGTCCTTGGGCTCTGCTGAACCCCAGCTCTGCGCTGGGTTCCTTTCTAGGGTGCTGTGGGGACCTCGAAGGGTGCTGGGCTGCCATCTGGGAACCTTGCTTAGGGTAGGAGACCTGGCCCTGCTGGAGTGGCCAGAGTGCAGGGGACACAGGTGGGCACCCCAGCCCTGAGGGTGTGGTCCCGGGTGACGGGGACACTGGTGAGCCGAAAAGTGCCTGAGTGGAGCGGGCCGTGCTCTATGCTGCACCCCAAAGTCCCGCTTCTCCATCTTGGCTGGGGGCCAGGCGTCCCCTTCCTGCCTGCTTCCCAGCCATCAAAGCTTTAGCCCTCCCCACCCCAGCTCTGCTCCCTTCCTGCCGCTGGGTCGTTACAGCCCCTGCCCCGCTGCTGCTCGGAGCCTCCAGGGTCTCCAGGCCCAAGGCCCGAACCCCGTAACCCAAGCCTTGCTGGAAGCTCAGGACTGCGGCGGCGGGGGGTAGGGGGAGTTGGGGGGTGGTAGGGCACGGAGAGCCCCTCCCCTGCCCTCAGGCCCAGAAGTGTGCTTGCTGACCCCTCTGGTGTGTGGTGAGCAGCTTCCTGTCCCTGCTGTGGACCTGTCCCTGCCTAGGTGGGGCTCCCTGTTGGGGCTTCACATCATTGCTTAGCACCCTTGGTCTTGTGGGGTTTTTGTATCAACCAAAGCAAAGGAAATAAAGTCACACTCAAGTCTCACTTGAGCAGGTGTTGGGGGGCGGGGGTGGGGGTGTGGCCCTGCTGGGTGGGACCCCAGTGTCCCCAAGCTGGCAGGAGGTAACCCCAGAAGGAGGCTGTGGCACATGCCTGTCACCCTTGCACTGGGAGGCTGAGGCAGGAGGATGGCAGATTTGAGCCTAGCTGGGCAACTTAACGACACGGCAGGACACCATCTCATCAGAGATGGGTGTGGGTGTGTGCGTATGGGCGTGTGCCGTGGGTGTGTGTGTGTGTGGGTGTGTGTGTATGGGGGGGCTCAGTGTGGTAGCCTGGGCTCAGTTCCCAGTGTCAGCGCCCCAGGGAGAAGAAGCTGAGGTACCAACCCTAACTCCTCTCCAGGATGGGACCAGGGGAAAAGGTTCAGAGTATGCGAACCTGAATGTGAACAGGCATGCAGACAGGGTGCAGGCCCTGGGGGAGAGGCCTGTGACTTCCGGGAATGGAACATATTAGCTGAGTCGGGTGTCCTGTGCCTGTGATTCCGGCACTTGGGAGGCTGAGGCAAGAAGATGGCTGCAAGTTTGAGGCCAGCCTGAACTGCATAGTGAGGCCCTGGGTCAAAAGAACAAAAAAGGAAAAAGGGGAATTTTCTACTTGAGTAGAGGAGAACCTTGGAAAAAGCCCGCAGAGGAAGGGTGCTGGCCCAGCCTCCTCAGTACTGGGGCGACAGGCCTTTATTTAGAACTGAGTCTTGCAAAGTCCCCACGGTGTCTAGGTGGGCTAGAACATGAGATCCTCCTGTCTCAGCCTCCCAGGCATGTATCACTTTGCCCAGCTGCTCTTCTAAGGCTGAGGAAGCTTCAGCTCGGTTGCTGGTTTTGTTAATTTTTTTTTTTTTTTTTTTTTTTTTTTTTTTTATCGGTACCAGGGATTGAGCTCATGACTCCCTGCTTGCAAGCCAGGCGCTTATGCCGCTGAGCTAAATCCCCAGCCCAAAAGGGCTGGGATTTTTTTTTTTTTTTTTTTTTTTTTGGGTTGCTGGTTTTGAATTCCCCTGCCTTTGGGGTGCAGACCTAGGTCAGTCCCTGGAACCCTGGTCAGGAGACCCCTTAGGCAACGCAGTGGGCAGATGTCAGCTGATGGCCTGGAGCCAGGAAGTGGGGCTCCTGCAGCACAGCACTGGTGCTTCTGGGGGTCACTTGTCCTCTGGCCTCAGGACACAGGGCCCTGCAACCCCACCAGGCTGGTCCTGCATCTCTCTATCCCTCCCCCAGGGACCTCTCGTTGTGGCCTGCAGCCTTTAGGCAGCTGGGCAGCAGTCCCCGGCCACTTGGCAGCTGGGCAGGGAGACCCTGGTGACTCCCATGGCTGCAAGCTGTGTCCCAGGAGGCCCGGCTGCCCACACTGCTTCCCAGGCTTCTTGCTCTGTGTCCCCAACCCTGGGAGTAGGGCTGGGAATCCCCACCCTGGGGTGGAGCCCAGGTCCTTGAAGAGGCTAGATGAGCACCCTCCCCTGAGCTGCGTTCCCCCGGCCTTTTCTCAAGTTTTAAGACAGGCACTCAATAAACTGCCGGGCTGGGCTTGAACTGGCAATCCTCCTGCCTCAGCCTCCTGAATAGCTGGGCTGACAACTATGCACCATCCCACTGGCCACCTTTCCCGTTGTCCCCAGGCCTGGCAGTGTGGCTCAGGGCCCCCTGTGACCATGAGGGATGAGGTGTCTGTCACCTGCAGAATAGGACCCCTCCAGAGGCGTGAGGAACGCCTGAAGGTGGGGACCTGGGGGGGGGGGTCCCTGAGCTGTCAGGCACAGGGTCTCAGGCCTGAGAGTCCCCTGTGGCCCCTACACCCCACACCCAGGCCTCTTGTGGATCTGGCTTCTGGCTCTTTAGAGCAGAAAGAGGAAGTGGGCGGATCCTGGTGCCGCCTGGAGGAGGGGTCCTGGGGCTTTCACCTGGGAGCTACAGCTCACTTAGCAACAGCAGGGGACAGGCAGATGGCCATCCACACCTGTGACCCCAACTCTAAGGCGGCTGAGAGGAGGATCGTGAGTTCAAGTCCCACCTCTCTCCCTACTGCTAGACTCCATCTTTATTCTGCTGTTTAATGTATTTGTGCTCTGGGTTTCTCAAAGCCCCTGCGTATTTGTGGATTTGTTTCACTCAGTGTAGTTCTCCCAAAATCCCTGGAATATTTGCAGTGGCTTAGATGAAGCACATGAGATTCTACTGCTGTGCACAAGGTAGCCTCCTGCCTCAGCCTCCTCAGTGGCTGGGACTGCAGCTGGGACCCACCAGCTGCCGCTGGTGAAAATCCTATTTCTCCCTCCTTGCTGATGAAATGCGACACAGAGGAAGTGTGGAGGGGACTCCTGACCCTGCCTCAGTGTCCCTGGAAGGGTGTGGGGCCCGGACAGAGCCACAGGGACCCTGGGCAGTTGGCTCTAGGGCAGGGGTGGGACAGGGCCCGCAGCTCGGCCCTTCTGTTAAGGCCTCATTAAGTTGCCCAGGCTGGGCTCGAATTTGGGATCCTCCTGCCGCAGCCTCCCGAGTGCTGGGCCCACAGGAGTGTTCACTGCTCCCGGTTCTCACCCCGCAGACATTTATTGGGCGCCTAATTGGGGCCTGAAACCCAAAATGAGCAGTCGGGGTGTTGCCGCGCGGGGACTGAACGCCCACAAAGCCAGGGGCGGTGCAGTGCGGTGTGGAGGACTGCCGGCCTGGTCAGCAGGGGCGCCAGTGCCCAGCCGGGGTGGGGGTGTCGGGCCTCGGTAGGTGAGTGGGGTGGTTTCAGGGAGGACCGTAAGGAAGTGGGGGCCTGGCCCGCGCGAGGCAGTGCACGCTTGTCATCGACCCGGCCCTCGAGAGGCTGAGGCAGGAGGATCCCCATGAGGTCCAGGGGAGCCTGTGAGCTGCATCCTCGCGCACCTCTGAAGCGGCGCTGCCCCCTGGTGGCCAGGCGGGAGGGCGCTGCACCACCCACTCCCTTTGCATCCCTGCCTCCTAAGGTCTGAGGCCCACAAACCCAATAAGCGAGGTGTGTGTGTGTGGGGGGGGGGGGGCTGAGACAGGCTTTACCCCCAGCTGCACCCCAGCCCGTTTTCCTTGATTTTTGAGACTGGGTTTTTACTGAGTTACTCAGGCTGGCTGGGGAATTTGTGATCCTCCTGCCTCAGCCTCCTGAGTAGCTAGGGATTGTACTCAGGAAGGCTTAACCACAGAACTGCATCCTACGCCTTTTTTTAGTTTTTATTTTGAGATGGGGTTTCCTTATGCAGCCCAGGTGGGCCTCCAACGCATGGGGACCCTCCTGCCTCAGCCTCCTGAGTGCTGGTGTCACAGGGGTGCACCACCACACCTGGCTAGGCCTGACCAGGTTTTTTTTGTTTTGTTTTGTTTTTGTCTTTTTGAGACAGGATCTCACTGTGCCATTCAGGCTGGCCTTGGGCTCACTGTGTAGCCCAGTTCGTGTGGAACTTGCAATGATCCTCCTGCCTCAGCCTCCCAAGTGCTGGTACTACAGGCATGAGCCACCACACCCCACTAGGCCTGGCCTTTTGTTAAAGGGCAGATTAATCTCTGGGTGAGGGTGAGGGTGTGAGGGGTGCAGCCTTAGGAGGTGAGTTGGTCCTAGGGCCCAGTGTCCCAGCACCAGCTCCCTGCCGGGTCTCCCTTTCCACCCCTGCTACCCCTGTGCTGCCTCAGAGGCCTGGCGCCCACAAACCCCGCAGGCGAGGGTGGGGCCCTGTGACAGTCTCTACCCCTGGCTGCCAAGCTGGCAGTGGCTGGGTCCTGGGGGAGACTGAGGCCAGAGGGTTGCTTCAGACAAGACCTGGCCCTGTGGGCTGCTGAGTCCGAGCCCATCTCCACCCTAAGCCTGGACTTTGTCGGACTGGGTGAAGGTGTGCATGTGCCTGGGTGTGTGCAGCCAAGGGAGGAGACAGGCCTCAGCGTGGGACACAGGGCCAGGCTCTGGGGTGGGGGACAGGAGCAGTGGAGAAACTCTAAAGAAAGGGATAGCCGTGCACCCAGCGACTGGGGATGCTGAGACAGGAGGATCTCAAGTACCAGCCCAGCATGGGCAACCCAGTGACTTATTGAGAGCCTGGCTCCAAATAAAAAATGAAAGAGGGAAGGAAGAAGCTGGGCTGCTCCCAGTGCCGCCGGGGTCCTGAGTTCATCATGGGGCGGTGAGGGTGGGAACCCAGCAGAACTGGGGAATGGGGTTGGGGGAGGGAAATGGACAGGGAAGCCACACTCCTGGGGTTGGGGACAGTGGCCGGCCACCTCTCCCGACTCCTCCTGGGCCCCCGGATGTGACCTGTGTGACCCCAGTGCACACACACTGCAGGTGGACAAAGGACAGCCCAAGAGGGGAAGGGGATTTGCCTACAGTACTGATTTGCATATCATTTTCATAGACACCTTGGGTCCTCGATAAGACCTGTGCTCATTTGCATGAACTTTGCATATCATTTGCATAGGCACCTGGGGTGGCTTTCTCCTGTTGGGGCAGCATCCCTCTGTTCACCCTGCCCCATCCCGCACCCCACCTGCACCCCAAGGCTCCCCAACCCTGCAGCCCAGGCCTGACACAGGATGGGGTAGATGAGCAGCTACCACCTGTGGACCCAACGCCACCTAGGCCACCAAGACAAGGTTTTTAGATAAGGGCTGCTGAGTGCAGTTGAGTGGGTTGTAGACTGAATCACTGATTGTAACTGGTCACATCTTCCCTCTCTTCTGTCTGCCATCTCGGGTGGACAGCTGAGGCCCCACACCAGCTTGAGACCCCTCCCCTGGCTGTCTGGACAGGACCCCAGCTCCCCAGCCCTCTCCCCTGTGTCTGTCCCATCTTCTGTCCTCAGGAACCTGGGCCCTGGCATCCAGCCTCCTCCTCTTCAAGGACAGGGCCAAGCTGCTGCTGCTGGGCTTGCATTGTGTGGTAGCTGGGGTGGATGAAACCTGGGGCAGAGGGCCATGGTCACCAACTGAGCTCTGAGCTGGCTGGGTCCCAGGAGAGGCTGAGTCAGGAGGGTCCCATCAGATAGGACCTGGCCCTGCAGGAAAGGTGGCTGGGTCCTTGCTGATCCATAGGACGGGGCCATTGTCCTGCCCACCACGTTCCTCAGCGGTTCCCACACAGCCAGAGGGAGCAGGTGGGTAGCTCCTTCCGGGGCAGGGTGGGCCGGGCAGGCTGGGCACCCCATGTCTGCCTCAGCGCCCTCCTCAGACCCAGTCTGGTGGTAGTGACAGTGACTGTGATGCATCTTGGAACACAGCCACCCAGAGGCCTTCCTGCTCCTAGGGTGCTTCCTTCCCTCGGCTGGTCTTGAACTCCTCCTGCCTCAGCCTCCTGAGGGCACCCTCACATACGTACTTCCTGTCCTTTGTGGAAGCCACTGTACATGTAGCCCAGGTGCTGGGCCACCTCCCTGAGCCCCTCAAGCTACACAGCAACATGCACGACCTGGACCACTGGCCGCACATGATCCACCTTCTAGGGCCCCTGCTTCGGCTCTGGGGATTCTGCAGGGCAGGGGATGTGGGGTCCCTACCCTGTGTTGCCCAGCTGGGCAGGAGGTGACCAAGACCCTGGACATAAGGAGCCCTCTGGGGCAGCTGGGATGGAGCGGGCAGCACAAGTTGTTGTCCAAAAGGGGACCAAAAAAGACCAGGAGGCAGGGGCCAGAGAGGGAGGCAGGGCTGGCTCCTCCTGCTTTGGCTGGATTTTATGACTCAAACAGGCATCAGGGCACACACTTGTCACCCAAGCACGTGGGGAGGCTGAGGTGGAAGGGTGGGACCTTTGAGCCCAGCTGGGGCAGTTTAGCAAGATCCCAGATCAGACTGAAAACTAAAAAGGGCTGGGGCGAGGCCCTCTCCAAGGCCCTGGGTTCAGTCCCTAGTGCTGCCAGAAATAAAGCTGGGGGACACTGTGCCTGCTGGGGACTGACAGGGATTGGCTCTCTCCTCTCCTCGGGGCACTCAGCCCTCCCGCCCCGTCCTGTCCCAGGCACTGACACAGTCGGTGACCACAGGAGTGAGTTTATTCGGGTTGGTTTTTCTTGGAACAGAGCAGGGCTGGCCCGGAGATCAGGCTACAGATGCTGGTCTGAGTCCTCCGCACTGCGGCGGCCAAAATCCATCCACCCGTAGGCAGCCTCCTCCTCCGCCCATGGCCCCTGCTTCTTGGACAGGTCTGGGGGTGACAGACAATGGGAGATGTGGGGGGTGCCCGGCATCGGGAGCAGGGTCAGGGCCAGCACCGGGTGCGGTCAGCAGCTCCTACCTGTCCTGAGGTGTGCAGGGACCTGGGGCCCCAGCTGTCTCCGGTGGGCAGACATCAGGCCTGGCTGGCCCCTGCTGTCTGCCGGGTCCATGGATGTGTCCTTCGGCTGGGAGCGTAGCCTCCGGGAGGCCTTGGAGATGCCAGCCATGGCCAGCATCATGGCCAGCATGCACACATACAGCCTGGGCATCGCGTCTGTGGGGAGAGGGACTCTGTGGTGACTGTCCCTACATGGACCTGGAGGTCCTCCCTCAATTAGAGTCACTGCTTTGTGATTTAGAGCAGCTGGCCAGGTGCAGTGGTGCACATCTGTCATCCTAGCACTCTGGGAGGCTGAGGCAGGAGTATCTCAAGTTCCCGCCCAACCTGGCCAGCTTAGTGACTTGTCTCAGTGCATTATAACAGCCTAGCTCCTGGACCCCGGTCCATCTCAGGTGCTCATGTGGCTTATGGCCACCATGGGGGATGATTGCTAGACCTAGGGCAGCATTGTGATAGTGTAGGTCCTCTGGGCCATGCTGGTCTAGGAAAGTGCTGGAGATGGGGTTCAGGATGACGCTAGGGCTGGGTCTTTGTCATCCCCGGGGCCGGGAGGGTCCCAGCTCCAGCTCAATTCGTGGCTATCTCCGGCAGGCCCTGGTGCCCCAAGGAGCAGAGGCTGGGACCCTGTCCCCCCAGTGTCTCTCACCTGCAGAGTGGTAGTGGCTCACGTGGTCCCGGGGGCAGTGGCTCTGCTGTGCCCAAGGCCTGGGCGCCTTATAAAGCCCTGGAGGCCACTCCCATGACTTCTCCCATGTCGGCAAGGGGCATGGGCACAGGTGGAACCATCTTCTCCCTGTCACTGGGCACTGGGGGGGGGCCCTGGTGCAGGGGCGAGGAGGACAGGAACCTGGCGACCCAGGTGTTCAGCAGATGTGGCTGTGGGGCGCTGTATTGATCCCCAACTCTGTAAACAGGATGTGTGCAGTTATCAGGGGCAATGGGCCGTGGGCTGATGCCCGACTCTGTCCCCAGGGCTCTCCCCTCCCCTCCCCTTCCCTTCCTCCCCGGGCCACTGGGAGCCCTGGGCTCTGCCTCCCCTCCCGGCCTCTCTGCCGGGCTGGATTTGGCTCAGGGCTCCCCAAAGCGACCTCTTGAACACACAGTGGGACCAGGGGAGGCAGGGGCTGGGCATGGCACCCACAGCCTTGCATGGTGGACACACAGCTCGGCCTCAGGTAGGCCACAGCATAGTGAAGAGGGCCAGAGCTCGGCATGCTGTGAGTTCAGGGTCATCTGGGCGGCCCAGTGAGGCCCAACTATCTCAGAGCACTCCCCAAAAAAGTAGATAAATAAAGGAAAGAAGAAATGGATCGCAAGGAGGCACTGCTGCTGGCCGATTGGATCAATGGCCCCCTCATACTGCTCTGGGGACTTGGGGAGTCCCAGGCTGTGTAGATCCCTCTCCCCGGGATGGACGGCCACTGGCCACCGTGGAGCTGTGTCCTCAGCACCCCTGCAGGGCTTTTGCTGGACCTGGCCCTTGGACAGATTCCTGGGACCCACGCTTGGCCAGCTCTGGGGAGGATGGACGGGTGATGTGGAATGCAGGCTGCAGTGTCCATGGCAACTGGTGGCCGCTGCTCCAGTGGGTACCGCTGAATCCCGGGCAGGATGGGGACTCAGCCAATGGGACACAGGAAAGTCTCCAGAGACAGTGCAGGCAGGGTGGCGATGAATGCTGCGGTGGAGACTCTGAGAGGGGAGGCCTGGGGGTCTCGGGGAAGTGAGGAGCAGCTCCTCTCCCACTGTGTGGGCTGGGGATGCCCCTGTGACTAACAGGATTAGAGGCTTTGGGGCAGGAGCTGGGTGTGGTGGTGACTGTAATCCCTACAATTGGGAGGCTGAGGCGGGTGGGTTGGTGCAAATTAGAGGCCAGCCTGGGCTACATACATAGTGAGACCTTGCCTCAAAAACCCCCAAACAAACAAACAAACAAACAAACCCTAAACAGCTTTGAGGGGATCCCAGGTTGCTGCAGAGCACACAGGGGGCGTCACTGCAGTGAGACAGGAGCCTGTGGAGGCCTGGGCACCTGGGCCTTGCCTGCTGTGGGGCAGAGGGTCAGAGCTTGGGGGGCTGGGGTTTGAATCCTGGCCCATCGAGGCCTTACACATGTGCGCTGCTGTGCCCCAGCCTGGAGGGAGAAACTGAGTCACATAGCGCCCAGGAGAGCTGGGCCATGAACTCCAGGCTCTGTCCCCCTGGCATGGCATGGGTGTACAGGGGAGCGCAGTCTGCACCCCAATCCTAGCACCTGTGGGCACAGGATGCTCCATGGCAGAGAGGATTAAAGGGGTTTATCCACATGAGGTAGCACACGCCTGTCACTCTGGTAGGCTGAGGCAGGAGGCACCCAGGCAATTTAGTACTGCTTTGGCTCAAAATAAGAAATAGAGGGCTGGGATTTAGCTCAGTAGGCAAGCGCCTGCCTGGCAGGTGAGGGGTGAAGGGTGGGGAGGAGGGAGGCTGGAGGTTCCTTCACCGCTGGCCCTGTGGGGTCTGCAGGGGTTTTTCTGGCGTGGTTCAGGGACGCATGGCATTTTGATCCTTTGAGGACCTGAGTCCCCATCACAGGAAGGGGAAACTGTGGGGGGCAGGGCCCCTCCACACCACTGTGGCTGGGCTCCATCTCATTGACTCCTGATGGAGGATGACAGTGACCAGCAGGTGATGTGTGACAGGGACAAACAGAGACACCTGGAGGTGCTGGTGGCAACTGAGCCCCATCTCACACAGGTGAAAAGCTGGGCAGAAGCTTTGGGAGCCCAAGCTCAGACCCCACAGTGTCTGGAGTTGGGCCATCTGGGCCTCAGTTTCCCTGAAGGAGAAATGGGCACAGTGTCCTCAGTTTACTCAGAGTTCAAAGTGACCTTGCCCTTGGATGAACTGGCACAGCTGGGTGTGGTGGTGGGATGCTGAGGCAGGAGTGTCTGAAGGTCAAGGGCAGCCTGGGCTACCTAGAGAGAGCCTGTCTTGGAAAACAACAAAGAACAAAAACGATGGATGGGTTGGTGTGCGATCAGGTAAATTAAGAGGCCAGAGTCAGGCAGTCGGGTGGGTGTCACATTAAAGTTGGAATCCTGTGTGTTTTGGTGCTTTAACATTTCTGTAATGAAATGCTAGCCAGGAGCTCCTTCGGCTGGTTAAGACAGTGGTCTGATGGGCTTGCTTTTGGACCCAGGGCCTCCACACTGAGCTCTGTTCCAGCTCCTTTTTTTTGTTTTTGATTTGAGACAGGGCCTTGCTAAGTTGCTAAATTGCTCACGCTGGACCCCAACTTGGTGATCTTCCTGCCTCAGCCTCCCCAGTGCTAGGATCACAGGGGTATGTCACTGCCTCTGGATTTGTACATTTTTCTTTAAACTTTTTTTATTATTAAATTATTATTCTGCGGTGTATAATGAACACATGCACTGTGGGGAGCTGGGAGGACACACATGGCATTGGGGTCCCCTTGGCTTTCCTCACCTCCCTCCTAACCCTCTATCTACTATTTTGCTCTTTAAGTTACTTATACCTTGGGCTGCTCATATGAAAGAACTCACAGGATCTTTGATTTATTTCACTTAGAATTATGGGCTCCAGGTGGGGTGTATGGCATATGTCTGTAACCCCAGCACTTGGGAGGCTGAGGCAGGAGGATCTCTGTGAGCTTGAGGCCAGCCTGGGCTACACAGTGACGTCAAAGCCAGCCTGAATGACACAGCAAGACCTTCTTGTGAGACAAAGCAAAACTTCTTGTTTTAAATAGAAGTCCATCAGGACCTCTTGGCATTCATTCCATGAAAATTTTATTTACAGTCTTCTCTGAGTTGTTTTGGGACAGGGTCTCTCCGTGTAGTGCAGGCTGGCGCTGGACTCCTGGGCCCCACATGCACCCGTGCAGGCCACTGTCCCTGATGACAGTGACCGTGAACCCCATGGTCTCCGCAGTGGGTCCCCTTTATAAAATGAGGGTCCATAAAGTGAAGCTGGATCCTGGGTCTCCCAGGTGCCATCCTGTGAACCCTAGTCCTGCTTCAGGGGCCCTGGTCCCCGCTGGGTCACAGTCTCCACCCCAGTGTCCTCCCCCTCCTGCTCGATGGGCTGCAGGAGAATCAATGCCCTGATGCAAGCGGTGACCTCAGGGCTCTGCTGCTCCCTGACTGACTTTCCAACCACATCCTGTTTCTAACCCGGTGTCCACGGGCTGTAAATCAACTACAGAGGAGGAGGAAATTGAAGAGGATTTAAATTGTGCAATGGCGAGGGGCTGGGGGTGGACAGGAAGGGAGCAATCTGTTAAAGGCTTTCAAAAACTCATTAATCGCCCCAGGCATTGTAGACAGGGTCTGCCTGCAGGGTGCCTGGGAGACTATTAGTCTTTGGGCTTGCAAAAGCACTGGACTGGAAATGCTGGTGGTAATGGGGCCTCAGGCTACAGGCTTTTTTTGGGGGGAGGCAGTTTTTTGAGGGGACAGGGTCTTACTATGCAGCTCAGGCTGGCCTCAAACTAGTGGCAATCCTCCTGCCTCAGCCTCCCAAGTTTTGGGTACACATGAGCTCTACCACATCTGACTGGTTATTGACGATTCCTTTTTTTTTTTTAACCAGGCATGGAGCTCAGGTCCTCTGCACTGAGTTAAACCTTCAGCCTTATTTTAAAATTTGAGACAGTCTTGCTAAATCCTTGAGTAGCCCAGACTGGGCTGGAACTTGCAGTCCTCCTGCCTCAGCCTCCCCGAGGGCTGGGATTACAGGTGTGCACCACCAGGCCCAGCTCCAGTGTTCCATTTTTTTTTTTTTTTCTTTTCAGTGTTCCATTTTGTAGCATTAAGCACTTATTCGCTATGGCTGTGTGTCTTGTGGGTCGATGTTTGGAGGTGACACTTTTTGTTCTTAGATAGTTTGGAAGGTCCTTGGTAACTCGGGCAGACCTGGACACTCTTCAGCAGCTCCAAACCTGGAGATCCTGCTTGAACCAGCAGGACCCAGGAGCTTGAAGAGCAACCGCTACAGTGGCAGGTTACATGCTGTGAAACACTATGCTTTCCCTGAGAAGCCAACAGTTACAGAGACAAGTGTGGGGCCCCTGCCTGAGGCCTCAGGAACTCAAGAGGCTGCAGCAGGTCAAGGAATTAAGGAGTGGGAGGCTGAGGCAGGAAGATTGCTGTGAGTTCGAGGTCAGCCTTGGGCTACACATTGAGTTCAAGGCCAGCTTGAACTATATCATGAGACCCTGTCTCAAAAAACCAAAAGAAGAAAAAATAAATAAAAAAGCACTTCTGATGGCCAGGTAAACTGTTTCTACACCAATTCCACAAGGGGGCACCATGGAGGTAAGCAGGAGACTGGGCTCCAGGAGTGAGTGCTACGGAATTATCTCCTAGCAGACAGCCCCTGGTTTCCGTAGTGTTTGCAGATTCCTGCGGTTTTGGCTGGTTAGTTTCTGTCCTAACACCTTTTTGAAGAAATGTCCATCTAGCCGGGCATGGAGGCTCACACCTGTAATCCCAGCACTCAGGAGGCTGAGGCAAGGAGGATCATTGCAAGTTCTTGGCTACAGAGTGGGCTACAGCCTGGGCTACAAAGTGAGCTTAAGGCCAGCCTGAACTGCATAGTGAGACCCTGTCTCAAAAAGACAAAAAAAAAAAATTTCTGATGTCCATCTCTGTCACACAAGGCGCACGTGTGTGGGGGTGCGGGACCTGGAAGATGGTCATCTTCACCATCACCCACACAGGGTCTGGCATGTTAATATCTCTATCTTTTGAGACAGGGTCTCACCGTGCAGTTCAGGCTGAGCTTGAATTTGCAGCAGTCCTCCTGCCTCAGCCTCCCAAGTGCGGACATTAGATGGTGCTACCCTTTCAGGGTTACAGCCTAGCCTCCTGTTCCTCTGCTCTGTCACACAACTTGCAAGGTGGCTTCTGTCCTCGGCCTCACACGGTGCCCACTCAGCTCGAGCCTTCTGGCACCCAGTGGAGGGTGCCGCAGTCACTGGGTCCTGTGCCCAGCCCAGGGTGCTCAGAAGTCTCAGACACTGGAGTGGTCCAGTCTGTGGGAGGAGCAGGCCAAGGATGGGTACCTCGGGTCTGAGTCCATGCTGTCTCCTGCCCTGGGGATTCCTGCCTCGGTGTTCCAGGAACCGACAGCCTGAAAACCCACATGCTTCAGGGGAAGAGGGCCCCGACTCTCTGTGCTGCTCAGAGGGTGGGAGCCCAGCACAGGACCTGCCGATGGCTCCCACCAACCTAAGGCAGCATGGTCCCTTCTGTCATCCCTCCCCCTAGCTCCTCCTCTGGCAGTGTGGTCGCCTGGCAACTCCAGTGGTCCCTCCTAGGTCAGATGCTAGCTGGGCTTGGTGGCTCATCCCAGCACGCTATTCGGGAGGCTGTGGCAGGAGGATCATTCTGAGTTTGAGACCAGCCCAGGCTAGAGTGAGCTCAAGGCCAGCCTAAACTGCATAGCAAGACCCGGCTCAAAAAAAAAAAAAAAAAAAAAAAAGGGGCTGGGGATTTAGCTCAGCGGCATAAGCACCTGCCTTGCAAGCAGGCAGTCGTGAGTTTGATCCCTGGTACCGATAAAAAAGAAAAAGAAAAAAAAAAAAAAAAAAAAAAAAAAATCCAGATCCCAGTGCAGGGACCACAGGCTTTCCCAAGGCATGGTGGCACACACCGGTCATCCCAGCATTTGGGAAGCTGAAGCAGGAGGATCACTGCAAGTTTGTGGTCAGCCTGGGTTCCAGAGTTTGTGCAAGCCAAGTGTGAACTACATGGGGAGACCCTCTCTCTGTCTTCACCCCAAACCCTCCAAAAACTTGGGTTTTTCCAAGTTCAATCCCAGAACACTTCCTTCTTGCTGATAGGAAACTGAACTCAGGTCTTCACACTGAGCCACTCCTCTAGACTTTTTTGAGGCAGGAACCACATTGAAGACCTTACACTTCTCAGGCACTTATGCCACTGAGCTATATCCCCTGGGGTTCTTGCCAAGCTGAAGTACTCAGCCTTGGCTAAATTGGCACTTTTAATCCTTCTGCCTCAGCCTTCAAGTCTTGAGGAACTGTCAGTGGAAAAATATTTTGCCACCTTCCCTCAGGTACGGATGATGGGTTTTAAGAGTAGTGTTGCTCCAGCTCCAGCCCTGCCCCTGGAGCTCGTGGACCTTAAACCAGGCCTGGCCTTTGGTTAGGGCTACAAGCCACGCCTCTGAGGGACTGACAGACCTACCTGGCCCTGCCACCTCCTGCCCACCAGGGTCCAGCCCACACAACGCCTTCAGGACACCGGTTCCTGGGACTTTGTAACTCTGGCCATCGGCTCACAGAGCAGCTGGGTCAGACACCAGGCTCCGATGAGCAGTGGCCCAGATGACTGCCTGCCCCTACTTCCCACAGATGCGAATGAGACCAAGCACCAGAAAGCACAGGCCATGAGCGGGAAGGTTCGGAAAACAAGTTTTATTTAAATTAGGGCTTAAATACATTACAGAACATCAAAACCAACAGGGATCAAAGAAAACCAAAGTGCCCGTCACTTCACACGGCATTGGGCAGCTGCTGTGAGTGGGCCACGAGCTCTACAGGTAGCTACACGGGCCATGCGGGCAGTTTGTTCCTTCATCAGAAGTTTAATTGTGCTGGGGTATGATGTCCCTTGGCTGGGATGTCTGGTCCAAAATACGACAGTGGCCAGTGGGGCATGTCACCTCAGGAGGGAGAGTACGGTCACCTGGTTGGGCTACACTCTTGGGGTTGTTGGTTACCAGGGGGTCCTGCTACTGGTGTAGCCATGCTGTGGCCTCATCCCACTCTCCTGGGTCACCCAGCTGCTGGGGTGGGGACCTTCTCCTAGGGGAGGGGACCATGTGGAGGGCACTCCTGACCAGACGTGGCTGCCTGTGGTCATGGCACTGCTGTGTTTGCTCTTTTCAAATGAGGGACTTCCAGACCAGACGGCATGGCTCTTTTCAGTTTATTGCATGAAGGAGTTACACTAGTCCAAGTGAAAGCGGACCCCAACGATTACATTATACAAGCTGTGAGGTTTTTAAACTTGTGACAAGGGACTGAAGGGGCATTCTACTCATTGCAAAGAAATCCTCACTTAAGCTTCAATGAGCCACAAGCACTTAAAACCCATGAACCTTCAGCTGGTCGTCCTTAGCCAGTCCAATCTGCAAGAGAAAAGGGCAGAGCTGTAAAGGGGAGAAGAGAGAAGAGCCAGCCCTTCCTATCGCCACCACAGAACTGCTCCTCACACAGCTTGCAGCTCGGTGGTCTGATCTACCACGGAGAAGGGGAGGAGACCGTCTGAAATCTCTCCCACAACACCAAGGATAAACACTGCAGCAGCCTTTTACTACTTTTAAATGGGACTAACAGCCCGGCTCCTTCTGGGACTACTCCACTATCCAACAATCAGTGGCTGCTGTGCCCAGCTACACCAAGCAGGCTCTACACGCGCAGCACAATGGGCGGGCTGGGCCCCACTCACCTCTACCAGGAACTGGCAGATGTTCTTGCGCTGGTCACCCTGGAGCTGGATCACTTCTCCATATTCTGGATGCTCGATGACGGTACCATTGCAGGCAAATTTCTGCAGGCACACGAAGAACAAGTCAGGCTGAGACGGCCTGGGCAGTGGCTTCGGTCTGCAGACTCAGTGACCAGCGCAACCCGCGTGCCTGCCCACCGCCGTGTACCTACCTTCTTAAACGCCTTCACCAGTTTCTTTTTATCGTAATCATCAGCGATCCCTTGGACAGTGGTAAGGGTCTTCCTGCCGTTCCTCTGTTGGATTCTTATATGTATATAATCCTCAGTGCCGGCAGGAAGCAGGTCATCACCCTTACTTGCATCAGCAAAGGGGTCTGGGAACAAAAGAGCAGCTCGTTCACGTAAGAGTCCCGGCTCAGCCGCATCTTTCGCGGCGGTCCGGGCCAGGTCACTCCGAGACACAGGCCGCCAGGGCGGAGGAGGCTGGGCTGTGGTCCTGAGCCCGCCTCTTCCTCCCCGCGGGCCGATCACGTGCCGGGGAGCCCGGCTGCAGGCGGCGCCCCGGGCTCGGCTGATGCAACCGTCCGGAAGCCACGCGCTCAAGGCGGGGCCTGGTCGCCACGCGCCGATTGGCGCCAGCGTTTGTCACTTAGGGCCCACACCGCCTCGGCCTCCCGCTCCGCGACAACGGCGGTGACGTACCGGAAGTGACGTAGGACGGCGGGGGGGGGGAGCGGGCGCGGCCCGAGTAGGATGAGAAGCCATTCGTAAATGCGCCACCCGAGTCGGGGGCCGGGCCGCCCAGACGCTCACGACTCTCCTTCCCTCCATCCCTCCTCCCCGCTAGCCAGCCACCTCCGGCCGCGCTCGAGCCAAGGCCTCCCGTCGCTCTGAGTTCCCATCCATCCGCCCTCCCCGCTTACCGAAAGAGTGGAGGTTCTGGATAGCGGACATACGATACGATTCCTTTTCCTCGGTGGAAACGGCCTGCGGAAGGCGGCTGCGGGAGAAGGCGGGCGGGGGGGACGGATCGCCGGGAAGCAGGGGGCTCAAGGGGGAGGCAGCTGAGTCCTCGGCGGCGGCTCAGTGACTGGGGTGTAGGGGCGGCGCCTGTGCTCACTTATATAGCCGCCCCTATGACGCCAGCGCGCCACCCTCACGTCGCGGCCCCGCCTACGCCTCCGTGCGCCGTAGCGCTAAGCGACGCCGCTTCTGATTGGTCCAAGGGACGACGCATGCGCAGAGTCAGCGCTGAGGGAGGGCGTCCTCCGGGAAGAGGTGGGAGGGAGAGGACAGGTTTGGTGCGTCGGGGCGCCTGCGCAGTCGGGTGGACGGTGACTGGGCTGCAGAGGAGCCAAGCGGCCAGCGGAGACTCTGAACGCGCCTGCGCGCTCTGCGCTCTGGTGGGAATCCTGGTCCTGTGTTGATCCTGTATCTGCTGGAGGGGGCCTTGCACCGAGGGAGTTCGATGCTGAGGCTTCACCCGCTGTCTCCCGTGCTGCGGCCACCCGCCCAGTCACCAGAATTTAGGGGGGCGCTTTATTTAATCAGCATCAAATAATCAAAGCCTGGACCTACTTCTTAGATTATCACCTACCTTTTCTTTAATCTTTTTTTTTAAATCGGTACCGGGGATCGAACTCACGACCACGCGCTTGCAAGGCAGGCGCTTATGCCGCTGAGCTAAATTCCCAGCCCCTCTTTTATCTTTTTTTATCAGCTACATTTAAAAAAAGCAGTACTGGGGATGAAACCCGGGACCTTCGCACTGAGCTACATGTCCAGCACTTTTCATTAAAAAACAGAACTTTCTTTGGAGTCAGGGTCTTGCTATGTGACTGAGGCTGTCCTGGAACGCAGCGATCCTCCTGCCTCGGCCTCCCAAATGCTAGGGGATTACAGGTGTGCGCCACCACGCCTGTTTATTTTTTAAATTTTGACTTACGGTTTTGTTAAATCTCTGGTTAAACTCGAATTTGCAATCCTCCCACCTCAGATTCCCAAATGCATGGATTACAGGCATGCTGGGCAAGGAGGGAGGACTGTCTCACACCTGTAATCCCAGCGTTTTGAAGGCTGAGGCAGGAGGAGGACTGTGAGTTTGGAGCCAGCCTGAAAACAAAATAAAAAAGGTATAAAATTCATTACTTGTTGAAATAGTATCTTGCTTATGTTGTGTTAACTAAAATGCTTAAATTTGTTTTACATGCTTATTTTTCCTTTTTTGTTTTTTTCTTTAGTACTGGGAATTGAATCCTGGGCACTGTATCAGGGATGTTTTAGTTATATTCTTAACCTTTTTTTTTTTTTTTTTTTTTTGTCTTTTTGAGACAGGGTCTCACCAAACAGTTCAGGCTGGTCTTAGGCTCACTTTATAGCCCAGGCTGGTCTCGAATTTGCAACGATCTTCCTGCCTTAGCCTCCCAAGTGCTGGGATTACAGGCGTGTACTACCGTGCTAGGTTTTTTTTTTTTTTTCCTTTTAAAGCAGCAGAACTGGGTGCTGAAGTAGGAACACAAGTAAACAGCTAAACAGAAAGCAGATGGAGAGCCAGACAGCGCAAGGGTGACTACATAAAACCGTCAGCAAATCATCAGCTAAGGGTCACCCTGTGCCCAAGACCACAGAGCTGCTGCTCTGGTCCAGTCCTTGGTCCTGAGTGTCGCTGTCCCCATAGCTTCCTGCTGCCCAACCTGGGTGCCTGGTTCCTGTCCTCCTCCTCCAGCTTCCTGCCTCAGGGTCCTGTGTCACAGAGTTCTGGCTGGGGAGGAGGGCCTGTCCCCCCCCCCCCGCCCCTAAGTAACAACATCACCTTTGGGGGATGTTGCAGGGGTGGGGACGCTTTGTTCCAAAATTTAGGGTCCTTTCTGCCTGTGGAGAGGGCTTTTACCAGGGGGCCCTGGACGATGTGGACTTTTGCAGTCTGAGAAGTTAACAAGCGTCCAGTGTCTGCCATGTGCTGGGTGCTGTGTTGCCCTTGGGGTCCTGAGGAGACAGCCCTCTGGATGAGCATGAGGTGGCCCCCTTGCTGGAGCCTGCCCTGCCGACATGAGGGGCCGAGGACCCAGGGCTGGCAGGGAAGCTGTTGCAGTTCTTGGTTCTGATTCATTCATTCAGGCAAACAGTGGCTGAGGTCAGTGTGACACAGCCAGGCAGGGAGGGGCAGTGGGCACTATGGGTCTGAATCAGGGTCCTGGCTTTGTTCGTGATTTCCTCCAAGGCGGATAGGGGCACAAAAGTTGCTTTTGCTTTAAAAACGAAATGCCACGCCAGGGTGCCTTAATTGCTATGCTGCCCCCAGAGCCGCCAGGGTCATGGGGTGTCTGGCCGTGTGGGCCCCTCCTGTGTCCCCGCTGGTGCCTCCATGCTGCCCCAAGGGTCCTCTGTCTTGGCTGAACTCAAAGCTGAGTGTGGTCTACGTCGCCTACGACATGGCCCCCTGGGCAGCTCTGGGGCACAGACTCCTTGCTGTCTTTACTGAGCTTTCAGGTCTCACCCTGTAGCTCAGGCTGGTGTAAGACTCGCAATAATCTTCCTGCCTCAGCCTCCCAAATGCTGGGATTACAGGCATGAGCCACCACTCCCAGCTTAACTGTTTTATTCTAACACCACACAGGTCGGGCAGCCACATGGGGGATGGACACACAGACGCAACTGGAGGAACCCCTGGTCCCCTGCACGGCAGAGGAGAAACAGTCCATGGCAGGGCAGGCAGGAAGGGTGGGAGGGAGGATGTAGCTTGTGGGGAGCCGCCTGACCGGTCCCCTAAGATGGCACCCATTTCCTGCTTCCGGGTTCTTCCCGGCCCGAACAAGCCCGCAAATTGCCACGTCTGCCCAGCTACCGATGACGCTAGCCTATTAGCTTGCTGGGCTTGCTTTGCTATGATTGGATGCTGTTTTCCCTTATAAGAGACTGTCCCTGCCCCTAACGGGCAGAAGAGGAACCAACGTTGAGGGTGGCGGACCTTGTTAGGTCCGGTTCGCTGTACGCAATAAACTTTGAGAGCTGATCCTGCTCGAGTCTGGCCTCCTGTCTCCCGCGGCTCCGGTCATCTGGTGGCCCGTACGGGGAAAAAAGGCTCAGGGACGTGCCTCTTCGGCCGGGAGGTGCGATTGCTGTCGCCTGCGGTACGACGGAGGACCTGTGCCCAATAACAACGGAAGGCCCTGAGCGCCTCTTCTCTTCACCCTGATCAGCTACGTGAGATACAGCGGTTCCCGGGACAGGTGAGTACTGGATCACCTGGGTTGGGTGGACGCACCTAACAGATTTTGAGTGCCACACGAGTGGACGCCGGTTTTTTTTTTTCCTTTTTCCCTTTGCATCTGTTTTGCTTTCGCTTCGCTAATATGGGCAACGCTGCTCGCAAGCCCCTTGCCGATTCCCTAAGGGTCTTACTGCGGACCCGAGGCATCTACATGAACCGGGTCACCTTCTCGAGGTTCCTGGACCATATCAATGATATTGCCCCCTGGTTTTGGCCCACGGGCTCACTAACTCTCCCATCGTGGGAAAAGCTGGGAGGAGACCTTAGATGTGCCCAGGAGAGGGGTCTTTTAGACCCTATGGTTCTACCCCTATGGGAGATGATTAGAGCTTGCCTAACGGATGAGCAGATCCCCGGACTTCATACAGCCCGACAGGCTTTTGATAAAGCTCGATCGGAATGCTCAGAGGAGCCCGGAGCCACTGCCGATTGTGGGTCTCCGGAGGACCCTCAGGGCTCTAATTCTGATTCTGATTCGGAAGGTTCAGAAGAGGAGGTTGTCTTCGCTAAACAGGACCCTCCTGCACAGCTTAAAAAGGAATTCAGGGCTCGGGAAGATAAAAAGGGGAACCAAACACCACCCTGCTCGAGCTACTCCGCCTTACGGGAGGAGCTTAAGCCCTTCCGCCCTTTGGCAAGTTCGCGACCCACGATCACCCCCTTCAGGGCGCCAGGCCCCACTGCACCGCCGTGGCCGGAAGAGGAGTTGCTCCCTGGGCTGCCACCTCCACCCGTGGCCGCCAGAGGGCACCCACAACCTATGGCACCGCCCTGGTTAGAGGGAGAGCCACTTCCTGGGTTGCCTTCTGCGCCCCCATCTGGGGAGGGAGGAGGACGTTCCTTCCACCAGAGGGTATGGTTGCGGCTTCCCTTTGAGTGTTCCGGTCTCCATGCATTCCCGGTACAAGTAGGAGGCAGGGGAGGAGGAGGATATTATGAGCCCTTAGAAATTAAACAACTTAAAGCTATCAAGGACGCAGTTTCAGCTTATGGGCCCAATGCGCCATTTACCATGGCGCTTTTAGAGGCATTGGCAGGTCTGCTTTTAACTCCTGGAGATTGGACCCAGCTGGCACGCGCCTGCCTCTCCCCCGGACAATATTTAGATTGGAAGTCCTGGAATGAGGAATTCTGTGTAGAGCAGGCGGCAGCCAACAGGGAAAATAACCAGAGAGAGTGGAACAGGGATATGCTATTAGGGCGAGGAGCCTTTGAGGAAGATCAAACTCAATACCCTCGCCAGGTTTATGAACAAATTAGCCGCTGTGGCCTCCAGGCCTGGAGACGGCTGGCTGGAAAGGGAGAACATACGGGTCACCTTACAAAAATTATACAAGGGCAGGGAGAGCCATTTTCAGACTTTGTGGCCCACATGCTTGAGGCCACTAACAGGATTTTTCCAGATGCTGAGGCGGCTCACCCTCTCATAAAACAATTGATTTTTGAACAGTGCACTAAGGAGTGCCGTGATGTCCTAAGAACTAACAAAAATAGGTCCTTAGAAGAGTGGACACGCCTGTGCCGTGAATTGGGTGGCCCGGTAACTAATCACGGGCTCGCCGCCGCCATGGGCGCTGCCCTTCAAGGCGCCGCCAACGGAGGCAAGCCCCCGGCAAAGGGCGATAAAAGTAAGAACAACACCTCTTGTTTTGGCTGTGGCCAAACAGGACACGTCAAACGTAATTGTCCTAATAGACAGATTAGGCAAGGAGGAGCTCTTGGCCCTGGATTATGTCCAAGATGCCGAAAAGGCAATCATTCGGCAGTTGAGTGCCGCTCAGTGTTTGATAAAGATGGTCACAGGCTTTCGGGACGCTCAGACAATCAGTCAAAAAAACGGCCAGCGGGGGCCCCTCCTGCA